CAAGATGATGTAAGTAAGCAACTCATAAATATACTTACAACGCTAAACAGAAATTATAATCGCGTAGAGATTGTCTTGCTCATGGTATGACCTCGAAATGTATATACAACTTCGGTTTCAATATGGAGAAAAAAGGTCAAAACGAATCAAGTGATTAGATCAAATTTCTGAGGGAAATTTTTTTTTTAAATCACTGAATTTTTACTTTACTGTCATTTCAAATCTATTCATTAATTCAAAATACTGGGTGTGATGCTATCATTTGACCAGCTAACTTACATGTAAGACTTCAATGGTATGTACATCATATTTTACAGTGTAATATTAGTTGGCATACTATAAGACATATTTCTGCATATTCTAACAGTTATCACTGCACTTCTCAAATGTTTTAGATATTATTGAAGTTGTGGTAGCATTGTAGCATTATTCAATTCATCCATACGATAAGATCTTTGGTCGTCCTTGAAGGAACGTTGGAAATTATCCTTACCAGCAGTCGTCTGTGATACAGGATTCAATAATACATAGCTAATTACCATTTCTGCATTAATACGTATAACTGCTCCTCTGTTATTCTAAAAACATCCACTCAGAAGTTTCAGGGAAATCTCAAATTGCTTCCAATTCGAAATAAAATTTCTAAACAGATTCGAGCGTTATTGATTTTAGCCAATTTGGACATCAGATTCGATACTGACACTGCCTTTTTATAATTTGCGTAAATTCATTGTTATAAATTTATTAGAACCATTTATATTACCAAGAAGAAAGTACCAACTATCTCTTCATCCTATCAACTATAAATATTGCACGGTTCATTTATAGGTTCAAAAAAAAAAAAGAAAATTAAATAAAATGTTTTGGCAAAAATGAAAAAAAAAAAAATAAAACAGTCATGCAACGCAAAAATTTTCGAATCATCTAAAATCCGTAACTATACCCAACTTGAAAAACATTTAACTCAACTTTCGAGTTTTAGTAAATATAAAAAATTTCAAATCAATCTTTTCTTGTTATTTTGACTGACCGTACCATTTTATGCTAAAAGCAATGCCTGTTTTATTGATATACTATGGCTTTGAATAAAAATTATTTTTAATAATTTACATTTAACTAATTATACCTGAACTACACATACATTTCCTTCTACTTTTTTCCTTCCTTTTCCACTCATGAAAAAGCAAATTGTTTTCAATTCACGTCGAAAAATTTGACTTTTATTTCCAAGAAGAAAATCTCATTTCATTTGAAAAGGTATGTCATATTCATCGCTCAACAATGAACTTTCGTTCATCTCTACATTATGTGAAATAACAACCCAGTGCTTGCATGCAGCACTGCTGCTCGGTAGGACTTTTGAATTGAATTTGTAAAAAAGAATAGCCCATTGACTTTAAATTTTGCAAAGCTTTAAAATCATAAGTCTATTTTCTTGACTGAAGTAGTCGATGATTTTATACATCACGTAATGAAACTTACCAGTTCTGCATATAACGGTGCTGAGAAAATTGTAACTAGTTTACGACCAGCAAAAAATCCATACCCATTTTCCATCACCTGTGAATTAAATAGTTCAGAAGAAAGATTGACCAGGTAAGAGACTTGCAGTTTCGATGGATATAAAATGCTAAAAAGGATCTAAAGCTAGCTGCTTCCTTAAATATTTACTTTAGTTTATTTCGACCAGTTATTCCATGGAAAAGGAGTTATATGACAATCAAATTATTTCAAATTCAGACTTCAAAAACAGTTTAAAACCTGATGTGCCCGTATAATAAGATCCAAGTTTAAGCGCTTGCATGTTTTATAGACAATATCCTCACCAAATGCCACGCTCACATTACGCAATTTGTTAGGTTCGTAACCTTTGATGTCTAATTTCGGATCCGACCAAACTAAATCCTGTTCTAATGTATCTGGGAACACCTCCATTACAGGCATTTTTATCTGGAATTAACCTTCTAGAATTTATAGAACTTTGCAAAATCCGTATTTTATTTTCTAAAATAAGCAAATAAGAAACCTTTATTTCTGGATAAAAATTCCTGAAAGTTTGATCTGTTAATTTTATTTAATTTTCAATCAGATAAGTATGCTTCCTTTTGCAATCTGATAAGATTTAGATCAAGTTAACCTATAATCTAGTATCATGCTGGGAAGAAATATAGAGAACATATGTGCTCATATGCTAGCACATTATGCAAAACCTGTGGCAAAAAAAAATTGCCAAAACATTGAGCAGGAAAGATGAAATGAAAGATAACAGAAAAGCAGAAGCAATTGATCAGTGTCCGGTACTTGCAATCGCACATTAGAATGTAATTCATTAATGAAAAGATGAAGCAAAACTTTCAGTGCAGTCATTCCTACAACTTTAATAATTCAATTAGTATATATGTTTCCAAGCATCCATAATGAGCTATCCACTGGTTTATTTGAAAGAATATATAGATGGTCGATTACATTGCGAATATCGTTCAGCGACTCGAGATGTGGGCTGAGACCACCGTGCATGCAGAGTATTCTATTTTTTATTAAAGCGGAAAAGGGGAAAATTGAAAATAGATCGTTGAATTCTTTCCACAGACGCATTGCCTGACCTGGAATTAGAGCAGTTGATAATGAGGCCATAGAATTATCAAGTTGATTGATAAGATAAAAACTGCAATTTGCAACAGCGTGTAGTGCATGTCACTATGCTTCATTTTAAACATCCGAAAAAGTTGATGACGTATTGTTGTGCAATAGTTGATGACGTATTATTCATGCTATCTCGTATGTTTTTGATTTTATCTCTCTCAATTAATTTTCGAAGAGTAGTTCTTGCCAGAAAAACACTACAGATTAATAAAATTATCTTTCAGCAATATGTGCCTTTCAACAATGGGGAAAACTAAGGCAATACTTACCAACGCTAAATCTTGCAGCTAATTCATCATAAAAGCCGTATTCTCGATTCACAGAGGCAAATTCATGATTGCCACGAAGTAAAAATATCTTAAACATATATAACCTTTGGTGTTTGCTTTGCAATTTTCGAGCAAGTTCCCTCAGCTTAGATTTTGTGTTCTACTTATGATTATCTTTACATTTACAGCTCGCTTGTCTTAAAATAACATATTTTTGCATTTCCAAATTATATTCAGCGTGGTGATTTGTCCTCTTTGCTTGTGAAACTGAATTTCGCGGAAATCAGCAATTTTGAAAATTCATACTCTTTTCGGATATGCGATTTTCCAAGCGACAAGTGAACATATACATTCAAGAGACTGCGGTCCACGATCGACATAATCACCAAGAAACAGAAAGCGTGTTCGACCTGGCCGGCCAACCGCCGCAAAAATCCGTTGCAAATCCACGTACTGAAGGTGACACCGTAAAAGTCCCAAGAAATGATTTCAACTGCTGTATCAAGAAGGGTTTCATTCAAGTTTTTAGATGTATACTACCTGTCCATGAATATCACCAACAACGATCACTGGTATTGAAACATCAATCAGTGCACCTTCGTTCGAGAATAACACCCGAGCTGTCTCGATCATCTCACAAATTTCGTCAGGATTGTATTCTACCTAAAACAGCAAAACTACCACTACAACATTTTCCTGCTAATTGACCTATTTTGTCCAAACTTGTTTGCCTTATTGTTTACGCTTCAGTTATTTAAGTATAGATATAATGCTGCATTGAATGTAATCAGGAATTTGAAAAACAAGAAAGCTTTTAAAACTTTCAAAGAAAAAAAAATGGAAAAAATGTTTAAAAAATTTATGCAAAACCTCCACTCATCAATCTCTAATTTAGATATAAAGAAAATAATCAGTAATTTGAATTTACAGATTGTATTTAAATGATCTATTAATGAAATTAAAACTCCCACATCCACTGTTAGTGTTTCACTTTCCTTCACCTATGCCAGAAGAATATTGACTGATTAACGTTAGAACAATTGATGTTAATTTAATTTAATGACACCATTATTACTTGACTTTATTTACTATTAAATAGTCTTATATTTCATTTCGTATTATTCAAACTAATCGACCCAGCAGTAAATCAATCATAAATAAGGAATAAATTTAGAAAGAAAAGGCAGATAAATTTACGGATTTTTTAAATTATATTGAAATCTTCAAGTCCTAAATCATTTTTATCTAATTTTATGTTTACTACTAATTTTATGACCATACTTTTACAAAACAGTCCCTTGTCAAACAAAGTTCTTTACGGCACTTCTGATTTCAAGAAAACAAACCCAAAGACATAAACAAAATAAAATTCCATCTCACTGTCTTTTATGAAATTTTTCTGAAAAAAAAAGTTATTGTACCTTCGCCTTGAATTTTTGATGTTTTGCGAGAAATGGAAGCAAGTCAAATTTCGTGTCTATGACCATGACAATATTTTTAGAAAACAATGAATCAACCAGCCACCTTGCAGCTATTTAAAGTAATAAACAGCCATATCGCCACTATTGTGGTATATAAAATTTTATTGCATACAAATTTCTCGGAAGAAATTCGGAGACATATTATTCAAACTTGATAAATAAAGTCCAAATTTTGCACATACGATTGGATAAAATGAGAATAAAAACACTGTTAACTTCTCCTTAGCTGCTAAAAGTCATAAATAAACCAAACACCAGATAAAATTTTCTAGTTAAAATTCTCCATTTACAAAACTTTTGTTACCACCTTCTCAAATGCTTAATCATCCACCTTGCCGCTCCTCCCTTTCTTTTAAATGAAACATAGAATTTTTTCGTAAGGAAATGCAAGGAAGAAGAAAGAATCACATTTTATTTCTGGTGAAAATCTGAACACCAAAATTTCAGAAAAATTAGACATATATTACTTTCTGAAATGATTTGTAGTTTTAATAACTTTGTATAAAAACAACTGTTTTTTTAAAGCATTGCCATAACTGCAAAATGTAAAAAGAAAAAAAAAGAAAGAAAAACAGTGAACGAAAGAGCAACACAATTTTCTGTAAATTCATTGATCATTTTCTTTTGCAAGTGAACCCAAAACACCTGTGGGTATAGCTTTCGTTTCCACATCTAAAATTTCCGATTAAGTACAGAAAAATCTTATTCTGTACTGCATTTGTTTCTAATTTTAGAGCATTATAGAAAAGTCATAAAATCGTCGGATAAAACCAATGTAACAACCAATCGATTGTTTGGTATGCCTCAAAATACATTCTCATGCCTAGTTTTAAGCCATTTAAAACTTACCGTCTAAAATTTTTTGTTCATCATCGCCGTCATCATCTTCAATATCAATTTCTTCTGGATTTTCAGTAACGTTTGATTCGACCACACGGATAGCTCCTCGTACAAATTTTATACCTGTGCCGCCAACTGCTACCTTCGTTACACCTGCCTCTTCTTCGGCGATCTTCTGAGCACGAGCTTCAAGCATTGCCATGCTATCACCAGCCGTGCTTGCTAAAATTAAAATTTAAAATTCAAAAAAGCATATTGAAAACAAAATTATCGTAAAAATCCTATTAAAATATTTTAGAGATATGTACTCCAAAAATTGAAATACAGCTAAGATAGTAAATACATGAACCCACGTTCATGGATGATTGTACCAGTTCCTGCACCCGCTGCTGTGGATAACATCTGTGCACTCATGATATTAACGTTTGTGTTGTAAGTTGCTTGCACCGATCTTTTTATACGCAACATCTCCCTTACCGTATCCTCATTACCATGCTTCACTTCAAATTCCTTCCAAATTTCCCAGAACATCCCATGAACCTGTGAAAATTTCTCCTACTTTAATTGCAGCAGATTACCACATTTATATTTATATCGACGTTACAACTTTATCATGCTGATTTATTTAAAACGAGAATATAAATCATTTTAACAATTTCTTACATCACTAAATCTTCACCAGCATTTATCTTATTATAGTGACATCAGACAGGATAATAAGTAATTTTTGAGTTTAACAATAATTTCTAAATTAAAAATTACCCGAGGGTCACATATTTCAGAACAGTGAGCATATATTGCTCGTGCTCGATCAATCTCACCCAGTGTTCTTTCCATTTGTGCAAATCGAATACTCATTTCCCTTCAGAAATTAAAAGTGAGAATTTGATTTCAAAACTGAAAACTCAATTGGTAATCGAAAGAATTATAAAAAACTAACTTCAACAAGAAAAAAAAAGTGTGATACCTGGACTGATCTTCCGGAAGAACTTCAACGGCATGTTCAAATATTGGTCTTGTGAATGTTAAACCGTACATGCTTGTCGCTTTTTTGATGTAAATATTGAACATCTGCAAATAAGAAAATCTATGTAAATGAAATTCTTTTTATACAATATTTCGTGGAAAAACTAAATCACATTTCTAAATAAATCATATTTCACATAAATATAAATCACATTTCAATTACAGTGCCTTAGAATATTAGTGGAAAATTTCAATTAAAGATTAATTTTATAAAACAGAAAAAAACATACACTATACATTTCATGTTTTTCAACTGCAGTAGTCGCACGATTATAAATGTTCATTGCGTGCCGTGGCAAACCATATTCTTCTTCCAACTTTGCATATAATAAATAAAGCTCTAGAATAAAGTTAAGAAATATGGACTTCGGTTCTTAATGGAAACACATTTTCTGAACATTCTATCCATCCCAGTAAGTAACAGAGTTTCTAAAAATTAGAATGCATGTAATGTTAAATATGAAATCAGATGAAGACGTTTCTAATTATATCACTGTCAAATGTAATAGAAAGCCATGAATTCCCAAAAACTTTACTGTAAACATATGGACAACCTATTAAATTGATCTGAATTGCTTACTCATTGCAAATTTTGAAGGGCAATTTTCTAAGCACTGCTCGAACAAGTCGCGCGCACGTTCCAGTTTCTTGCCACCCTTCAAAAAAAAAAATTAAGTTGTTTTGATCAAAAATACGAAAATATCGTTCATGTTCTCTGAAATTACATAGGTCAGAACTAATTAGTACATACATATCGCTTCAGAAATTTAACCAAATATACGGTCCAAATTTCATTGACAACTGGCCATTTAAACAATGCTATTCCTTTCTCATAAGCCTGAAAAATAATAGCAGATCTTCGACCAGCTGATATATTAATTTATAGATTATGGGTGATTTATTTCTTTTGAATATTGAGAAATAAAATACAACCAAAATGTATTTTATGTACACATCCAAATAAACTGAAAAAGTCAGTTACTCGACACAAAGATTTTCATTTCAGTAGAATAAAAAAAATAAGTTCTTACCTTGAAAGCATTCTCAAAATAATTATTTTCCTCCAAAAATTTAGCATAATTAACCACTACTTGTGGAGTAGCAATACGTAAATCAATAATCCTTTCATAAACAGCCTGACAACTTTCAAGAGTGCCAAATGCTTCTTCGATATCAGCGTACAAAGACCAAATCTGAATTCATTTATATTTCTGACAAGAATCGAGATTCCAAAACACGAAAAAAAAGAATGTTTGGTCAGAGGTCGATAAAATTTATAAACTAAATTAGAATTACTTGAAATGAATAAGGTTTAAAATTGAAGATTTTGATAGTACTATATATCAGAACACTATATGTAAGCCGAACTTGTTAACCTTTAATGATTTGTATAGCCGATTCTGGACTGGTTCAGTTTCATCAAAGTAATGAGTTTTTCGAGGTGGCATAGCAGTTGCTCTTTGCATTAGTTTTCTAGCATATTCAGGATTCCTAAACATAGTTAAGATGTCATAATGAAGAACAGTTAACAATTATCAACAATTGTATATAGAAAATTGATAACAGAAAAAGCATTATGCTACAACTAACCGATGGCGCAGCTCAAATTCAACATACTCACACCATACCGATGCAAGATCATCTACTTTGGTATATTCAGGTCTTAGTCCTCTTTCAAATACTAACCTAGCCTGGAAACAAAAAATGATTGAGTGTAAAACATGAAAAAAAAGTGGCTAGTAAGAAATTAATAAATATAGCCTGCAATAAAATTTAAGATGAAGGTCGAACGTATATAACAAATGCAGACAAGTTATGAAAAACGGTATCTTTTCAAAATAAAAAAATACTTCATCCAACATATCCTTTTGTTCATAAAATTTCGCGAAACTTATCCAAATATTTGACAACTTCCCAGTTTGTAGTTTTGGTTGCACTGTTCGGACACCTTGCTCATAGGTCTCGATTTGCTACAATATAGCTAAATTTGAAAAAAAAAAAAAGAATTTGAAAAGATGATTTATAAAGAAATACATAAACAGCATTTCTACGCTAGAATACTTTTGAAAATCAAAGACATTAAAAAAGTAAAATAATTTAAAGTGAGCGTTCCTCATTTTGGCCCTACCTTCATACTGTTGCCTTCATATAATCGGACACGATTTAACCATTCATATGCATTATGAGGATTTTGGCGCAACAAAACGCTATTTAAAAGAAGTGGTCGACGGTCCATTAAATGCTCAAATCTGAAAGATCTTCGGCAGTCATTTTTATTATTTACTTCATTATTTTCTTCATCAGCTGCAGTGTGAAATCAATTATTTCTTAGGATTTATCTTTAGCTGTGATAAAGAGCAGTATGGATAAATTTTTACTATGCTTTGAAAGAGTTATACTAACCGTACAATTAGGATACTACTTTTTAAACCAAAAAGTAATATAATACCGTTAATATAAAACTGCAACAGTAACTAACACCAAACAGCACTAAGAAAAAGATACCTTGCGAAAAGAAGCTCTAATTCTAATTGTTGTTCTTCATCAGCTGCAGTGTCCTCATTATCTATTTCATCCATTTTTGCTGCTGTTGCACGTTCCGCAAATTTGGCATAAGCATCAAATACCTGCGTGAAGTCCCGTACAGTTTTGACCGATATCAGTGATTCTTCATACACATCTCTTGCCTGCAGATAAATCTCATAATAAGAACTGCTTTCCTAACGATAACATAGAGCTTCCATATACGCAAGATACAAATCATGTGTTATAAAAGCCATAGCATACAAATAACCGCATGAAAACAGTCTGATAAGACAAAAATATATAATAAAATTCTAACCCGTTCAAAGTGCCCGCCTCTGATATAATACTCCGCTAGCGAGCACCATAGAAGTCCTACCTGGTCGCTATATCTAAAACATATCTTTATAAACCCAAATTTTCATCAAAATATGTAATTCAGCTAAGCGGGATTTAAATTCTACTTAACACTGTATGAAGATTAACCTCTGTATGCCCTGTCGTATGATTGCATCACCATTCAATGAATGCACTTTATTTGGATTTTTCGAAATCAATTCACACAAATCAGTCCATAGCTAAAAAATCGAAATAGAAAGTATATGCTTTGATCACGGAAATATATGAACAAATTGAAATTTTTGAAAAAAAATTACTTGATGAGTTGTTTTGCCATGTTCGGAGTATGGCTTATCATCATTCACAAGAACGGCAAGTTGTTGAGCGGCGTCATCTAACTGATCAATATTCCGTAAGTAATCAACAAAATCTTCACGACACTTTGGTAACAATTTTAAGTATCTGAAGTTCATTTAGGTCAAATAATGCAGGCATACTAGCATGCAGATAATGCAGTTAGTAAATGCAGCTAGTATTAATCAATAATATGAGTTCAGGTTTCCAAAAGTGGAAATAAATGAAAAATATTACTGTTTAATCAATTTTAAAAAGACTAGTAATAAAGTTAAGGAATATGTGGTCAAAACTGAAAACCAACCTCTAATTCATTACGCAGAGGGTGGTTAAAAGTTAATGATTTTTCAATATATAACTAAAAAGTATTCTTCAATTGTGTATCGGAAGTTTTCAACTCAAAGAAACTGAAAAAAAAAAATCTTAATTATATACCATGTAGTAGATTTGCTACAGCTTATAAATCTATAAAAATCGATAACCTACCTCCTGTAGACTCTAATTGTCGTTTCCGGAATTTCATGGCTTGTTACAAACTTGATATAGAGCGGCCAAATTCGATCATGTTGAGTAACTGGCAATGCTCGTAGAGAGCGATCGAAAACTCGTCTAGTTTGCGTCACAAGACGTTGTAACGTTAAGAATTCACAGTACTCCATCCATATGCGAGGCATCTAATTGTTATTAATAATAAATAAATTCGCTGATTACGAAAGATCACTCTTCCTTCAGAAAGGTCAGCAAAAATAAAGTGTGAAGGGAAATTTAAACACTATTTACGTGAAAAAAGTCTACGAAAAACAAATCAAATTCAAAAAAAAAACTCTTAATCATCTACTCAGTTTTAGTTTCAACTCATTTCGCTTTATACGTGATATAATTTACAAATAAATACCATGATGTTTAAATTATTTAAGAAAAATTATCTAACCTTATGCATGAAGACCAGTGCTCGTTCATAAGCATTGTTAACGTACTTATATGCTGGATCTACAGGACACTTATCTACCACTTGTTTCCGACGAAATCGAAGATAATTATACCTGCAAATTCCACAACTAATATTTACCTATTATTAACGAGAAATGAAAGGCGCACATAGAGAATGCAAAAGCAAAGAATGAAGCAGCAAAACTGTAGCAATAAGACACGAAATACCATGACCGAATTTATTATAAAAGTACCAGAATTCATGAACATTAAAGGGATAGGTATTATAATCAATTCCGTTCAGAACAAAATGCTTCCATAAGGTAAAGTAAACTGACAGATCTGAGAGAATCAAGTTTATATTATTTTAGAATGGAAAGTATGGATAATAGTAAAAGGCAATTAGTACCATAGTTTATAGCTGCCCGGAAGTTCTTTTAGAGCACGTTCATAAACCAGGTTGATTTGTTTTGACGGCGCTTTACATTTCTTTTTATGTTCGATATATCTCAACCAACTCCGAAGTGAAAAAGGATTTTTGAGTATATCTTCCTCGAACCCGACATCCTCTTCCTCCTAAATATACATAGAATATGTAAATATTTATCAAAAGTAATCGAACTATAAGTAAATTTTTTATGCATTTTATTCATAAGAGAAAAAACTTTAAAGCCTACAAAAATCACTGATGCAACTCTCTTGGTTCTTTCTACGGCACTGGCATAAACACTGCTGGATGCTTCTAGAACCTGGCTTGTCATTGTCCTGCAAAAAAAAAAAAAAGAAAAAAAAGACAAAAAGAATTTTCATTTGAACTGTTAGTAATGAAAGAGGAGAAGCCGAATCCAAATAGCTCAAAACTAGAAGTAACTCTATGAGTTAACAATTTTTGTATATTTCTCGACTAAAAATGCTAATTAAACAGCGAGATGTTTTCTTCTGAACAACGCAAGAAAAATGTCACATCCTTACACCTCTCACTGCTACCGCTTAGGTCCCACCTCTGATCCCACCAGGTTCACCCCCTCCACAACTGGAAAAAATCTTGTTGCAAATCGGCAACAAACCTCTACCAATACTCCTTTTTCTTCTCCAACGAGAACTATACTTCTGCCTATGTATGCATATTTCGTTGGTTCTATTGTTCTCTGCTAGCGTCATCTGCTCGATCAATCCATCGATAGATCTTAATAAAACTCCTGCAATGATTTATGGCAATGAGGTGCGATAAATAAAGGGGAGATAGCATGGCTTTTAGTTATTGATTTTCTAAGTCTAATGTTTTCAACCCCTAATGTTTGGTAAGAAAAGCATTGCGATCCTACTGGGAAAATCAAGAAAATCTTCAAATTATTTCTAAAAGTAGCAACTGAGTATGTTTTAAAACAATTTTATTAACTGTAGCAATAACCAGTTGAGTGTACAAAAGGAAGCACTCGTACGGAAGCAATTAACAGTGGTCGTAAAACAGGGATATTTCGACGTCGTTATCACGTAAAAACACTTTTTCAGCCAGTCTTTGAAAAAACAAAAATTGGGATTTATCTTTTTGAAATCAGTTCTTCCCCACGTTTACATCACAATTTATATTATCTGGCCACATAAACGAAATAAACTCTGTAACTATAAATAAATATCTCTTCATTATCATCGTTCCCGTCTTCGATATGGAGAAAATTTCTTTTTGTCTTTTAGATTTACAAAAACGAAGATGACAGAGGGAGTAACATTTTTCAAGAATTTCCTGATTTTTGAACTGAGAAATATATCCATCGTTAAAGACCATTGAATGGTGACATTGATTAATACTAATTGTTTTTGATGTTTCGAATTAAATGTGATAATTGAGTAGTGGCAACCTGAGTGACTGATCGGTCCGTTCGAGTAAACTGAACCATCAGTATATAGCCTGCAACCTATTTGACATACCTATGAAGATTTGAACACTTTTATTTCTAGGACTATCAGTATCAAAATCTTTTTCTACAAACCATAGCAGCACAGCTGACTTTCCGTTCTTCAAGTATTTGTGAGCAAATTATTTGTGCAAATCCTGGGACATGCGTCAGAAATACTCGACAGTGATTAGTTTCTCTTCCATGATTACCTAAATTCGTAGACCTCCAACGATAGCAGATGTTCTTTTATCCGTCATAAAATTCTACGATTTTCCAAGTTCTTCAACTCCTCAGACTTTTCAAACAACAAATACTTCAATAATTTTGTCAAATGTTTGCTTTGCTAACTCACCATATATTTATTTACACAATTTTTTGGAAAATCGCTGTCACTGTTAATTCCCCGTATTTAATCCTTTTAGTTTGCTACAAGTCAGTCGAAAAAAAAGCGACTCAAAAACAGAAGTGAGATTGTCAAGATAAATGCCTTTATCATTTTTAAAAAAGACTGCTGGAAACCCTTTATTTATAAAATTATATTTAAGTTATAGTGTGTTTATTAGTCAGGAAAATCATAAGAAATTTTGAAAAGATCCCTATAACTTAACAGATATTTTTACGGCATGAACTGATAACTAAATTATGCAAGTTTTATTAGTTTAAGGTTATAAGTTAAAACATAAGGAAAAATTTCCAGAGGTAAAAACAGAAATCCTTCTGAAGATTTTGTACCAGTACTTCAAGATCGATATCATCTGTTTATAATTATAAATTCCATAGGAAATCTTTTGCTTTGGTTGCAATGTTTCATTTAAGATTGACTTTGTTTTTAACGATATTTGATATCATCATCAAAATCGATGTCATCTGTTCTGGTGATACTATTACCACTATTTCGTCCGTCTGTTTGTTTTAAAAGTGATAGTTGTAATGTAATAGTTTCCGATAGGAGCATAAAGTGGTCCAGATCGGCGACCTTGAAAGATTCATTACGATTGGGTAAGACACCACAACTTTCGTTGCAACAGCGGAGGCCGATAATCGTATCGCTTAGACTGTGTATGTCGTAAGAGCTGTGTCCCTCGAAACGATATGCTTGCGAATTCAGTTCTTTCTGAAATGAGATTCCTAAAACAGAAATTCTGTGAAGTAAATTGTTCCTTAGTTATCAGAGCATTTTGTCATGAACATGACTAAACAAATTTCAAAAAATGAAAATTTTCAAATATAGGAGAGGACAAATATAGTTTGAGGATGTGCTAGACGAGTTAAATATATTGCTATGGAATATACCTTACTTAGTCTTATGATACTAAATAGTAGTAGAAGCTGCACTGTTTAAAAAAGAAGTTTGGTAGTAAGATAAAGAGAAAAGGACCGTTTGTGGACCAATAAAATTAATTTTCTTTTCTAACCATAAGTTTGGAGCTGCAGTGTAGAGACGAGATGCTACCGCAAAGAGGGACAATTAAGGGACATGTCTGCAAACCATGATTTGTGCCACCGACAGTTACAAATGTATTCACCTGCAAATATTCCTGATTTTCAATTTTCATAAAAAGACAAAAAAGCGATTCAATTCTTTGAGAACAAGACCGCTAAATTGGCGACCACGCATCATGCAAAAATACATTGGAATTTAATATTCCTGAAGTGAAGTTTGGGGTCATTTCGAATAATGAATTCTCGAATATTTGATGGAAATGTATTAAAATGAATAAAAGTCTTGACAAGCAAAGAAATATATAAATGTATCAAGTAAACTACTGAAAAGAAGGTCGAAAGTTTCATAATGTGTTTATAAATATTGCAGAAAATTTATTAAGCGGACCAGTTGAGTCAAAGGAGCACCAAGCAATTCACCAGTATCAAAGCAAGAAGAGCCTAGAATAGCCTTTCTTGAAACCGTTGAACCCATGGAATGCGCGATGATATCGACTGTCTTTTTCGTATAGTTATTCACAGCTAATAACATCTGACGAATCTGAAATTCAAGATTTGGAATTCTGAAACTGTTTCAAAGATTTAAGTTAAAATGGAGCTGTCTAATATCTACCCTAAAAAGTTCACCTCCAAGATCGTTAAGGAAGTCTGAAATTGAAAATACATTCTACTGATCGATTTTTCCCATCTCCTACTTGGTTATTATCCGGATCATTTTGTATGTGCAACCGTGCTAAATGAATTGTGGAAATGTCTGTGTTTCCTGAGTAAGGAAGAGGATTCATCATGATGAGAAGACCGGTGAAAGACATCAAGTAGGACAGGAAATGTCCTCGTATCAGTGATCTTAGTGGGAAAATGTGAATCGTTATATACCTACTTGTTTGACGTATTTGCAATGAACGCCATCGAAAATAGCTGAGTTTAAACCGTTTCCGTATGATGTAGCATACAGTTCCGACCAAGAGTACCCTCTATAAATAAAATACTCGCGATGTTTCAAGAATACGGCAGCACGTGAAAGCGCTCCATGCACAAAAAGCACTGGCTGAAAATTTTATGATCCATCAAATTTCAAATATGTCAAATATTAATCGGATAGTAAAATAGGGCTGCTAAAGAATCAAACTGACTCTTTTGTTTACGGGATCGTTTTCATCCATCTTTCCACCAAAACTGCCCCAAAGACTAAGGCCCATATCGAGCCTTTCTAAGAGTTTTTGTGTCTTCATACCGTACTTCCTTCTTAGGAAATCGTTGAAATGATGGGTGAATTCCCCGTGACCATGATATTCACTACATAACAATAGTAATAACACATATAGCAACATTATCCTGGAATCATTTCAGGAATTCAAACTTTTAATTTCAGTACATTCTTTTTTTAATGACATTGCTTCGATTCTTTCAAGAAGTTTCCTGCTTCTAAAGACTTTATAAATTTGCAAACTATTAATTTTAGAATGATCTGAGTAAAAGAAATTTTAAATTATTAAAGAAGAGAAGAAAAATGTGAAAGTGTCTAGTTAAAAAAAAAAAAAAAAAAAATCAACTTGTTTATCATTTGTATCTTAAAAACACTTACCCGATCCCGGATTAATACTTTCTTTTCCAAGCAACATTAAACTGTTAGTACTTAGATCTGATTAAAAAAAGTAGTTATTGACAAGAAGTAATTATACATTGAAATCAAATTTATGTGTCAATAAGGAAATCAATAATCTGTGTGAACTGGTAATAAAATTATCATAGACAAAATCTAAAGCGAGAAACAGAGGTGAAAATGAATTGCAAGAAATCAAAATTAGGGCAAGATAGAGGCAGAGATTTGCCGCAATCAATATAATTGAACAAGTTATGATTTGCATCCAAGAAAGTAAATACCCTTATTGAATGAATGAGAAATTTTCAGTGCTAATTTAATAACTGATCCATGTGTTCATAAAATAGCGTCATATCTAGTAATTAAATCGAATTTAATTAACAATTTTCAGTGAAGACAACTTGTTGCTGATCCTTATCGCTAATAATAATAATTTATTGATTATGGCTTTATTCTGCTTGAATATTTCTTCTTTGAAGCTTTTCTCATATTTTTGAAGCAAAATTATTTAATTGGAATAGTGAAGAAGGATGGTAAAGCCTTTTTCATAAATTTACTTCTGTGTTTCAGCTATTTAATTACCTTCGTGTAGTTTACTCGGCCTTTTTGTACTCCTAGTCTGGTCAGTTCCTCGGTAAAGTGGTGTTAATCTAATTATCATTTACCTTTTTTTCAACATAAATATATATATATATATATATATATATATATGTAACGTAAAATAAAATAAACGAAATCGAAAAAATGCATTAATGAACAATAGCAATAAAAGACTGTCTTTTCTGACCGATTATTTTTGCGATTTTTGGTCGACCTTGTTCTTCTTAGGGACATTGCCTTAACCCTTTTATTTTCTAGTCTTCCGATAATATGGAAAATTTAGGACAGACGATTTTGTTAAATATGGTGCTAATAAATCATTCGTTTTCTACCTTTCGGACATAATTCTGGCTTATTTAAGAAAAAAACATCTAATTTGCTTTCTCTCTTTAAATGTAGCGACTTTAGTCTTACCAATTAATTTTACTGAATACCTAGCGAAAAACTTCGAGATTTGAATGAAATGTACCAGTTGGTTATTGGTTAACTATTAGAATGCATGTCTGGTCCATTTCACAAAGAATCAAAAACTCATGCACTGAAAAAATAGAATATAATCTAATTTTGCATGACGAAAAAACACTCATATTTACACTTCAAAAGTAATCCGATTCAAAATCTGAATTGCAGTTCTTCCAAATATTCAAAATGTTTACTTTTGAAATATTCTTTAAGCCATAATTCATCATTCAGAAAAAAATTTGTAGAAAACAATAAGTTTGTAATGAAATATCGACTGCTTTCCTGATTTGAACTTTAAGATGCTTTCATATTTTCCTTATAATTAAAAATGTTCCACCCGCATGATATTTCCTAGCACCCGTTAGGTTCATTTCAATTATGATTCATATACAGTTAATTTAAAACAGGGCATCAGCTAAAAAGCAAATAATAGAAACTTTTTAGAAATAATAACAACGATTGAGGAATATTTCTCATCGTTTCAATTCGAAAAATTTTTTCACAGAAAGAAGAAAAGTCACAACATCATTAAAACCAATCTCGCTTAACAAATGGTGATTTTCAAACCATGGTCTTCAAAATTTTCTGTATTATTTTTTTCTTAAAATCTGCGGAAGTTCACATCCGAAACAGAATGAAACTCCTTCATTTATGAAATATGGAATGTTTAAAAATATTTCGCTATACAATTATATTTCACAATTTTAAAACGGATTGGCAAAGAATATTTTATCCAATAAACTAATTCGAACATTTATTCGTTCCGAAACAAAGATTTCATATAGCAGATACAAGACCTCAGAGGAAGGATCCGGTGAAGTGATTACTGACTGCTATATTTAAGACTTTACAATTTTTTACTGGCATTAAAACATTTGTAACTGAGCTATTTTTTGAGTGAAAAATGACTTAAAAATAAATCAATAAATCTGTGATAATTCCGTTAAATCCATTAGCTTAGAAAATGCACCCTTTGATGATTATTTAGAAGTAACTTGATTTGATTGACCTGAAATGATTCGTAATACAGATGTCAAGCCATTTAGTATAGGGAAAAACTTTTTTGTTATATAAAGCCGTTTTATGTCATAAACCATAAATACATAAAATTCATTTAAATCCATTAATTTGACCTTGTGGAGATCATTCTTAGGGAATGTTTCCTAATTGTGATCTGAAATTGGTATAGACGAATGTATTGAGAAGGATTTGTTGCCACGATTTTTATTCGCTGTTAACGAATTATGACACATAAGTATTAGTAATCTACACAAACAATATACTAATAATTTCTTAGAATTCATCTAGGAGTGAAGAGAAAGAAATAACTTGATGAGAAAGTCAAGTAAAGGATTTAAATGAGTGGAATGAAATGAGCGCAAGAGAGCAAACGAATTATAGTTTAAATTCTTGTATATTATGCATTGTTTTACAACAAGCGTATGATTAAATGAGTAAAGACCTACCTGTCGAATGATCTTTACTCTTTACTTAGTTAAGTTTAACATAAGACTGAATGTTAGGTTAGGAAACCTCTACAATGTTTCGATATTGCATGCAGATTTGGGTTAAAATAAAAGAACACAGACTCTTTATTAAAAACTGTGACATTAAAGACAATGCAGATAAGCTCAGCTATAAATGGAAGATGGGTGGGTGCTAGGTATGGAACAGTTTCATATCTGTCCAAGGAATATTAAATTAAGACATCCTTTAAATTTAATACAACTTTATTCTGATATATCATTATAATTCGTTTTTTTTTTTTTTTGTCGAATTATTATAGTATGTCGAAAGTTATCTTGCAGGAAACTACCAAGATATAACGCAGATTTTAGGAATTTTTGCTCTCCATTACATGTATAAGTAGATACATAATTCAAGAAGGAAAAAGACATTAGAATATTTGTCCAACGGCAAACAAGCAATCCTAGTTAATTTATTGTGTGATTATTAGGAATTGTTAGAAATCAAGTTAAGCAAGAATTCTTCAGTTGGACTTCGTTCTTCAGCTTTTAATTCATTGATTTCCACTTTCATTCTAAGAAATAAAAAACAGGTCCATTATCTTCATTCTTTTTTTTTATAATTTGGCGGAATGTTCCCGATAAATAAATCGGAGACGGAAGAACCTCACTACACCTTGATGTGATCGTAATTCTGCTTTTATTTGTATTGCTCGAATCAGGAACATGTCTTCCTCCTGCTATAAATTTAAAATCTATACGTTTTTCAGTTTGCGTATACTGAAATGTTGCTAACGTGTTTCTCCCTACATTCTAATTATTTTAATTAATTGAAAAATTCCAAACTTTTATAGTTAATCACTCTTACCTTCACACTTGTCATACTTGGATTGTTTATAAGTGAACAAAAAAGAAAACAAAAACACTCAAATAAGTCAAAAAACCAAAATTATTCTATTACTTAGTTAATGCATTTTAATATACTTTTCCGAACTAATCAACTAATACACACACACATACACATACACACACACACACATACACACACACACATACACACACACACACACATACACACACACACACACACACACACACACACACATACACACACACATGCAAGATTTGAAGCGCATTGATACATGTGACATGATGCCGTTGATGTCTTATGCCAGTGGCGGGATGATTCGTTCGCACTTTGCTTTCTCTACCACTTCTTGTATATTATTTTTGCGTGTTTAAATGGTTCATTACAGTTAATTTAGTCTTTGTGACATCAATGAGTTCCATGTAATTGCTTTTCTCTAAAGGACAGTACCGCTTGGGCTATTTTCCTATTAAACTTGTCCTTTGCAACTTATTTGTTTACTGAAGTAGCTGCGCATTGCTTACGTTATAAAGATAGCAGTATAGATAATTTGTGGAAACGAATAATAAATTGAATGTGTTACCTTTTGCAGATTTCCCGGACCTGTTGTCACAAAGCGCCGAATGCAGCTGTGCTGTTATTTGGTACTTTGTCACCCATTCCAGAAATCATCGCTTCTGACATATTGAAATGTCACATAATTTTTGTTAAGCTTTGTTGTTTTTGCATTCGACACTTTGAGATATCTAAAGCGCATCTAACTTTGGTGATAGCATTGCAGCATGCTTTCGAAATCTGAAATTGTAAATTATTACGTTATGAATGGACATATTAAAATTAGAGAAGTGATTAGTCTGAGATGATTTAAAATCAGTTCATGGCTTATCCAGAATCGCATTTAAGTGAACATTTGAGTTATGCGTTGTTTTATTCGTGTTTTATTCCTTCTCAATATGACAAGTGAAACCGAAGTAGGGCTGGAAGTCCTCCAAAACAGAACCAAATAATTTTGGAGGTTGAGAGTTGATGTTAATTGTTGTGAAAGATCAAAACACTTCTACATCTTGAAAAACTATGAATCGATCTAGTATTCTTTTTCTCTTTTCTTCTTTCTGCACTTGTTCAATACCTCAATTACACAGAGTTCACTTTGATGTTTTGGTAGATTACCTAGTGACCATTTGACCATTTACTCGTCTAATTCCGCGATTACCCATCCATACATGTATATAAATCATTGTCGTATTTATTATTCTCGAAAAACATGTTTGCTTTGTTCGGTCTGGAAGCAGATGAATGTAACTTGTTGCTTCCCCATGTCATCACTCTTTGCAGAAGTCGTTACTGTATTGACATCCACCAAGATGGACAGGAGCAGAAATGTATATCTACCATTAGTGCTAATGTTATAATTATTACTCCCTTTTCTACTGAAATATTTAGGATTGCATTATTTCACTGCAAAACTTGATTACTCCTTGTTTAGTTTAACTTTTAACACTAGCATCATCAAGCGTTAGAAGATTGAAAAACAAACTTTATTGAACTTATCGAGCTTTTTTTGTACATATGAAAAAAATCACAATTAACAACTTTATTTGCATTTCCGATGAATTCAACATTAATTATCTATGTAACGAAAATTGAGTCTTCGAGACAACTATCAACTTCTCTGGTTTGACCTTGGATCCATTAGTTGATTTCATTTGAGTGTTTTGATTTCCAAATGGAGAAGATTCTGGTACAGCACTTCAACGTTTAAAATATAAGATGATCACCAAAGAATTAAATGGAGCAGAAGAGTGATTCAAGCCTGATGTATAACTCTGATAATATAAGATAAATCACTGACTACATCTAAATTACCATATTTAATTCTTAATGGACTTTTTTTTATCTTTATTTCTAGCAAGTATGCACCGTATTGTACTCCAGTTAGTTTTGAATATCTCAGTTGTTGCATTCATCTGTAATTGACAAAATGCGCTGCTGTCCATTATGACGTTGAAAGAGTAAAAGTGAAAGTGCGTTTTTCAATTAGATAGAAATGAAAATTGATGCCGTACATAAATTATGATTGAGTGGTGAATTTTCATTCATTTTATGACAAAATAAACAGTTATGAGATTCGATCCAGCGACTTAAAAATTAATGAGAATGAGCGGAAAGGGAAGTGTTGAGGACGTCATAAACCTTTTCGAGACAGTCCACCATCTTAATATATTGTTGCTGGATAAAGCCGCATTATGGGCAAGTCTATCGCACTGGTGAAATGTTTTAAAATTGTGCAAATAAGTTCAAAAAGAATGAAGTCAAAACAGTGTTCTATTAGAAAATTAAATGTATTAAAATTATTAAACACATAGAGTTCTTCTTTTGAGTTGTATGTGTTTTTTTTTTTTTTCACAAATGCTCAATTTCTTTCCTGATTTGCTCATCTGACTATTGTAAATTATATAACTTTTTGAAAAGCTGAAATAAGTTCTGAAACAAGTGAAATTCGTGCGAACAGCAATAAGATCGAGTGATTTTTTGTTCACTTAGTGGTAGGATAACAGAAGGCATATTTTTCCTTGTTGCCTAAGCAAAGAAAACGGCTAACATTGAACTCTCATTTCTGCCTGCTTTTCATCTTTTTTCTCTCCATAAAGTACTTAGGCATTTGTAAAAATTTCTTGTAGTTATGATAAAAAATTACTAAATATGAGTTTCAGATGTTACCGATGCTAATAATTTCCCGTATTCTGTTGAAAATTTCCCAATTCATTTGTTCCGCTTTTGTGGTTTATTGCTTATATAATATAGGTCCACAATGGATGCTTACATTATCTTGTCTTCTAGTACCTCCTCTTGGTATGTTGCTTTTGCCTCAGCTATTTATATTCTTTCTATTAAGCATTACATTACAGACAAGCAAAAGAACGGTATCTGCCGAACTTGTCCTAAATAAATATGTGGAATTGTTATTGAGTTATGCAATTTTTCTAATTAGAAAAGATAATATTAGAAAGTGACTACATCTCAGCAACACTGAAATCATCGAGCATTCCTCCTCAGTAGGAATTCATATTCTGGTCTCGTTATTGTTTTGTTCTTTCAAGTTCAAAATCACTTTAATTAAGAGGTAAAAATTGAAAGGTTATCTATTCATATGATATATACAGTGATAAGTTCTCCGACAGAGATATTTACTTCAGGCACTTATTTGATACTGCGATCACCAAATCAAAAGAATCGATGCGATAGGTACTACAGTATGGTAGAAAGAAGCTGGCTGCGAGTTGAAATTACAATATGTTTCACAATGGCTGTCGTTTTCTTAGGTTTCGGCATCTTATTACTCTACGGTTTCTTCAAGGTTCTTTTCCAATTTTTCTAGGAATACAGATAATGTAGCGATTAAAATGAGTGATACGAAGTATAACTCATTTATCTATAAGTATGCAAAGTGGTATTCATTATTGGAAAATGCTTGACAATTGCTTTTTAAATCTTTAATCTCATGAAATACAACTTAATGTGCAGGAAAAAATAGTTTCGACAATTTTATTTCATTAGATAAAATTTTCAAGAACTATCAGAGGTTTTTGCTTCTAGCGATACACTATAGTTATTAAATTAAAATTATTCAAAATGTATGGTACAGTTCTAATTATTTGCTAATATGCTTTTTTTGCCTTAAATTATATAAGGAAGTTAAGAATGAGTACAGAATTCTGAACAAAACAGGTATTGAACTAAATAGATTGATTTTTGATTAGGCACATTGATTTTTGACTAGACAATTTGTAGAAGTTGTTTGTCGTAGTAATCTCTAGCATTTTGCAATAAATATTTAATAGTTATAAATAGAATCATTATTTGACTTACAAATTGTAATGTTTCATTGTCTCGATCAGTAACTTAATATTAAATAATGTGTGCCTCCAGAGGTATAATGTCAAGTTCGACCAATAGCTGCTTCAATTATCTAAAAATCTAATAGTGTTTAGTTGATGAATAACTTGTTCTTCCTGCTGGCTGGGCTCAGTTCGATTTTCACTGCACTGTTATACATGATCAATGGAATTGTTACTGTTGGTTTATTACGACAAAATAATGTGGATATTGAAAAAGCACCGAAACAGATCTCTTGCACTGCAAAAGATGACCTTAATGTAAGATTATTTTTCCAGTACAAATGCAATGATTCATGATAAAGCTATGTACAACGCAAATATATATGCTGTTCAAACAAAACAACTTCTCTGTGTTAATTTAAATGATTTAACTTAATCATGTTACTTCTCCATAGCGCTAGGCAGGTTCGAATATAAAAGATTCGGAGAAAGTTGCAATCTCTACAACATTTCCAACTGTAGATGATTCGGTAAGATTTACATTTAAATTTTACAAAAATCATTAATAATAAGGTGAAATTTATCGATTCATTATCCTTTAATATGAAATAATTTAAGCAAAGTGCCAAATGTATTAAAGAATGTTTCACTTGCGCTCCTGAGCTTGCAAAGTTAAATTTTTGGGAAATAATCATCAAAAAAGATCTGGTCCACTGTTTTGCATCCTATTTTAAACTTATTGTCTTAGTCAAATTCCATATGTTCTAATGATGGGCCGAAAGGTTTCATTAGATACTGATTGATTATTAAGCTATATCATTTCTGAGATGATTTTGACGCGAGTGAATATTTTCCAGCTTGCGTTTGCATCTGTTCAAAAGAAAGTCAGCAATGAACTTGTCGTAGAAGTGCTCTTATTTTATGTAAATTCTAAACTTTCATAAATTTTAACGATGGAGAGAGCTTTTGAAAACGGAGCACGTCAATTTCTAATGTATTGTTGATTTCCCATTTTTGTTTGAGACATCTGAGTAAGCAAACATTTATTTAAATCAGTAGTGTCATCTAACTCATAGTGATTTTCAAAAATGAAAAATAACTGTTGTTATTTTATTAATTCCAGTTCTGATATTATTTGTAAGCATCATAGAACAAACTGTGTTAGAATATCTTAGAAATAATGTACCATTTTCAAACCTGTTTTTTACTTTACTGAAAAAATCCTCCTTAATTAAATGTCCTCGGAAACACTACAAAGTTTTATTCGATTTGTTGGGTTTTATTCCAACATGGTGTAGAATGAGGACTTATTCGATAAAATTTGATTGAGAAAATAGGTCAGCACTTTATAATATACTCTACAACTCGAGGATTTAAGTTCGCAGATATACTTTAGCTTCGGTTCAGTTCGAATTAGTTGCAATTTGGATCGAGTTAAACACATTTTCATATTGTCATTTTTTTATTACAGTGTTTTCCAATATCAGTGATAAATGAACAGCACGGTAAAATAGTGGAACAAACTGAAGAATTGAAAGAGAAACCGATATTATCGATTAAAAATACTTCAGCCAAATTAATAAATAATCAAAATGCAAGTTACCATCTATTATCTTATGAGACCCAAACAAATGTAACTTATAAAAGCTTTTTTTGAATTTTCTTTCTCCATGTTCGCACCTCTTCCTGAAATGAAAACCACGTAATCCTGGTTAGGATTTCGTTAAACTAACTTTTGCCACGAATGTACAAGCAAACGAAGAGCAGGCTTAAACGATATCAAGAAAATAACTGCACATGATTTTAGCATCTCAATATACTGTTGTTCCAGGCATCATTTTCTGCTGATCAGCGACCTGAAATGAATCAACAGCATGTAATTGATTATATTGGAGAGGAACTGGACCAAAACTTGGATAATGAAACTAAGAGCCATGACAACAACAGCACGGATTACAACATTAACCATTGCAAAAATTGTAGCAACAATGATGCTAACAGTGTTGTGACGGTAGGCCCAAAGGAGCGGTATCGATATGCACCAGCTAGAAATAGTAATATCTCAAAATCTAGTGCTCCATGTAATCAGAAACTTCATCAGCGGTCTGCAGGCATTTGGAGTCAAGTGTAAGGTTGCAATGATCGATAGATTATCATTTGCAGTCATGCAAAGAAATTAAATTCCAACTGAATGACAATGGCAATACCAAGTTGTGCATTTAACCGTGAAATATTTTCTCTCGTTTGAGTACATTCGATGTAATAATCTGATGATATTGTGTTTCTAGTTCGAGACGTAAGATGACACGGATTCCGTTGATTGTTTCTGCTGAAGCAGAAGACTTTAATGAAAATCATCATATTGAACATTTCAATGCTCATTTCTTGGCTACTCAAAAACATGGTCCACTACTTGTCCACAGGTAACGCGTAAATGTTTCATAGCGATTTCATGTTGATATCAAACCAAATATTTTTCTGCAGCCTGTTATCTTGAATCTTTATAAAGCATAAATGCCATATGGCGTGGGATTTCACTCTCCACACCTATTTTTTCTTTCTTACTGCAACCAAAAATTTCATATTAGATTCTTTTTTCATTAGTGAAAATATGAAATTAACAAATTTTATTTTTCGGGTACAATGACAAAATAGCGAATGGTACGAAGTCAGACACTACTGTATGTGCTATCCATCCAATTGAGATATTGCATCGACAGCATCAACACTGTCCTAGTAAAACTGCTGAGGAATGTGAAATTATTATTCGAAGTCGTTACTCGAAAGGAAAAGATGATAGTTCCAGACACAGTGTCTATGAAAGATCCTTGGATGATGACAGCACATCTGGTAATTATTTGTGGTATATTGGTAGAAGGATTTAGGAATTGATTTCCATGTATGAAGAATAGTATGAAGTTGATAGAATGTGCATTTAAATAAAAGGTTAATGCTATAGTAAGAAAATTATTTCATGCCATTAACTTCTTACTTAAGTGGATCGATAGAATAATATTAAGTGTAGTAATGAAAGTCCTACTAATTATGTGATTACCGACGGCTGGTGAACTATTCGCTGAACTGTCTTTGTTTTTGCTTTTAAATATTATTAGACGTATCGGGCATAATTCCAGCTAGGACATAAGGAAAGAAGATGAGAGTTTGTCGAAAAAGTTATCTGAAATTTCCGACATATGGCACTATTGTACAATTTTAATAAGTTGCAGTACGTCTTCAAGAAAGAATTGATATTGAATATACCAGAAGCTTGGATTAACTCTTCAATAAAGTCCAAGGGGACAGTAACGTTGTAAAGATTAATGATAATAATATTGTAATAAATGTAAAGTGAGGGTTGTGAAGGATCAATAGCAGTCTTTTCATACTTTTTGTCATTATGTTTAAACTTTAAATTACAAAGTTACTGAGACTGTTGTTAAACAAAGCATATTGTTCTAGGCTCAATTGTTGAACCAGTTTACTATTACAACAATTCAGTGCAAATGGAGCTAGAGAATCTTGATTTAGCCATTCAGCCGGAGCTGCGTCTCGTACAACTACAGGCTCAAAAGATTCCAGATTACAGTTATAGTGGTTCAGATGACTTAAGTTTGGAGCAAATGTCCGTTATACCATCACATAGTTGTGGTCAGCGAGGTACTTTTGTTTTCTACGCTTTATCTCTTTTATTTTGTCTTCTTTTGGGTGATCATAGAGTAATTCGGAAGTAAATAACTAATGAGAAATGAGAAATAAAGGGAAATGAAGGAGAATTTCAGGAAATGGTAAAGAAAGTCAGCGTAGATGCTTTTTAAAACATGATTATCGTCGTGGATCAAGAGATATTCAGCATCTATCATATATCACGCACAAAGAATCAGATGATGAAGACTCATCATCGCATACTAATTATAGGAATGCTGTCAGGTCCTTATCACTTCTAACCAGTGATTCGATTCATCACTTCCTATATTCAAGTGTGCTTGGTCTGAGGAAAAATCTTTTTAGACATCTTCGAAGAGTCGCCTTTAATAACATTCTAATCAGTGTTTACTGTGTGGCTCAAAAACTGCTCAAGTATATATGCCGCCGCTCTCATGTTAATCTTGAGCATTAGTAATCATGTGCTTCAGGAGTAGGCAAAAGATATCGCAAAAGCGAGAATCGGTAGATCCCTCCTGTATGCCAACGATTGTAACAGCCATCGATTCAGGCCGTGAATCGGACATCATTCGGAAAAACCCCCCGAGACGAACGAATTCAAGAGACAAGAAAATGAGGAATAGAGGTAGTATAAGTTTGCAATTCATAATCGCTACTAAAACATTTAAATCTGGAAGTTGGTTTGATTTGTTACCTTGATCATTGCTGGATGTAATATGTTTGAGTTGGGACATTGCAAAATGTCGGCATATGCTTGTTTTGCGTACTTCATTTTCTTGTTTGATCGAGAACTTTTACTACTTGTAATGGAACTTTCAAGGATTTGACGTGGTAATCAGAGCACAAAATGATGGCGAACGTTTCGGAAGTCGACGAAGGACCCTGAGTGCTTCAAACTCTTCGCATAATAAACTTGTTGAAGCTTATCTTGTCACGGAATTCTGACAAAAGATGTAAATATCAATAACATTTGTTCCTTTTTTTTTTTTTTTTTGTGGTCATTGATAAGCTCTGCAAAGATCTGTATTGGAATTAAAGCCTCAGAAATCCACATTATTCAATCATTTTTCAATATGCATCTGCATCTTCTTGAAGCTATATGCTATTTCTAGAATTTTGGTGCACTAATGGAGACTCGAGATAAAAATATAGCAAAAAAATTAACTCACACGAATGTTAATTTAAAACTGCGTAAAATTGAGTCGATTCAGAGCTGGAATTCTTTTACCGGAACTGAGTTCAGTTGTACGGTTGACAATTGTCATTCCGGTCTTGCAAAAACTACTGTTTTCAGTCTGGAAAACAGGCGACAGGTAGTTTAATTCTTGACCAATCATATTATGAAGTTGGTCTCTCTCGATCGGAATTTTATCACTTGCATCAGATCGCATACGTATTTCACGACTATTGCTCTTCCCTCATTATCAATTCTAATGACTCATATCCGTAAAAGTTTTGCCATCTCCAGTATTCTCCAGCTCTTCCCGTAGGCACAAGGAAATAGTATCTCAAGAGATTGTGCAGAACTGAATGTGTACTACCAAGTCACGCACTCCACCTGTCACTATTTATACCAGTCCACTGTATTTTTACCTCCTTTCGAAATAGCGCTTTGAGACGTGCAGTTGTCATAAGCATCTTGCGGACCTAATCGATATTGGTTATTTTAGGGAGAATTACCTGAGGGAGTGTGGCGTTTTGTGGAGGAGTGCGGCGGCTTTGCTTTTTCTTGCTTAGGGTTTTGTGGTTCGAGCGGTCGGTGGTGTGATATTGTCCTTGGATTATCCATTCAAGTTCCAAAAATTTCATTTATTTGTCTGGAAAATCAGTGAACGTGAGAGGGGTTCTAGTGCTAAACAGCAGTTGAGGATGTAGGAGAGTGAGAATTGAAAGAATTAAGAATAAGATGCAAGGTCATTAACATAATGGGTAGTGAAAATTTTCTTATGCCAGTTCAGTCAGTACTTCAGTTTAAGGTTGAAGCTGAGGAGTAAATTTGGGTTGCAACCAGTCGTTTTTATCAAGGCTCTTTCCATCTCTCTACATGAATTTGTGTTGAATGAAGACTATTTTCACATTGTAGATTGTGTTAAGGCAGTGGGTGTGCCAGCCAGCTAAGTTGAGAAAAGAAAGCTCTATCTATTGGTATAAAAATCAGGATCAGTATCAGGCAGGCATTCAGGCAAGAATCAGGAATCAGTGAGAGAGACATTGTTGTACTTCTACTACTGACTTGTTGTGAGGGGATCTCGATAACTTCACTTAATCACTATCAGAGAGACAGTCAGTGTTAAGAGAGTGACACAAAACAGACACAGATACGATGGTGAAGACTGAAGAAAACGGAGTAAGGCTTTTACTAATTTAGCATTTACTTTCTAGTCTTTTCCTTTTGCTCTCGCATATCTATTGACTTTTCTTGTTTACATGTTTATTGTTACTAATTTGGCTTAATGAGCCAGAGTAAAGCGAGCAGGCAGTTAACATGGAGAGAATCACAGCTATGAAGCAACAGGCAGGCAAATATCAAGGAATGTGTCTACATTATTTTTTAAGCTACCTAAGATTCATTATTAAACAGGACTCAAGATAAGCCTCCAGGATTAATCAAGGTTCAGGATGAGAGTAAGTTCACTCTATAACCAGGTAAAAGTGCAGTATAAGATCAGGTAGCGTATAAGCACCCATTTTTCAGCTTTTAAAAAAATTACTTCTGCGAATCTGAGGCTATGTTAGTGCCGGCAATAGTGATTCGTACCGATGGTAAAAGTTATCAAGTGGGTGAAATCATGAAACAATATTTTTGGTGAACACGCCAAAGATTCGGAACTTTTAACATGGTTCGATAAACGAATACGGAGTTCAATTGCCGATTGTTCTAATTTTGTAAAGGTCAATTTAATAGATTCCATTAAGGATGCGGCTGGTGGAAACCTCGAACCAGAACAGTATCGAAAGATGTTTATTGGTGGACTTACAAGTTCTACCACCGATGAAACACTTAAAGAATTTTATTCAAAATGGGGTACTTTGGTGGACTGCGTTGTCATGCGTGACCCAGCAACAAAGCGATCACGTGGTTTCGGATTTGTAAGCTTCTCGAAGCAATCAGAAGTATGGTTCATTTATCTTCTGAAGCATTTCTTGATACAATAAAACTGACACAAAATAGAAGTCCAAAATATTCTATTTAATTTAAAAAATTAGTTCCATTAATTTGCCCTTTCATAACTTTATTCCTGTGCGATCATGGTAAACTCATTTCGGATATTGGTGGATGAAAGTATTAGTTGTTGAGGCTTGTCACATTGTCAGTGTTTTTTATTCGTGGGGCTGCTAACTTTATTTGGGAACGATAATGAGTTAAATAGCTCAATAAAACATGTAAATGCTTCAGGTAAATGTGATAATAGCTGTGAATTCTTTTAATCGCTGCAATATATTCCAAGGAAATAGTTCATACTGGTTCATATATCGTGACTTTCTAAATGGAAAATATTTCAGTTAGTTTGGTGTAAGATGGTTCTAGTAGTGCGAATTAGCTCAGAGAACTGAAATTTGTTTAGGTAGATGCAGCTATGGCAAATCGGCCACATATCATTGACGGTAAAACTGTCGATCCTAAACGAGCGGTCCCACGCGAACAATCGCAGCGAAGTGAAGCCAATATCTCTTCTAAGAGACTCTATGTATCTGGCGTGAGGGAAGAACACACGGAAGATATGTTCAAGGAACATTTCGGGAAATACGGCAACATCTTGAAGGTTTATTTCTTTTATATTTTGAAATTGTTATCATACGTAGTATAATTGATGAAAACTATTTTGAATATCTTGGAATTTCTTATTCCAGTGTATTTCATACCTTGTGTTGTGGCCGTATTTTGTTCTATGTTGGTTTTAATTGATTTAAATTCAAAGTTCATATTTGAGACGTTTTCATTTTAGAAGTGTGATTTGAGCATTTGAATGCTATGGCTGCAAATTTATTGTGTAAATTTAAAGATTTTGGTGCGACCGTGATTAGATTAATCATAACTATCTCAGAATCTGTACGAGTAAAGTCGATATTTATGATAATCTTACTTTTATCACTGGAATCAATAAGAAATAGGAATTTCTTGTTAGTTGCTAATTTTCTCAAATGGTCGGTAGTGGTAATTTTTCTAGTATTGCAGTGTGAAATAATTGCGGACAAAAACACTGGGAAACCGAGAGGATTTGCTTTCATAACGTTTGATGACTATGACGCGGTCGACAAATGTGTTTTAATCAAAAGCCATATGATTAACAATTATCGTTGTGATGTAAAAAAGGCACTCAGTAAGGAGGAAATGGCAAAGGTATTTTTCTTAGCTTGGAATTTTTAACATTAAGCCATGTTTGTCTTGACTGTTTTATTTCTTGTTTCTGGTTGTTGCTACTCTCTTGAATATCTTATCTGCTACTGTAAATACAAGAGAAATTCTAACATATTTTTGAAAAAATTAGTGGGATATGTTATAATTTTTTACATTCATCATTACTTTTAAACTGTTATCGACATAGCTTGCGAACATGACCTATAAGTCTGGGCACTAAAATTTGCGAAGTAGTCCCTGGCATTACCGGGTTGGATTTTGGTACTAAAATATATGTACAGGTTCAACAACAGGAACGTGAACGAATGGATCGAGGAGCACGCTCTCGAGGGCCGCCAATGGGACGTGGAGGTGGTGGATGGGGTCCCGCTGGAGACAGAGGTGGTTATGGTGGACAACCGTGGGGCGCTGGTCCTGGTGGACCTGGTGGTTATGGAGCAGGTGGCGGTGGTCAGTGGGGACCGTCAGGTAAATAAGTTCTGTAAAGAACTTTATATTAGTTTTAATGTTTTGGTTGCTTTTCAAAGGTATAGAAATACAGTTTCACGATTTGTTATTATTAGAATAGCTTACTCAAGTTTTGCTTTGTAGGAGGTGGCTACGGAGGAGGTTATGGTGGTGGCTACGGTGGTGCACCCGGTGGTGGTCGTGAGTTCTGTGTATTATCAATTTATTTTTCCAAAAATAATATCCATTCCTTTATTTAGTTGGTCAATACTAATTTCTTTCCCAAATAGAGCATCTCTTGGTAGGTGTAGTTATGTTGCATACAAGTCTCTTCTACTTAATACGAACTTCCATTAAATCAACTAACTGTTTATTGAGCTGGTTTTTGACCTGCCGGTTTCTCATTAAAGGAAGCGTGCATTTCGACACACAGACTGACTATTTATATTCCTAACAAGTGATGGTTTTTGTACTCTAAAACTTTTTTATCCAAGAAATTTTTAATTTAAAATTTCAGGGGGATGGGGCGGTGAAGGCAGTGGTGGTTGGGGAGGTCCACCATCGCAGGGTGGATGGGGCGCACCATCCGGCGGTGCAGGTGGGGATTAATCCCAGATTATTTTGTTTTTTCAAATTAGTTAGAATTAACTTTACTTGCTTCCATATGGTCTTGCATCATTTTGAAATATTGAAGATCGTTTCTGCATTCATCTTTGGCTGATACAGCTTTGCTGATTGGGAATCATTTCTTGAAAAAGTAATGCTTTAATACTTATGTGTTTCAGGTGCAGGATGGGGACAAGGTGGTGGGCAAGGAGGTTGGGGCACTGGCGGACAAGGTGCTGCGCAATCATGGGGTGGATCAGGTGGTCAAAGTGGAGGCGGAGGCTGGGGTGGTCGAGGATATTAAGAATGTGGATTAAACGAACATGCAGCACACATCTTTTCGCTGCTGATACTTTTTTTCATGATTTTTCCAACGATCTCAGTAGGTGGTCCTGAAATGCTGACTTTAAGCCATTTCAAGTTCTTTGTTTCAATTCTTTACAACTTTGCTGTGTTTTAGTTTGCTGTGCCTCCCACTTTTTCTAAGAAAGTTGTGAAAATGTTGAGATGTTGGGAAAAGTATAGTGCTCTTCCTCTCGAACTGCTGATAGTTACATGCATTTTCGCATTTTTTTGTAATACCTGTAGGCTTAGCAGTTTTTTCTAAAATCTTGTGATTATTTTTTGTTGCTGAAATTCATATAATTTTTACAGTCTTTTGTAGTTCCGGCGTGTTCACATTGTCTGTCTCAATTTTTTATTACTGTAATTGTTGTTTCGGTTGCTTTTTTCTTCAATGTGAAGCACTGTATAGTATAAAAGTTCGATATGATTTTGTACTTGTTGTTCTTGTTACTATTGGATGTTGAGAAAGTTTCACACCGATCAGTATTTATCTTAGAATTGCAATGGTGATCTTCGCAGCTATGTTGGTTGATGTGTTCGTACGCTTGGAAAAAAAAGTGTGGCTGGATTGGTTCTGAATTCTGAGTTCGGTTTGAGTTGATTGATTGTCTTGGCAGGTTTTCATCTTTAATTTATTTATAGGAGTTCTGTGGTTGAATTAAAGTGCTATTTTACAAGACGCGCCACGCCGAAGAGAGCAAGGTTGGTTTTGGAGTTATATGTTGGTTGGGGCGTCATGTGAAGAGAAAAGGAGGAGGTGGGATGCCCTCATTGTATGTTTCTGGTGGGGGGGGGGGGGGGGGGGGGGGAAACGGGAGAGGGAGGAGGTAGTACTGTGAATTATGTGATTGGTAGAATTTTTTTAAAAAACTAGCAAATATTGTTTACTTTTAATTCTAGACCCTTTTCAGGTAAGGAAAGACTAGATCTATTTTTAGCATTTTTCTCTCACTTTATAAATATTGTGGAATCTGCTTCACTTTTAAAAGATGGTAAGCTATGGTACTTCTGAATACTTAACAAAGCGTTACGATTTCTTTGGTCTCATGTACTGATTGGTATTATATACCTTTAGATATTGCTGTGAGATCAGTTATCAGTGACATACAGTATTTTGTGAGAAATCAGCCTATATATACGTCATTTGGTACAACCAGTGTATGTACTTTACGTGATCAAAGAGGGAGTATACTACTACTACTATTACTACTACTACTACTACTACTACCTCTACTATCACTACTGTCGAGACTTAGAAACAAAGAGAACGATGGTGAAGACTGAAGATGGTGTAAGACTTTACTTTAGTTTTGTTTATCGGGAGGAGAGTTAAAGGTACGAGCAAGAACAGGTAAGGCACGTCCACTAAGGTGAGATGTAATCCCCCTTTGTCGTACTCTTACTGCCGGTGGCTATCTGTGATACTTGTTTTTGCTGTGAAAGAAACAAAAATGGTTCAAACTGATGAAATTAGTAAACAAAGCTGTAGATAATAAAGCTGAATTTTTTAAGAGCTCAAGTTTCTAAAGTTGAAGTTCAAACAACTTAAACAGTTAAAACAGGTGCTGCATGTATCCATCCTGTGCTTCCTGTCTTGAAACATCAGTGTTTCTTTACTATTGTGTTGGGTGCTGCGAGGTTAGTTGAATGCAATATTTTTTAAAAGTATTTTCTGTACTATTTAGGGCGATGGACTTGAACCAGAACAGTTTCGGAAGATGTTTATTGGTGGTTTGTCAGCAACAACGACTGATGAAGCACTCAAAGAGTTCTACTCTCAGTGGGGTGAGTTAGTGGATTGCATTGTGATGAGAGATCCAGCAACGAAGCGTTCACGAGGCTTTGGATTTGTCAGCTTTTCTAAGCAATCCGAGGCAAGCTTTTTGCCATTAAAAATTCAGATTTTTCTTTAGGTTTTTGTACAAAAAAGTTTTAAAACAGCTTTTTTCTTTTTTTATGAAATAGTTGAATTAGATGGTTGTATGGTATTTTGCTGTGCTATGAACAAAATTAAGTATTTCAGGTTGATGCTGCAATGGCGGCTAGACCGCACGTAATTGATGGGAAAACAGTAGATCCAAAACGGGCTGTACCGCGTGATCAGTCAGCTCGTAGCGAAGCAAATGTTTCCTCTAAACGACTGTATGTTTCCGGTGTTCGTGAAGAGCATACCGAACAAATGTTTGAGGATTATTTTAGTCAGTTTGGCAAAGTACTGAAGGTAATTCTAGTTAACTTTCAAAGAGTATATATATATATATAATTGGAATTTCGTCAGTGGGTTCTAGCATCGGTTATAGAACTAGTAGATAATTGTGACTAATCAAAAATATTTCGTGTTTCTAAGAAATAATTTATTTAAAAATATGAAAAAAGAATAAAAATAAATTGAGCTGTTTGCCAACGTAAATTTATTTCTTGTTTCTATATCAGTGTTGCAGGTAGAAATTATAGCTGACAAGAATACTGGGAAACCAAGAGGATTCGCTTTCATCTCCTTCGATGATTACGATCCGGTTGATAAATGTGTGTTGCAAAAAAGTCATCAAATTCATAATTATCGTTGCGATGTCAAGAAAGCTTTAAGCAAAGAAGAAATGGCAAAGGTTGAGTTGATACTTTTCTGTTTAAATAAGTTATCTTTTTAAACGACAGATTTCTGTAGGCTCAGCAACTAGATCGAGAACGCACGGAGAGAATGGGACGATCACGAGGTACAATGAGACCTGATCGTTATGGTGGCGGACCGGGAGGCTATGGTGGAGCATGGGGTGGACCCGGTGGTCCTCCTAGTGGTCAGTGGGGACCACCTTCTGGAGGTAATATTAGTTTTTAGTTTGGAAATAGGCTCTAAGTATATGCGAACTTTATCATCATTTTTGCAGCCTTGCCAAACTTAATTTTTTATTTACCTATGATATTTTATAGGTGGTGGCGGTTATGGCGGAGGCTACGGAGGTTATGGTACTTCAGCTGGAGGTTTGTTTTGTTTTTTCCTTAAGAGGAAATATTCATATTTCTACGTATACCTTTCGGTTTTCCAGGACCAGTAATTTTACAGATTATTTACGAAATCTTTAGGATGGGGTCCAAGTGGAGATGCTCCAGGTAGCTGGGGTACTGCAGCTCAAGGTGCTTGGAACGGTTCACAGTCTGCATCCTCAGGTGTGTTTTTGTAGTTCTAGTAATTGTTTGTATTTTTGAAGTTAACAGAAGATATAAAAGGTGCTGACAGCCAGCTTTCTTATAATCAGAAGTTCTGAACAATCTGCTTAGTTATGAAATAATCAGCTACTATTCATCTTATCCTGGTTTCATTGACACCTTTTTTATTCACCAAGTTTTTGTCATAATTTTTACAGGTTGGAACGGCAGCGGCAGTGGAGGACAGGGTGGTTGGCAGGGAAGTGGTGGTAATGGGCAACAGTGGGGCGGATCTTCTGGAAATTCAGGTCACGCTGGTTGGGGTGGTCGCTCATACTGAAGTCTACCTAACCCGAATGTTCCGTGTTGTTTTGTTTCATCTTGTTGTATTGTTAAGTGCAATGGTATTTTCTATAGTAGCTTATTTATAATTGTACCATTTCAACCGAACATTATTGCACTTACATAATTTTTTTTTTTTGATATCGTATTAATTAAAGTTTTTAAGCAATTTTCCCAAAATCGCAAATTTTTCATTCACCTTAATATTTAGTTTGTTTGGTTGAAGAATGCTTAGCGAAAATTATGAATGTTTAAAAGCAGTACATACAATTTTAAGAGAATTTAGCAGATTTTCTATGTGATAGAAAATTCCCTGTTCAAACGGATTAATTTAAAATGATTATACAAAATGCACTGTTTTTGGGCATGTCAGTGCTGTATTTTCTGTTATTATTGACTGATATGAAGATGATGTATGTTTCGGGACTGATTCGGAAATAGTTTTCGAAGAATAAAGTGATCGTAAGTATTCTAACATTATGATTATTTTACGTGGAAGTTGCCATTTGTAATTTTGCTTACCTGCTGTGTGTACTAGCATCTATAGATACGTGAGCGTAAGACGGGACATGGAAAGAAAGGAACTGTGCTTTTTTTTAATTGGGTGAAGTTTTCGGTGTCCTGTATTAGGAGATTGAGTTCTTTGGAATATGGTTTTTGCGCTGTCTTAATGGTACTATTGCTAGTACGGCAGTGCTTCAAGTTTTTGTGTTAAGATGAGGCAGCATTTAATCTAGGTTATGGACATCGAGCTGTTTTCCGTGTCGAAGTTCTTTGTTCCTTAGCCGAAAGACAAAACACAAGTTTGTGGGTGTTACTTGGATGCTTAGAAATGACGTTTAAGGAGAGGAATTAAGGACTGTTTTTCGAAATTGCAGTTGCAGTGGATTATTTAAGATGTCTCGGGTTGAGGAGAAGTTGAGGTTGTGTTTTGAAAATGGTAACTGTTATGAGGCACATCAGATTTATCGCACATTGTACAATCGATTGTCTAACCAAGGGAAATGGCAAGAGTTACAGGATATGCTCTTCAGTGGTATATTGCGACTTCTAGCAGGTTAATCTGTCATCATAGAGTTCGGCTATCTAATATTTCTCGAAATTGAGGGCAAATTTTATTAATACTTTATGCATACTTCTGTTTTCTTAACACGGACTGTTCTTGTAATCAATGTATTTCTTTTAATTCATGTTATATTACAGAAAGGGAAGCAGCAAGTGCAATCGATCTTGCCGAACTATTTGTAGAGGCTTTGGAGAAGTCGAAAACACCTGTCTCTTCAGTTGTTTTAGATCGTTTCGATGAAGTTGGTTTACATGCTTATTTTATTCTTGATGAGTATAAAAAGGGATAGTTTAACATATACTGAACTATTTTAGGACATCAAGATGCATACACTTTTCTTGTTCTTCTGTGTTTAGAGTTTTTATTCTTGAAACTTGGTTTTACACATGAAGGTATGTTAAGGTAAATGCTTCTCGAACTAAACTGCTAAAAAATGGATCATAAAAATTTTAATTCACTATCGCAAGTATCTTGCAGTTGCTTAATCTTTTGCCAGCTCAACTGGAAAATGATTTGGAAGCCAATTCGGAGCGAGAAGATCGAAGATTGCAATATATATCACTAGGTATTAAATGGTCGATGGCTGTAGGGGATAGGAAGCGCTATCGGCGACGGGGTCATCCCGGATTGCATTTGTTAGTTGGACTTAAATAAGACGTCAAATTGACTTATAAATTAATCATTTTGAAGACTCCTGAAATATTTTCTCTTCATTTCATTTTTGTTTTTAAATCCAACTGATACCGTTTTAGTCGCATTGCAAAGTTGCTGTGGCGTGAAGGAAATTACACCAACGCGAGAAGTCATTTTATGTATTCTGATAATCCAGAAGTAGGCTTTTTTACTTTTTTCATTTCTATAATTTACAAACGATTCAGTTGAATTTCTGGCTTTCAAGAGAGTATGCACTGTTTAGTTTGCAACATCCTGATTCTTCTATCAGTACTGTTTAGCAAGCAATATTGGTTTAGCCAATTTAATTACACTTCATTGTGCAGCAGTTTCTTGTAACTTTCATGTTTTTTTTTTCTCGCTTTAGAACATCTTTAATTCTTCTGAGTTCATTTTAATTTGAAGTTTTTAATTTCAGACATTTGCTGTGTTTCTTACTGAATATCAGATGAAGTACGGGTATACTACGGAAAAAGATTTGTTCATAGCACAAGCTGTTATGCAGGTTAATTCAGTTACCTTTTAAACAAACTAAGATTGACTAATACCATTAAAATAATAAAAATTAAAGGGCTTTATGAGAAATCCATATTATCTTCCTTAATATTCTTGAAAACTTTTTCTTTCTTACTAGAACAGAATATGCTTTGCATTCACTGCTTCTATTTGTAGATGCTATGCGATCAGAAGCCGAAGAGTGCCTTCAAATTACTGCAATGCTATTGTGATATTCATCCTGATATTAGAAGTGGATTTCCATATCCATTTCCATTGCTCAACTTTCTACACTTTACGATAATATGTATTGCTAATAAAGAGGTATCTTTTGAAAACATTCGTGCTAAATTGAACAACTGTATGAGACATAAGAAAGGAATAAGAATCAGTACTGAGTAGTTATCGTAGGAGTCCAAATGCTATTCAAATTTTATAAAAAGCCAGGAATACATTTGTTTTTTACGATGTATTTACCTGTTTAGATATGCTTAAAAAATTATGAAAGAGCAGTGGCTTATCTTAATAAAACTAGTTCCAGTTTCTCATAAGCTTAATATAGCGTATGTCATATCTTGTAAACTTTTGTTCTGATTTTGATTTCTAGATAACTTACTTCTCAGTGCTAATCGACCAGTATGAAAGTGAAATCAGTCATGATCCGGAGTATAAACAACTTTTGGATAGGATAGGTCAAATATACATGGGTTTACCACAACCACAACCAGCTCCGGCTGGTTTCTTAGGAAATATGATTAAAGGTATTTATGTTCTTTTAATGAATGGTACAAGTTTATATTGCTTAGAAATTTGCATGTATGGATTTGGATAGTGTTGAAGAGAAGCTGGTATATCCTTTTTAGAAGAGTAATGATTGATTTAGAAATGATTTAAAAGGATAGTTCTATCTCTGACGAGATTTTTTTTTAAGTTTTAATAGCTGTAAGACTGTGTCTTTAGAGACAAGCTACTTTTTCGTTTTTTTTGAGAATCTTATTTATTTCATGATTCTATATAAAATTATGTGGGCCAACATGTCAAAATTTTAGGCTTGTTAAGATCACCAGAAAATGAATCAGGAACAGCTGAAGAATTTGAAATAGATTCGGAGGAAATGCTTTACATACCGCTTAGCAGCAAAACTGAATGCTTGGCGGGTACATCCAAAAGCAGAACAGCAGGTAGAGTATTTCAAACGGATGAAGCACAGACCGATGATATCACAGATGATATGGATTTAGACTGATATTTTTATGTGTGGAAAATTATCAGTGTCCATCAATTTTCTTTGTACCCAACAACCTTTAAAGAAAGCAAGGATTTTCAAGGAATTTAACCGAATTCCATTTCTTTTAGGAAATAGAAGAGTTAACTGAAATTTTTGAATGAAATGTTTGTTTTTTATTGCCGTCAATAGTTCATGATGTACTTACTACATCACTAATTTATAAAATATTTTGTGGTATACTCAGAAATGAGGTGTAATGAGTTTTTTAATTGATTTATTTAGATGAATGTTAGAATTTTTTGTCGTATGGAAATGACATTTCTGTCTTTTTGTTTTATAATAATCTATTTTTTTTTTTCATTCTGATTCATTGTGAAACATCAAGACTATTAAGCATCAGCTTTCATCTTCATTGCAGTCATTTGCTCACTTGCATGTATAACTAAATGTATAATTTTCTTCCAGATTTTTGCAGAGTCCAAAACAACCGTGGAGTTTTTTTCCTTTTTTTTTTTTTTGAGAAAATATATTTAATATAAGAAAAAGGCATCTATATTTTACTTTCCAAATTTAGTTTCATAAAATTTCAGATATTCTTGTTACCTAAACTTCTGATATTTTGCTTCGTTGTTGTATTAGATATATTTCGAAAAAGAAAACAAATCTCGAGAAGAAAAAAGACGCTCCTTTTTGATTCATGTGAACCTGTCTGTTATTTCCTTTTTCCTTGTGGATCTTTGTATAAACAGCTCCAAGAATTTGAGTTGAAACTTGGAATCATTTCAGGTAATAACCAACACTATCATATTTATTAACTAAATGAATTTTGTAAGCAGAAAAACGCAGAACTTCTGATCGAACAAATGTGTTTAGTTGTGAATGCGTGAAAATATTCCCAAATGAAAGGCATGGTGTTTTAAAATTCTGGCATTGATGTTCTGAAATTCGGAAATTTCTTGTACACTCCGTCTACTCATTTACTTGTTAAATGTGTTGTAAAATTGGAGTATACAGTAAGACTATATGTTCAGTTTAGTCAGTTGGTTCTTGGCGGAGGTAATCATTGGCAGTGTGACCTAATTTTGTTGTAATGATTTGAAATTAACACATTTTCTTTTTTCTGCAATACCATTTAGCATATCTTCAGGTAACCGTACTTCGGGCTTTTGAAATTCCTTCAGTTTTGTTATCAACTTTGAAGCTTCATCGAAATAAGCTGCTCCAAATTTGATTGGTTAAAAATAGTTGAGATCTAAGCGACGATTTAAGAAACGTATAATCTCTGATGCTAAAAGTACTCTGTGTTTGTTGTGTTGCGTATTTCATTGATCATATACTGATTACCATCATTTGTTATTCATTTTAATCGGTTTTACTGATTACGTTGAAATAGAGAAATGTTTTATCATAAAGTTCGTGTCCAACCAAAAATATGCATTTCAGTTAACAATGTCAAAAGGAATCCTACTTGGTGATAAATTTCCGGATTTCCAAGCCGAGACCAGTGAAAGCTTCATTTCGAGTTTCCATGACTGGATTGGTAAAGAGTATGTGATTATGTCATGGTTCAATAATAGGAATTAAAAGGGCAGAAAACCATGTAGTGTGGTATACTTTATATCACGTTCATTGTTATTGAAATTTTCGTCTGTAACCTTTCCGTGGAATTGTGAGAATTTGTAGTATGTAGACATATTTCATAGAACTAAGAGGATTGAATCAAAAGTTTTAATTTAGTTCTAACTGATGTTGATCAATTCTGTTCATTTTTGAAAGTTCAAAATTGCAGTAGTTGGGCAATATTGTTTTCTCATCCACGAGATTTCACTCCAGTTTGCACCACGGAGCTTGCTAGGCTAGTTCAACTAGAGCCGGAATTCAAGAAACGGAATGTAAAACTGATTGGTTTAAGTTGTGATTCGGTACAGTCGCACCGTAAATGGGCTGATGATATCATCGAACTGTGCAGAATGAAGTCTGGGGATAGTAATACCTGCTGTTCAGGTGTTTTTGTTCTTTTAAAATTATTTGTCATTATTAAGCAACTGAAGATCGTGTTATTTGAAACATGATCACTTTTGGTGTCAATTTCGATCTTTACGAACTTCGTTTAACACAGAACTCCTTACTTCACAGGGAATAAACTGCCGTTTCCGATAATAGCGGATGATAATCGTTCTCTAGCCAGTAAACTGGGAATGATGGATCCGGATGAGTGTGATGAAAAGGGCGCTGCGCTAACAGCACGTTGTGTTAGTTCAGAATTCTTTTAAGTCCCATTTTCATGAGTTCTTGATTCAAGAAATGAGCTTAAGTTATGCTTTGTTTAAAAATTCCGTATCATATGAAGGATGTGTGCTAAATTTTTCATTTCATTAAAACTAGTATAATCTTAAAGATGGAACATCGTTTAGAAATGCGAAAAATTGCACAAGATTTCTAGCATGTTTCGTATGTTACTGTTGGTATTTTTTCCAGTTGTTCATAATTGGGCCTGAGAAAACGTTGAAACTTTCTATCCTATATCCTGCAACAACGGGACGAAATTTCGAGTATGTGATATCCTGAAAAGTTTTGCGAATCAACATGATGAATTGATGGAAATGAAGACAAGCACAATTTACTTTTTCCTTAAGCTTCTTCTCCCATTCTTTTTCACTTCAGTTTCAAATCCAATTATTCAAGTTCTTTAAAATGTGTTGAATTGTGGTGCTCCTTCAATTTCGAGTACACCGAAAAGTAATTCACTGAAAAAATTTAAGAACTATGAGTTAATTTCAGTCAAACGAGTGTAGATTAAATTCTACGTAGAGCACAATAGAGAGCTGCCATTATAGAGTGAAAGTTTCGGGAAACATAGTTGCTATTCATTTGACGTTGCCAGTGAGGTTACTACCTCACCTTACTTTTTGGGGTGTCTGTGAATATCAATGCTTCAAAAAGCACGAAACATTGAATGTCAAGATCATAACTTAGGGATGTTCAAATATAAGCTATTAGTTTTAACGTCCTTTGTATTTTGCAGTGAAATATTGCGCGTTGTTGATTCGCTTCAGCTTACGGCAACTAAATTAGTAGCGACACCAGTCGATTGGCAGGTAAATATTTGTATAAGAATAATCTTCGAAATTTATTAAAATGCTGTACTCAGTATACTCGAAAATTTGTCGAAGCAAAAAGCACACCCAGCTAGGGATGCTCTCGAATAGCAGTGAGCTTAAAAATTGTATAAATACTGCCTCCCTTTATTTACTGATTAAATTTTGTAACAGAATGGTGATGATTGTGTCGTGGTGCCAACGATTAATGACAATGAAGCAAAAAAATTGTTTGGTGAAAAGATAAATACTGTTGAGCTGCCATCTGGAAAACGTTATCTTCGCATGGTTGAGCATCCAAAATGAAAGAGCATCTTGTCATTTTTTCCCATTTTATTGAAGATGCAGTTCATGCCGTGAAACTCGAAATAATCTCTCGAACCTCCAGATAACTTACAAAATATATCAAATAAAATTGTATTAATCCACAACACCAAAATTTGTCTTAATTGAACATTCTTTAAAGAAATATAAAACTATTCAGATTGCATCTCGTGTAAGCAATTATTTATTCAACACGCATCTCCCCGCTGTAGCTGAACTTATTTGCTTCTCTAGAATTTTTCAACTGTTAACAAAAGGTATATATTGTTTAATATGTTGAAATCTGCTCCTTTGTTCCAAACTTGCTTGCAACGTTGGAATGCTGTAAAGTTTTCCTGATCTAAATAAGTCATTCTTATGAGAAACTTTCTCTTACTGTAGAATGACTTAATATACCGAAATTCTAGCATTTCTTTCAACTCATCTTGAAATATCACTCATTATCAAAGATCTCCTTTAAAAGACTAGAGATCATTATTATACCAGTTAGAGAACAGGAAACAAAAAACTGATTTACTTGGAAAAGTAGCTTCATTAGCAATAAAAATGTATCACAAACTGCATGGAAACTAGTTTTACGGTATCCAGAAGAGAAACAGCAAGAGATTCTAGATTCTTTTTTTTTTTTTTTTTGATTTTAAATCCCTTTTCCATTACCATTCACTGTTTTCCATTTCCATTCACTGGTATTTTTGCTCTATTACGCTGCTTGCAGTACTCCTTCAACATAATACATAAAACATCGTACACCATAATACAAAGAGCTTGTGCAAATCGTACTGGAAAAAAATCTAATCAAAGTAACGGATGTTTCGTGTGAATTTCTTATTTAGTTTAAGAATCCCAGAAAAAATTTTGGTGGAATGATACAACCTTAAGTCCAGGTCTATCTTCCATTCGTTGATGATAAGCTTTTAAAAGTGGAAATTTATCCAAACAGTGCGGATCCAGGATCTGATGAATGTCAAGTTCTTCGAAAAGGACGAAATCTACGTATGAAATCTGAAAACGTCTCATAGTTTAGTTAAAGCAATACTTTTAAAGCTGGAATTAATATTATTTCGCCATCAATTTGATCATCTCAGTTGTATAGTATCCTTAACAAGCATTCCTATATAGTTTAAATTACAGTTTAACCAAGATTTCCTGGACCTTTTCTCCTAGAATGAAATTTTTTCCATCGTCTCGTGTAGCAAGCAACTTTTCAAATTTCGCCAGCTCTACTGGCAATATATCTTTTATGTAGGAATCCTTTTCAGTGTCCTAAAAAGCAATGAATATAAGCGTGCTTATGCAGGAATGATTCATTGATGAACAGGTTCAGTAATAATTGGTCATAATACAATGATTATTGGTACTTAATTGTTCCAAATTTTCCTCTATTATTTATCTCTGTACAAAGAGATTTTTAGCATTCTGGAATGCGTACCACTTCCAACGAAATGAACTAAATTCATTTCATATGCAGAAATATGAAATGAGACCAAATAATCTATACCAGTTTAGTTGCCTGTTTGAAAATGACGAGAACCGCCCTAATGAAAACGAGTCCAGCAATTCTACAAATTTCGTAAACGATAGCATAATTAATAGGTGAAAGATGTTTACATAAGCCTGGTAAATCATTTTCGTATATTTGGTGTGCAGATCACGGACGCCTTCACAGAACATATCAATATGTGTCGTTTCCAGTTCATTTCCACCATTTAAATCTATATGAAAGAATCATCAATGTTAACTGCATAAACAGAACGAATGCTTAACTACCTGTAATCTGCGAACTACTAAAAATTCGACAACGAACACAAACTATTACTATGTTTGCGAGCAAGATGTCTCAGAATAGCACCGGACTGCACAATTTGATGATCACCATCGTAAAGACAAGGTAGTTGTCCGAAATGCTGAACAAACAGAATAAACAGTTAACAAAAAATATGATTTTCTTCTAATTTTCATATAACTAAACAGTGCTGTATTTACGCGTCAAATAAGCATTACGTAGCAAAATAGCTAACAAAGTGTGATTTCATGGAAGGCCAATCACTTGCATTGATACGATCGTCAGTAAACTTTATACCTTGATCAACCAGTACTAAACGAATTGGTTCAGCCAAGCCTAAAATGAAAAGGAAAACTCAAAAGGCAATGAATGAAATAAAAAGAAAAAATGAAAACAAAAGTAGATGGAAGTAAAAATGAAAAACATCACCCTTCGTAGTTTATCATATGTGATAACTTTAAGATAATCAGGTCATCAATGGTTTAGTCTCTTGCCTTTGTCACAGTGTGCTCATCTCAATTTTTGAATTATGAGTTTAACCAACTTCCTAAGGAAAGTCATGAAACGGAATAGAAACATAACATCACCGCTAAACATAACATTACCGCTAAAAGCATTACAAAGTTGTGGGAAAATTAAGGGATGTAGAATATATTCACAACTATGAACGCTCCGGAAATAATCTGGAGAACTTGCCTCGGATAGGAAAATACGTCAGTTTATAACTCATTACTCAACGATGCAATTGTTCACCTGCAAATGTTATTGGGATAATTGACATACTTAAATAATATGTTATTTGCCGATGCAAATCCACTTTCTGCAAAAGCTTGCGTGCATTTATACCTTTGCTAGGGACAGATCGAGTCGATCTCAAAACCTTTTAAGAAAATCAACTTTTCCTGATTTCACTGATATTGAAACAGTGGTAAACAAACCTGTAACTATACCACTACCAGTATATCTATGTCTATAAAATCTATAAAAAACATTTAACAATAATGTGTTCTAGAAACAAATTTAGATGAGAAGTTGTGGAAGAGAGAGGTGGGAAAAAAGACTACAACAAAGACAATTAATTACAACTAAAAAATTGTATCTGATATCTTACCCACTGACACGCTTCACACCCGTCCAACTGCTTTTCTCCCATTTTAGAAAAAATATGAGTGTGAAACATCGCCAGCCCTGTTGCGCAGAGTGAAACAAAGGGGACAATTTGCAATAACAGTGAGATGAAGAGAGTTCAGTCTGTAACTGATAACAGGACAAAGTACCGCAGTCAGTGCAGTTAAAGCGACTGTAGTAAATTGATAACTCAAAGGATAATTGGCAACTATATATTAACTCAACTCTAACATGCATTTCATTTAGAAGGATGTAAAAGAAACAAACTGTTCTTTCCAATCACTCTCACTCCTTCCCTGACTTTCTTTCTCTACCATTTGGGAAAAAGAATGTTCAATTATTCTTCGTAAAGAAAAAGGAATTAAAACTTCCCTTGTCAAATCATCACATGGCTATAATGACTCATCAAAGACTAATACACTCTGCAATCGACACGCATCTCGAACAGAAATACTCGAGTACTGAGAAGTGAAGACGGACTTCAGATATATCTTAGAAACTTCAATCAATAACATAATAGACAGGATACTTCGTATGAACTCATTTCCCTCCTATCCCTCTTTCTTTCGGTCCTCAGAAAGATGTACAGTGGTATTGTGTAACAACAAACCTAGCGAATCTTGTCTCTCATCTCTACTCAGGGCGCAGTTTGCACTTATTTCTGTGTGGATCATACATTTGCTCATGTATAGGAACAATCATTTCTTTGGTTGGTTGCAAAAGTCAACTCAGAAATGTTCTTAGACGATTAGAACCAATAAACGGAAAATGGAACAAACACATTCCTCAGAAATATTGCGAGAAATATCGAGACCGTTTAATGCAGGAATTACAGAATTGCAATACACGCAGTTAGATCTTAAGAAGACACTTGGCATTCTGTAATTTAAGGGGTTGAAGGAAAGAAATAAATTTTGCAGCGGAGAATAGACGAAGGTTAATCTCAGGTTACCATACCTGTCTAATTATGTATCTTCCTCCGACCTACGAGAAACCTTCTCCGCAATATACTGCTGCAGTAGGGGACATCTTCGAAAAACGAAGTGAGGGATGGAGAAAGAATCATAGGCTACGGAAGGAGGTGACTTTGGGCTAATGTTTGCGAGACTCGTTCGGGGCAAGTCTATATGCCCGAGAGATATTTAGTTCCTTGCTATGGTACTTGTTATGTATGATTCCCTTCGTTCAAGCAAAGAAAGGTCATTCGGTGATCTGTCTTACGTCACATAGTCGGACCAATAATAGATTATATTTTTATGTACGGAGATTTGTGCTAACCTATATATATATATCGACTTCAGTATAAGAAGTTCAGAATGCTTTGCGAAATAAGTCCTCACTTTTTTCTTGCTTAACCGATCTTGGTAGAAATGCTTCTGTCTTGTTTTGGCCAGCTGATCGAATTTTCTATTTTGAAATAGGGCTACTGAACCACATATGTGATTGTTGGTGGATGACGAACTGGCTAGATGGCGAGACTTTATAGTTGCTGTTCGTTTCCTGATAAACGAAGTAGTTGAAAGTGCTTATGTTGTCAGAGAACTAATTCTCATCTCGTTGCAAAACCCGATCTCGCAAAAAAGAGACTGCATCATGTTGGGACGCGTTTTCATCGTGTCCCCGAGTACTTTGTCCTTTGTAACAATCTTCAAGCGTAGTGACTGCATTCACAGTTCTGCTTCGATTCACCGAACCATCGAATTACAAATTGCAGTTCACTATGCTTCGTTTGAGTAGCAGAAACGATGCTGTAGTGTATAAGCCTTTAAATTGTTTAATGTATAAATATGTAAATTCCGCCTCTTGCTACATGCCTGTCGTATTTCTGAGTCTCATCCTACTGTGCACAAGAAGTAACCAGATCAGGTTTTATGAATGCCTCTATCATTAACCGTCGCAGAAATTTGGAAAAGTAAGCATGATATAGGTAATTTATCCACCCCAATAAATTGTTCTAATTATTTATAAAGAAATATCCTCAAATTTTTCTGTTTATTAATTATTTGAATTATGCTGGTGGTATGATTAATCGAATCTTTGATTGTTGAGGCCACCGAATGTTAGAGTGTAGTATGCCCTCAGGATTTCTTTTGTTTTACAGACAGATTCCATTTGAATACTGAATATAGTATATTGTGATATTTTTTAGTTTCGTCTAATCTCTTCACATCATTTAATCTGTACATTTTCAGGTATCACGTCCGTTGTTTTTTATACAAAGAGCCACATAAATTGCACAATTCTAAAACAATGACTAGTTTGCAAGACTTCAATAACTTAATCACTCGTATGCTGTTCCCTGAAAATGAAGCAAGAAAAGAGGCAGAAAAACAGTATGAGAATATTGAATTATTAACAAAGGCTCAGCTGTTATTTCAATTATTTATGGACCAAAATGCTGGTGTTGAGGTATGGTCCCTGAATGTTTTTTTCTTCCAAATGAAAGATTATTTCCTCCTTAATTATTTGATGTGAATTATGCAATGTGGTGTTGTATCGGGAGTAAGCACCTAGCGTTACAGATGCTATGCATTGTTTGTGAAAAATTGTACATTCATTTGTTTTATTTGGGATAATGCAAATTTCATAACAAATCAGATATTCTTTGCTGATAATTGAAGGCTGATGTTCGAAATGTGCTTCATCTTAAAATTTTATGATTTTCAGACACGGTCATTGTGTCTAGTATTAATGCGAAGAATTTTGTCGAACAGATGGGATGAGTTATGGCCTGCTTGGTCTAAAGAAAATCAGCAGCAGTTTTGTGAGCAGCTTTTAAAATCAGCTACTGAAGAGCAAAACGCCGTGCTTCGGAAACGTCTGACTGACGTCATTGCTGAAGTTGCTCGATCTACTATTGGTATTTTCAGTTTTTTTTTTTTATTTGAGAAATCTTTTAATGTGGCATTTTGGAATTTGATATACCCAAACATTTTTAACTATTGAAAATCATATTTCAACATTTACCTCAAATATTCTTGTGAAACAGGGTTAGGAATCCTTTCATATAAGTTCTGTCTAACTGAGGTTAAAGTCAGTAATTTGTTTTTGGACCTTCTATTGTTTCTTTTGTCTTTGCTGTTTAAAGAAGTATTAGAAGTAATTTTAGAGACCGAAACAGGGCGCCAAAGCTGGTCAGGTGTTATTCAGTTCTTGGAATTATGTGCTTCTTCAGATGTTGCCATGTTACGTGAAACAGGAATGATCTTACTGGAGTGAGTTGATTGCGTCGTTGTATAGATCATGCTTGATCTAATAAGAATTGTTGACTGATGAGATTAATAAAAAGAACATAATGAGTTATGAAACGTCATGCTTAATATTTTTAAAGAAATATAGAAAAAGAAAATATCTTTCCTCCTATCTCTTCAAAAAATTTTACTTTAGAACAGACAGAAAGATTTGGTTTGCTCTTTTTTATAGATCTTCATCCTTTTCATATACTGTAATATCTTTCGTTTCAATATCAGTTCCATAATATAATAGTTCGATTTCTTATAATTCAAAAGTTGATATGTATGCATTTTACAGAAATGTTCCATCTATTTTTGGATGTGATCAAGATCGATATCTTCCTGGAATTAAGCAAATGTTCCAGTCATCACTACTTTATAGTAGCAAGGGATCAGTTAGAACTGCTGCAGTACGTGCATATGTTGCTTTCATGTGTGAAAATGAAGAAGATGACAGAGTTATTAGATCTCTTTCTGACCAAGTCCCTGCAGTTATCCAGGTTTTTTTTTTTCTTTGGTTTTCTGAATTTTTTGCCTTTTTTAAGTTCGCTATCGATTTTTTTATATTGACTATTACAGGTCTGTCAACACGTAGTAGCTACGGAAGATGATGATGATGTGCCGTTGCAGTGCTTGGGAGATCTCGCAACAAGTGTCCCGAAAACTCTACAGCCACACCTAAATGATGTATTTACACTCTGCACATCGGTACTGCTGTCACTTGCTGTTTATTAGTTCACATTTTATTCATGCTCAGGTACAGCAGCCTCGATAATTCATTGTTTTCGAAAGAAGTTCAAACTGAATAACCAAAACCAAATCAGATATGCTGGTACTATCCGTTTCTGTACCTTTCTCCTGGTAGCTCTCTTTTGGTTATAAAAGGTATCATGTCACTCTTTAGAAGACTGGGTGGTATACAGCACCTATTTCTATTCACACGTACATACAGTATGGCTACGAAATTGAAGTTTCCGTTTCGCCCATTTATAAGCTTTCAAATTTGTTAATTTAATTGTTTTTTTCCTTCCAGTTCTAGTCATAAGATTCAATCAGAGATGTCCAAATTGCTATTTTTGATGAAGTCAATGTTTTATCTACATCATATCTAATAGTAATATAAAAGATGGTTTAATTACATGCCGAATTTCTGGTAATCTTTGTCATTTGTATTTCCCGAATCAATTTTTACACATTTCCAGACAGTCGCAGATACACAAAAGGATGATTCATATCGACACAGCGCTCTCGAAGTAATGGTATCGTTGTGTGAGAATGCTACTGGTATGGTCAAAAAGAAAGCATCGTCCTTCATTCCAGCATTATGTATGTTTAGTGATAGTGGTTTTTTCTTCCAAGTGAATTGTGATTGAAGAAACGAATTTCATGGAGCAATCACTTGATGAAATTATCGTTTGTTTGATTAGGATGCGTAATGTGAGATCAGTACACAACTTATTTCAGTAGAACAGTGTCTCGATCTAATGACTGAACTTGATGATGACACAGAAGAATGGTTGAACTGCGATAATGCTGATGAAGATAGTGGAGAGGAGTAAGCTTGTTTTAATTTGTTTTCTTATGGAAATATGTATAAACAGTTGTCGGCGACTAGGTATTAAAAAATTCATAATCCCGAAATATTTAGCAATGCTGGTATTGGAGAGTCATCGTTGGATCGTATATCGTGTAGTTTGGGAGGCAAATTTGTGTTGAATTCGTTTTTGCATATTGTTCCACGCATGATGCAAGATGGTTTATTTTCATCTTATTTCTTAAATCCACCCTCTTTAATTGATCCTTATGTTGAAACTCTCTCCGTATCATATTGTTTGATATGGAAAATTGAGCAGGGTTTTAGTTGAAAATTGGAAAAATCGACACGCTGCGATTATGGGGATTTCTACTATTGGAGAAGGATGTAAACGTCAGATGGAACCACTTATCGAAGAAATTGTTAACAATGTTCTGCCATTTTTAGGAGACTCTGTGAGTCAAATTCTGGATTCTTTTGAATTTTATTTATCAGTTTTGATTCTTTGTTTATTTTTGACTAGCTAATTTCAGCATCCGCGTGTACGTTATGCAGCTTGTAATGCTTTAGGACAAATGTCAAGTGATTTTTCACCAACACTTCAGAAGAAATGTCATGAAAAGGTTCATTCGGCAATTCAAGATTTCATCAACTTATATATATTTGTGTCTGCTGTTATATTTATTTGGAAATTTAGGTATTTCGGTTGACATATGGAATTTGAAATAAAGATGTTACATTATCCACATAAATTTCTAGGTTGTCAATGGTTTATGCACTCTTCTGATCGATCTGAACTGTCCGCGCGTTGCGGCTCATGCTGGAGCTGCACTTGTCAACTTTAGCGAAGATTGTCCAAAAAATATCATTGCAGTTTATCTTCCGCAAATAATGGAGAAATTAGAATTTGTTTTGGACCATACTTTCAAACAGGTAGTCTTTCTATGAAACTGTTAGTAGATTTAAAGTAGAACTCGTAAAGATTTGATGGTCCATTTAATTATTGGGGATCATATCCTTGATAATTAACATTTGTTATAGATTATTCATTGCCTAAGATTCTTTAAGCTTCTGGAACGCGGCAAGAAACTTGTGTTGGAACAGGTCATTACAACTATAGCATCGGTTGCAGATGCTGCTCAAGATCTGTTTATTGCGTTTTACGACAGGTATAATTTTATTAATACAGATGGGTTAACAAAAAAGTAGCTTCTCTAGCTTCATCCATGACGCTATTGATCGTTTTTGTGATAAAATTTAAGTGAAGTAATAATTGTAGTTTTTTTTTTTTTTTTTTTTTTAAGCTTAATGCCTCCATTGAAGTATATTTTACAAAATTCAAATGTTGATGAACTGAATACTCTTCGTGGTAAAACTATCGAATGTATATCTCTGATCGGGTTAGCAGTAGGAAAAGAAAAGGTTTGTTTCTTTCGCGTTCATTTTATGGTTCATATATATTTTTCTTTTTCAAATTCATCGGATGTTTTTGTTCGTTATTTTTTCTCCATATTTTATTTACAGTTCGCCAAAGATGCAAATGAAATTATGCAGATGTTATTAGCCAATCAAGCTCAATTCGAGCAGATTTCAGCAGATGATCCACAAGTATGTAAATTACTTTATTTAACGTTAATAGTTTCATATCTTCTATTTGGAGGTTTTGAATTATTTTCCTTTTCAGTGCTATTGTTTTGAAAAATCATAATTATCAGATGCGATGCAAATTCGTTTTTAGGTTTTTAGATTTTTAGGTTTGTTTGTCCGAGATCATTTGAGATCTGTTTTACTATTAATTCATATCACGTTCATAAATGAATTTTAACTTGATTTTTTGATTTTGTTTTCATTTGAAGTTTTATAGATATCTTACATGATTAGTGCTTGGGCGCGGATATGTAAAATTCTTGGGGAAGAATTTGCTGCTTTTTTGCCGCTTGTGATGCCTCCAGTATTAAGGGCTGCATCAATTAAACCTGATGTTACGCTGATGAATGACGAAGATATTGCTAATCAGGAGGAGGATCCAGATTGGAACTTTGTTCCTCTGGGTGACCAGAAAATGTTCGGTAAGTTGGTCTTTTCGAGTTTTTTTCGAATAATTTTTGTTGTTAACAAAATAGGTGTTGCAACGATTTTTGATTGCGTGAGGGACTGACTATTCGTTTAATTTCTTATTACTTTTTAAACTTTGACTTCAGTAAATAAACTTTAGAGAAGAAAAATTTTCAGGCATAAAAACAGCTGGATTGGAAGATAAAGCTACTGCTTGTGAAATGCTTGTATGTTATGCTCGTGAACTTAAATCGGCATTCAGTCCTTATATTGAGCCAGTTACTCAACTAATGCTTCCCCATCTTAAGTTTATGTTTCATGATGGTTAGTAAATATTATTATGTATGTTTTTTCTTTTTTTCTGAAAATGAACTTTTATCGTAGCAGAATAAGACGTATTAGTTTTTCTGAAATTATGGGAGATCACTCAGTGTTCTTTACACGTCATTATAGAGATGTTAAGGGATGTTTTGCTTTGTAAACTTGTTTGTTTCCTAAAGAAAATTTTGCAGCTGTCCGTTCTGCAGCTGCCGATATTTTGCCATGTTTACTGGAGTGTGCCCGCAGTAGAGGTGATCAATTCAGAATGCAACTTTGGAATGCTGTTATATCAGCATACAAAGAGGCTATCGATGGAGAACATGATAAAGAGGTGCTAGCTGATCAACTTCATGGAGTAGCACAGTGTATTGAGGAATTGGGTCCATCACTGATTACTCAGGAGCAGTTGGAACTAATCTTGGGTATCGTCAATCAGCAAATGGTTGAATATACTGAACGGTGTATAGAGCGTGGAAAACATAAAGACGAAGATGATGATGAAGAAGATGCAGTAGAAGCGCTAAAGGAGGAGTTAGAAGAAGAAACAGGTGTACTAGCACGGATTTCAGATGTTATCCATTGTCTTTTCAAAGCATATGGCCAGAATCTCATGCCGTATTTTGAAAATTTAGCGGACTATTTTATCCCATTGTTGGATTCGCGAAGGTATTACAGTGAAAGACAGTGGGCCATTTGCATATTTGACGATGTGATTGAATATGGTGGTGAAGCAAGTATTAAATATCACTCATCGTTCTATGGTCCTATGCTTAATGCTCTTTCTGACGAATATCCAGAAGTTCGTCAAAGTGCAGCATATGGATTTGGAATTATGGGACAGCACGGTGGCAGTAATTATGCACAAGCATGCGCAGGTAGAAATCTTTCTGTAATAATATTAAAGAGATTGAAAAAGCATAGTGCTAGATTAAAAGAATGGAAAAGAGAGGTATGAGGAAGGAGAGAAAATGACCAAAAGTGAGTAATTTGGAATTGAATACTGGACTTCAAAATATTAAATTTTGTAGGCGCTTTACCGCATCTAGCAAATATGATTTCAAGAGTTGACGCGAGATCTACCGAGGAAGGAAATGTAGCAACTGAGAATGCTATTAGTGCCGTTGCTAAAATTCTTAAATATAATTCATCGATGGTCGATGTGAATGCGGTATGTTTGGTTATTTGCATTTTATGTTTTTTTGCATTGATTGATGTGCTTTATTTCTGAAATGGTGATACAGAGATGAAAATAACTCTAAATTTTCTGATTTGAAATATTAGTTTACTTTTATGGTATTGATGAAATTGATAATGTTACCATAATCGTAATCGGCTTTAGTAATTTTGTTTTTTTTTTTTTTTTTTCTTTTTTTTTCTGTTTGTAAATCATAAAAGGTAGTGTGATGCAACCAGTTACTCCAGTATTCCAAAAATGCTGGGTCTATATATATATATATATATATATATATATATATATATATAAGCGTAGCATTTCGTAGCACTTTATTTTTTGTTCATGTAAGGAAAAGGAAATTTTTTGCTTCAGTACACCAAATGATTATTAACTTTTTCTTTGTCTTTTATATTAACTTCTTATTTGTTATTTTTCGTATTTATTCATCGTTATACTTCAATAGGTCATACCGACATTTCTAAGCTGGCTTCCTACTTGGGATGATCCAGAGGAAGCGCCGCATGTTTACGGGTATTTTGCTGATCTTATTGAAAGGTATCTTTTTGTTTTATTTGATTTCAAATTTTAGCTTGTTTTAAATGCACGCAGAACTAACATTTTTGATGATTTCCAACTTTTTCCTGGATATCCAGTATAATGAAAAAATGTAATACCACTCTGTTAATATGAATATGTTGTGTACTATATTTCGAAAATGAAATTACTAAACGTAATATTGAGCAAATCCCGAAATTATTCGTGCTTATTAGTCTTGTTTTTCATTAATTATTTATCAGTGTTTCAGTAATAATCCTTTGGTCTTGGGCGAAAACAATTCCAATCTTCCTCGAATATTAACCGTTATTGTACAAGCCTTTGAAAAAGGAGCGTTTGATGATGACATCGATAAAAATAATGTCAAACATCGTTTGATCAACATATTGAAATTCATGCAGGTATCATACTTGTTTTGTTAGTAGTTTTTAAATATTTAGTTCGACATTGATATCTCTTCATGTTCTACTTTGACGATTACTATAAAGCTTTAATGGATTCTTTTTTTAATCTTAGTTTTTTTTTTTTCTTTTTCGGCTTGGAACCTCTTTTCATTAATGTGTATATGTGAATGAATGTGTCGAGAGTTCAGATTTTTAGCTCATGATTATATTATTCAGATTAAGTTAAGTTGAACTGTGGACTGAGAGATGAGGGTCTAAATTTGTCTCTATACGTGTGGATAGTTTTTTTCTTTGCAGGCAGATAAAAGTCTTTTTGAAGCTGTGGTTGGTGGTGCAGTCTTAACTGAGTCCCAAATGACTACACTACATCGATTGCTAGCATGAAGTATTCCTGATACCAGTAGTCGTTGTTTCATTTTTCCTGTTTCCGCAACTTTTTCACCTATCCAACTTTTCGACCCTTCGCTTACATACGGTAATTTTGAAAAGTCGATCACTCAGGCCGATTGTTTTGCCCTTACCTTACTCATCACAAATCGGCTTTCACTTTCCCTTGATTGTACATGTCTTAGAGTAAAACCGTCGTTACAGTTTGCTCAATGTTTGTTGAATGTCAGTCACTTTGCATATGAATCTTAAGGTATTCACTACTTTCGCTATATTCACACCAAATAGATACTACTTGAACATTTTTATGTTGATTCGTTTCTTCACAAAAAAATGATCATTAATACCGGAATAAGTGCTGAGTGATGCAGTGAAACATCCGCTAGCTCGGTCCCACCAAAAAATTCAATATTAGCTAGTATTTGTGAGGTTGGAACAGGCTAGCAATGCCTTTTATTCAACTCACCTCCTTCCCGCTTTATTTCGTATTTTGAAAACTCGATTTTATAAAGGACTTCGGGTTTTGTTGCGTGGGACTCTTCACATTCAATAAATCCATTTTACGTATGTTTGCATGGTCCCAAATGCACGAATTCCCGGAATATCATCGAAATTGTAATTTCTAGTCAATTAATATAACAGGAAAGAAAAAGAATAGGTATTCAATAGTTTCCATTAGTTACTGATTTTCTTTAGTCTTTTCCAGAGTAACAAAAGATGTGGGAACTGAGAATTAGTCAAACGTCGCGTGTTGATTTTGATACCAAACTACTTTTCTTATTGTTAGTTCGCATTCCTCAAAAGTCGTTATCTGTGAACATAATAAAACTGGTTTCATCAAACAGTGAACGGTTAATCGTTGCTTCCATAATAAAGGCCGCACAATCCTTACAGTAACCGATCTTTACCAGTTCAGCTAAATTTTTCCATACTTTCTTTTGAAGCAAACTATTACTTGTTTGTATTACTTGTTTGTATTACTTGTTTCTGAATAGCACTTTCAAGTTATATACTGCAAAGCAGATACTTTCATATTGTGGACTATTGCAACACATTTTTTACTTGAAATTTATACAACCAACATTTTCCAGAAACTCTCTTTAATAAGTAGTAAAATGTGAAAGTCGAAATAGGGAGAGGAAGCCTTTGTCGTCACCAACACCCATATAAGCACTTTTTGGTGAAAAGTCAGTCACTGTTACTTTTCCAAGGCTCACAGCTCTTGGTGGGAAATTTGTATAAACAGTTCGGCTCCCAACATGCATCAGCCTAATCGAGTTGTTCTGAAACTTATTTTCGGTTAAGCCTTATGTACTCATTGAATAATATGAATCGAGAAATAAAAGTTACCATGTTTTCTTTAGTGCTTAAAGATGCTCATAAATAAGTCACTTACTTTTACACTGGAAGATACCGAAAGGATTTGCGAATCATTGTTAAATGCCATACAATCAATAGATGTTGTAAGATTATCGAGCGCTTTTACGGGTCTTGGAAGCGAGTTTTTCAGAACATCTGCAGAGTCGTATAGATTTACAATTCCTGTACTGGATCTAAAACATTTTATAATTCCTGGAATTAAGCAGTTCATTGCTCACTAGATCATGCAGATGAACCAGCAATTGGTAGGGTAATTAGCAAAGCATCATTCATTTTTGGCAGTATCACAAACCGGATCTAGCCCCTGACAAAACTTATGTTCTATGAAAAGGAACCTTGAAATCCTAAACTTCGTAAATGCTTGCTTCAGTATCGGCTAATAATACCAACTTTGAGAACTTTCTCTAATCAGTCCTTCTGAAGACAATAATCTTATTATACTCATTGCCTTTCAACAGTTTCAGTGACTTACCCACAGGCAATGTATTGACCATTTTCACTTATTTGTATTACTGTCCCCTTAACTGAACCTTCGTCGTAAAATGCTTGTTGCTCTTTCAACTTCCTGATATTCCATATTAATACCTGTCCATTTTCTAAACACTTTCTTTGAGGAGTACTTAACAATAGTTTTACATTTGTTTAATGCAAAGGTGGCCGTATGAATTAAGTTCATGAAATCACGAAACATCGAAACCTACCCTCCAGAGTAAAAATGGTTGATGAATCATTAGGGAAAAACTGTACGGAAGCAATTTTTGCTGAAGCCGTCAAGACGCCAATATATTCCGATGACTGAAATTTGATCTTAATTTAAAAAATCACTGTCAGAACGGAAGAGAAAGCGGAGAAAAACAACTGGAAAAGAACACAAAATAGATCAGTAAGTAAACAAATAAATAACAAAAAAAAAAAAAAATTTGCTGTTACTGCTTTCGTTTCATTATATATATAAGAGTTTCTTCATAGAAGCCAGTATATTTGGTTTCAGTTCCTACTACACTGAGTTGAACTCTTGGTTCAGTTTTTACTACTGTTGGGAAAATCATCAGCTTATTATCCGATCTGTGTAGAATGAAATGTTACACAGCATAACAACAAACTCAATGAACTTTCATTGAATGAAGAATAAAGAAAAGACCAAGTAAATGCACAGTCTAACAACATACCACTGAAGTTAAAACGTGTACTTCGTTATATGCCAAAACAGCTATGTATTTGCCATCAGATGATAGCGAAAAACGCCCCATGTGCATTTTCGTCATTTCTGTAAAAATTTCTCCATATAACAATTGCTTTGCTTTTTTCTCAACTTATAAGATGAAGCAGAAAAAAAAACTAGTACCATAAGGAGTTCTCATCTGCATCACTTTAGCATCCATAAGATCGTAACAAAACAGAGATTTCTGTAATATATGTTGAGAATGGTCATAAGTTATATCGTTTCTTGTATCTCGACTCAGAATCAACATTTCTTAGCAAATATACTAGTACCATAATAACCAGTAATATAATAAGTTATAGCAGTAATAATAATAAACTATTACCACTTTTATTTATTATTATTTATTACTATCATTGTAACTATATTATTATTATTATTTATTACTGCTATTATTATTTATTATTATCAGTTATTTGTTTATTATTATTGCTATTATTATACTGTTATCACTATCATTACTATCATCATCATTAATTTATCACTATTATAATATGTCAAAATGTTAAATCAGAAATATTCTAAGTCCTGGACCTTCTTTTTCGAGCCAACGATTATTTTGGAACCATCTGCAGTAAAGGAAGCACTGGTGATTGGAAGTGCTTTGAAATGGATACTCTGCAGAAAAGCTTCTTCCGTTTCTGGTAAGTCTACCTAAATAAAATGGGTTTAAACTCCTCTCTAAAATTTAACGCAGTAGTAAAAAATTAAACCATGAAAATGCAAGCAAAAAATACCTCGAAAAGACTGAGAAGACCATTCTCACCAGCACACATAAGCACCTTACGAGATGGATGAAATTGTAACGCTCTCATCGGTTTCTAATGAAGCATATTTTACTGTCAGGATGAAATAGATTATAAGACTTCTACAAATCAGAACTTCATAAATTTCAAAGAAATAAGTATGACATATCATACAACCTTCCCAAATCGATGTCCATGTGTAATATTATTCACTCGTTTAACGCTAATTACACTTTTTGTTAATGACCTGCTGCCAGTAACACATTTTCCTGTAAACGTAGTTATTTCGCGTACTGCATCCTGCAGATCGTCGTCATCTGATTCAGCATGTTGAGTTTCCTTTTTTCCACATACTAGAATACTTAATAGATTAAAATTAAAAAACAGCGAATCGTATAACGAAAACCAAAATAAGACACACTTCCGAGAAACTAGACATCAAAATTAAGAACATACAGGAAAACTGAGACCACGCCGGAGCAGCACCAGAACTGTGACAAAACAGTTGTCGTAATCGCCCCTCATATTCCTGGAATATTCGTACTTTAATTTTCCTTGAAGAAACAAACCACTTTATAATGTTAGAGAGTGATGTAAGCTTCCATTACTGAATGTATCCGAGAAGACTAGAAGTATGGGATGTTTAGGAACAGTGAAAATTCCCATTACAAGATTACTGGCAAGACCGCTTAATATCAGATATACTGCTCAGTCATGAAGCGAATTATTGCTACTCCGATGCTATATGATTAGCTTGCTTACATTCCCATTAAACAGGATGTTTAAAAGTAAAAAATGACCTTTGGAGTTAATTTCTGATTCAAAGCATCAGTTGCTTTTCTAATTTGCATTTTTCTCCGATACAGTGGCACTTCCACAACCGCCTCTTCAACTATATCATCTTCATCCTGCCAAGCAGGTTTCTTGCCAACTTCTATCTGAAACAACTTTTCACATGTCTTCCGTTATTTTTATCACTTATAAACTTTGCCACCAAAATTTTGAACAAGCATTGTAACTGACGGAACTTTAGAACTATATTATTATTACTTCTAATAAAAATTCCTGATCCTTAGTTTTCCGTATCTGCCGAACCATTCCTTTGCCTACTGTAATACATTGAACCAAAGATTAATATACTTTAATCCCTTATACCAACCAAATGAGCCAGCTTTTGACAGATGATTTCTTGAAATAAATTTAAAGTTAAAATATTCCTTAAATCTACTGTCTCTGAAGACAACATGAGCCTATCAGATCAAGTTCATCGCCTATATCTCGAAACATTTTTATCCTAGATCACGTAATCCAGATGAATACACCGTCATACCTCTTCTTTAAACATTTCTTCCACCTCGTCATCGTCATCACCGCTATCCTCAAAGCCATCCGGAAAGCCAGCACTGCTGCCAAACAATTTTTTTGCTAACCGATCTTCTTCCTCTCGATCCTCAGTTCTCCGTTTCTGCCGAACCATTTCCTTATCTCTCTGCATATGTTAGAACCAAAGAATAATACACTTTAATTCCCCATACCGACTAAATAATGGTCACAAAGAACGAAATCACAAACAGCATACGACACAAAACTGGCTCAAAACACTAAATATACAATCATAATGATAAGATCCGATAAATCAAACTACAACCCCATCCAGCAAATGTTGCACTATTCCTACAGCTTGCGGGAAAACTTCTGGACCAAGCTCGAACTATAGCCGGCTTATTTAACTCTCAACTCAGAATAAATGTCCTTTCCTGTGATCTCACGAAGATCCACCGACTTAAACCTAAAAGTTGAATTAGAAGAAGAATCACCAGACCAGACGAGCTGCAACGTTGCATATGGTGACAAGAACCAAATTCGCTTGCCTCCCTTTGAGAAATTGAGACTTCCCGATGGAAGCTACAGGGGAGTTGTAGAAAAGGGGAACGCAATCCCCGATGGGTTTTTTCCTGCAATGACTGGTCTAACAGTTTCCATCGCTGCATAGGGTACCATAGAAGGGGAGCCAAAAAAGAAGTGTACGAGTAACGCTAAACCTCACTCATTCCGAATAACAAGACATGAACCGTGGGTGGAACAGACAGGTGATCATATAAAAGGTTGAGGAATATGATTGTAGTAAGCCAGAAAACAATCGTTCGGGATGGATGAGAATGCAAGTAAACAAAAGAAAATCCAATCTGTCATTCCAAACTCTTCTTTCCGAAATGTAAATAGGTGAGTCCAAATTATAACTTTGGATTTCTCAACAGATCCAATCTGACGTAATAAGATACTTTAAAAGCCGATTTATAGGTGTAGCATGCATAGTGAAGGACTGAAATGACATATTTACAACCACAAAATTTGCCAATATCATTATTTGCAGCAAATCACTTTTCGCGCTGTGAAAGTTGCAAAAAGGCTCCTTCAAGTGTCGTCTGTGTCAATGAATAATCAAGAATCCATGGAAACCGTCCCGCAAGTTGGCATAATTTTCCATACATCTCCGACCACCTAAACTGTGATATTATTGGGTAAATTTTTCATTTCAGAAGAATTTGGATGAGCGTTAGAAAGCTTTTAAAATTACTATCCATTGGTTGTTTGTCCTTTTGGAATAAATCCTATTTTATTACTTATGAAAGTGTATATTCAGTATTTTTAACATAACTTGATTTTTGTCATTCTGATGGCACAATAAAATCTTAGAATCTGGAAAATGTAAACAACCAGATACAATAAAACTACTTACCTGTCACCTTCTCTCTTTGTAATATCCCATAATAAGCATGTGCTATGAGGACCCTTCTCAGCACAAACAGGAAAAATTTCTTTGATAGAAGAAATTAGAACTTCCCGTCTATATTGGTCAGCAATTGTTATAATCAGTGTGTATTTTTCACCAAATCTGACAATTCTTCACATATCATATACGAAATAAAAGGCATAAAGATTGACATGGCAAGGTAATTACTATGTGATGTACAGATGAGATATCACTCCTATCCGTCATATTATGCGAAAAAAAAAAAAAAAAGTTTCCTAAAAAGAAAACGCTCAACCTTGTTTTAATATGTTGTGGTGATCCAATAGCAATCAAAGATCCCTGATCCATTATGCCAACACGATTACAGAGTGCTTCGCACTCATTCATGCTATGTGAGGTAAGAAGCACCGCTTGCTGTCTTTCACGTACTGCATTGAGTAAACACCAAATTTGGCGCCTTGCTTTCGGATCAACACCAGCAGTCGGCTCATCCAACAGTATTAAATTAGTTTGTGAAATCAACGCTACTGCTACACTTAAACGCCGTCGCTGCCCACCACTAAAAAAAGCACTTAATAGCTACTTTTGAAAACCAAAAAATAAAATAACAGATCAACAAAGAATAATAAGCAATTCGCTTCCCTGAATAAACCATCCAGAGAAAGTCTGCATAATCTTATTATTTGGCATGTGGTGATACAACTACTGTGAGCATTAGTTCAAAATGTTCCTTAATCAGCTCATATAGGATGATCGATGTCCACCGGTTTGATTAGGCAAACAATGAAGAAAAGGGGAACGATGTATAATAAAAAAAAGTACCTTCACAGAACAGTTTGATATTTCTTAATCAACATCCGCTGACTGTTAAAAATATATATATATTATTACAAAGAAACTAATAATTAAAAAATATCAAAGCTGATCCATTATGGTACACGAGAGGTTTTCAGCAATAATCAAATTATGTTTTAATTGTCCCAGTGTACACATTTTAGAGAAATTATTCCCTACTGCATTAAATAAATTACGAGAATAATACGCAGATTTTATATAATTTAAGAATTCTGCCATCGAACTCAAAAAAAAAAAAAAAATCCATTCTTATTCCTCAGATAAATATTATTAGCTATAACCTAAGAAACTCGACGCAAGAATCCGCATGCTCTGTTAAGGATACTGCTTCAAGGAGAGTTTTGACACGTTTCATTGGATTAACAAAGCCATAAAGTGAGGCCAAAAGTCGTAGAGTTTCTTTAGCTGTTAGTTTAGGATGAAGAGCGTCGAACTGTGGACAAAACCCAATAGTCTGAAGAAAATTTACTCCCACATGACAGCATCATCAAGTAGAAAACAGATTAAAATTTATATCAAACATAACGACAGATGTGATGAAGATCTAAGTTGGCAAGAAAGTTGCTAAAATGCATAGGAGGTGAAATTTAAAAATGAAGTCTTAATTTAATACATCAAAATCAGACCTGTTTCTTCAAAATAGAACGGCCGTTGATGAAAGCTTCGCCTCCATCTGGTATGGATACACCAGTTAGCATATCAAATGCTGATGTTTTACCTGCACCATTTACACCTGGAATTTTGTAAACTTCAACCACTTTAAAAATTGGATTTCATTAATTCAGAACCCTGCAAATTACCACAAACATAAACGGAGAAATTGGAAGGCAAAAAGTTAGAATACGGCATGTCCAATATGTTTTTTGAGAAAAATCTAAGGTTTAATTCACTAATCTAAGCGTCAGTACTCTCTTTTATCTCTTTAAAATGCTTCCAACTCACTTAACAAATAATGAAAATGCGAAATTTAATGAAACGGACCCAGAAGACCAAAGCATTCACCGGGTTCGACACCAAATGTAAGAGCACGAACAGCGTGCAAATCCCCATAGTACTTATTCAAATTACGGACAGCAAGCGATAGCTCGGTATTCCTTTTCCGCGATACACATTCTCGTTCTTTCTTTACATCAACATCTTCCAAGTTGTCTTCATACTAAAATACTTAAAAAATTAAAAAATAAGCGTTTTTTTTTTCTTTTGGAAGCTATATGTCCATCCAATCTTCTCCAATTAAAGATGAGCTTCTACAATTACGAATTCTTTCTCAAATTCGCATTATAGCATCGTTAGCGAATAACTTCACTGCATTTGTAATTTCCGAAAAACTTTCCAGGGTAAAATGAAAAATCTAAAGAGAGTTGGAAGATTACCTTATCATACCAAATCGTTTGCAACATATTTTTATATACTTCTATAGATTTAGTAAAATTTCCCACTCAACCATGTTACCAGAAAACACCTTTCAATAGCAGGATAAATTTTTAGTCTAACAAAAGCTACTGTGTTTCATTGCTGTTAAGCCATGAAACACCGCAATATAGTGCCTTATTTTGCTTCCGCATAAATCTATCGAAGAAGATATGGCATTCTGTTTCTTTGATAAATAGCAACGAAGAATTTCAAAACTCAAAAGCGTCTAAGTTTCAAAAAATGAAAATTTGATTCAAACCAGTGATAAACATGATGGTGTTCTCCGTATTATCGACAACAAATCGTGCATATACATGGTCAGGGGCTTGAAATTCATCATTATTAAAATAATCCAAAATAAAAGACCCGAGAAGAACATCATGACATAAACACGTCCAAGTTTCTGAAAAATGAAAACTGATGTTCTTTTAAATCTGATCAATTTTATATAGGAAATATAGATTCCAGCTAATTTTCGCTGAAACATTAATCCAGCTGAACATTAATGAATATTAATAACTGACAACAGTAACAACTGAACAATATCAATAAATGATTTGCTATTCCAAAAAAAAAAATCATTATCAATTCAAAAGTTATACGCACTATACAGCAGTAATACTATAAGAATCTAAATTGCGTCTGCTTGAAATTTGAAAACATATCTAGCACTTCAACAACTTCTGACCTTTATAAGTTCTAACAATGAAAGTATGGATTAGGTTCGGTGATTTCTAAAATATGTAACACAACTTCTGCCAAACATCCTGACATTATGGAGATTAAAACAAGAATTCAGCGGTGGCTGACATAATAGAGAGATATAGGACGTAAACAATGATGATCCATTAAATTTGTCAGACTCATAACCTTCTAAGCTTGGAATGCAAAAAAAAAAAAAAACAGTCTACAATTTCCAGATTTCGCAAGTCCGTCCAAAATCTTTAGTGCTCATTCTTATAAAAGATTTAATATATTACAAATTACGACTTCATTCTATACATCCAAAGAAACACGTTCGTTCATTTTTCATCTACTTAGTCTTAGCATCATATTACTTACAGTCGTCAATGAATGTAATTTTCAGGAACATATATTGCTCTAACTAAAAAGTTATGAAAGAATGTGATATTATACGAAAAAAAAATTTTTCTTTTTCTTCGTAGGTGCATTTTTTATAACTGTAATATTTCCAAGTACATCCAAATTTTTTAAAAATTAAGTGGGAAAAGCACCTCCCAGCTGTACAGACCATTCGTGTCCTTGTTGACATCAGCAACTAAAATTATAATCAAACTGTATGACATGCTGTACGTCGGCAGCGCAAGCAAGAATGTTGTCTGAAATTCAACGAAAAAAGTTTATTTCTCTAATTTCCTCGATAAAACAAAAAAGTTTTGCATGACGCACGATTTAGAAAGCACATCAGTAGGATTAATTTAACTGTTTCCAGAAGAATGATCCTATCATTTATATCACATGTTAAACTAGTACCAGAAACCCGAAACAATCGGCACACTATAAAATAGAGGTAATTAAAATTTCAATTTTAAATCTTTATCTATAGAGAGTTCGTGTTCTAATAAAAACCATTTTAAAAAGCATTCCGCCACTCCATAAACATAGTTGAATCCATAATCAAATGAACTTCAAATTTTGAAAATGAAAAACTTTTTAGTGCTAAAACCACTTACATGTAAATACGGAAATAACTTCGGCTTTATGGACATCATAATGTAGGATATGATACTAGCACAAAGAGCAACGACCAGTGTTATGATAATTAGGACAATATAAGCTCGTGCTGAATGCCTAATTAGGAAAGCCATGCAATAAACAAATGGCAATGTTGGCCATAAATATATCAACCAAAGCAACATCACACTGTAAATAATCATGTACTGGATGACCATAACATAAATTCGACTTCCATCTCACCAAGATGAGAGAAGACAAGTTACTAAATAATTTGAAACACATAAGACAACTAAAACCACAAGTATAAATTTAGGAAAGATATCACTATGTATACAAATCAAGTCAAATCGTGGCAAATCCAAATTATCCTAAAATTCTCAAATAAACATAGAATTAAAACACCATTATATATCCATGAACATGAAATCCCTAGTTACTAGGCACTAAAGATATAAATTCTGTACTTTTAACTCTGAATAAACTTCGTTTATGTAAAAACTTACTCAAATTTAAGGTTACTCAACCATTCGCCTAAAATGGCAATGAAAACTGCACAGATAAATGCATAGAGTATTAAATCCGAAATTATCATAGACAACCAATAAGTGAATGTATTTAATCGAGTACGAAGTTGCTAAAAAATCCATTTGACAACTTTCGATTATTTGCTTTATTTTTTAGTGCAAATATAAAAAAATTCCAAGAGTTGTTTTTTTTTTTAGTTCTGAAAGTATTCCAGAACAGAAATTTTTTGTAATAAAAAACACTCTAGCTACACTTACTAGAAAATGAAGGCGTAGAGTTAATTTGGCGATTTCCGGTTATTTGCTTTAGCAGAGAAAACCTTACAAGTCCTTTACAAAACGGTTTAATGAAAGGAGCTGAGGTTAAGCATATCGAGGATTATATTAACCAAAATAAAAAGACAGTGAGAAATAAAGACAGGAATAAAAAAATGCATTATGAAGAATAAAAACAGGTGGACTTTTAGCAGAATTAACCTTTGACATGGACTACCGTTTAATTCGAAAATACCAATTAAAATTATAGAAAAGGCTTACCTGATAAAGAAAATTAGTGTTGAGATCATCGACAACATAAGTTACGAAGCCAGATGAGACAAAAGCGAAAATGATAATCAAAATAGGTGCTATCAAAAACATGTGAGAATTCAATGAGACTAACGGACTAACACCGCTTACATTCCCATATGGAAGGAATGAAACTTCAATGGAATCTGAAAATGAACTCGCTACATAGAATATCGAGTTTTTTTGAAATGTTGTGAATCTCTAAAAAATTTTAAATCAAACAGATCTTGATTACTTCCTTCTTTTTGTGTAGATACAGACAAAGCTGAAAATAAACATCGCATCTGCCAGGATTTAGAAAATATTTTGAACACAATCACAGTGTCAACGGAAGAAAATTGATATATTTTGCTTAAATTCTATAAAATTCCAACAAATTTAAATTTATACCTGCAGACTGCCCCAACCTTGCATTGTTCACTAACGTCGTTGCAATAACCGGTCCATATCTAGCTTTAGCGTTGAAAAATGCCGTAGCAGCAATGTAACCGCCCTTTGTGTTGTACGTGACAGCCATGCCGACAGGTGGTGGTATCTAAACATTGTATTTAAAACTTATCATAGTGCAGCAGTAAAAAAATAATAGTGTTAATATATCACAAATAACAGTGATTTAATTACGCCACCAAATCATGAAGTGGTATAATTAAATAACTGTCGTTAATTTGATTAAGTAACATAAAAAGATAGTAAAGCATTTACTTTAGGCAATTTAGCAAGATTAAGCTCCATGCTTTCAGACGTGGAGACTAGCTTGTATGAATATCCGGTTATATTTCGTATTATTTCCAGGACATTATGACCGAATAGCTCTTCAGGATTCTCCAGCTGTACAGGCACAACACATGGACTTATACGTCCTGCATTCAACAAAATTTCTGCAAATTAAATTCAAAAATTACTCAGTTCAACGAACTGCCGGTCTTTTCCTAATCTATATCTACAAATTCAAATAAACTTGCAATCCTACTTGAGAATATATATGAAATGTACCCTGTCTTTTCTCTTGAGTTGACAAATTTTTCACATAAAAAACAATAAATAAGAGCACAATTATAGGAAGTAAGATTTGACAAATAAGTCGTGACCATTGCTTCTGATAGCATATGAAACGCTTTCTAAGCAAAGCAGTAACCTGTGTGAGCCATAGCAACAATCCTGTATGCATAACTGAAAATAAATAAGCGAATGAAGCCAAAAATCCACTTGTGTAGGAATTTCCCATACTACATTTGCTTGCTTCAACTTTCATCGTTTAATTTAATCTCTTCTGTCTTCTTTTCGTAAATTTCATCCCACACTTTAAACACTGCTTCGGTAAAAGAGACTTATTCAACATATATGCCTTGTCTTAGACGTTTTTATTTTATATCCACACTCGAACATACGTTAAATTTTCTAAAACATTGAAATCAAAAAAGAGATACTAACATGAATTACTACATAATATGGAAGCTTGTTGCTCCGCCATATTTTCCAGGTCGGTTATAGATGTTAAATTAACATCCTCAAGTTCTCCAACTCTAAAACAACACAAATTATGCAGTAATGATTAAACCTTCACTTTTTGAATTATTGGTCATTCTCATAATAATAGCAATTTGTCGTTCAACAATGCACATTAAAATGTAAAATGACAAAGTCTCGAATTCAGCAGATTTGATAGTTCCAGGCTTTCCGGACTAAACAGCAGTTTGCTGCCTGTGAAGGTTATTAATTAATTGGTACAACTGATAGAAATTTTATCGCTAAAATCAATTCAAATGAAATCAGATACACACAACAGAAAGAATTACTTTAGGAAAACTTGTTCCAATGTATTCAATGATAAGCCAAATGAATTGATACCGTATTTGCCAGCATTCTGTTCCAGCTCAGTAAACAGATTGGGAAAGCTAAAATGTTGATCAAAAAAAAGTGATAACAGTCGAGAAAAGAACCAATTAAAGGGAAAAAGACCGAGTTGACTTTCATTTAAAAAATGTTTAGAATACATTACAAATAAAATAGCTTTTCGAATGGAATGAGAACTTGAGAACTAAAACAGTAAAATAAAGGAAAGAAAGACACACAAGTGGAAAGAGACAAGAAAAAACCTCTTCTTGCATTCAATAGGTAATAAAACAGTCATCTGATGAGAAGTTGCTGATTGTTTTTCAGTTTCAGGGATATATTTTCTAATAGCTGACAACAACTGTTCCTTCTGATCAAAATAATGCAAATTTTTTTGAGGCTGCAAAAAAAAAAAAAGAAAAAATAAATAAATAAAAATAATAATAATAAAACATTGAAAAAGTGCAGTATACAAATTAAAATACATATCTCAAAGCTGACCCACTTGCTAGCGAAGTCAATGTGATTCCTCTTTCCTATTCATATTTATTAGTCCAACTGTGGTAACAACATATGCAGTTTGAAGAAAGTAAATATTTACTTTTTTTTTGTGAAACTTTTAAATCTTCCTCATGAATACCACTACTGTTCAGAACTTCATAATTCAAATAGAAAACAGAGACATAATCCTTAAATTAAGTATGACCTTTCACTTAAAATCATAAAGATTGGAAGTTTGACCAAAATGTAGAGCTAACAATAATCTAATATTGTAATTCAAACTCACCATCAAATCAATCGACAACAAATACCCTGTTCCAAAACGATTTTTCAAGAATTCCGACGTACCGGCACAAATTAATCGACCCCTTACCATAATTGCTATGCGATCACCCAGTAAATCTGCTTCATCCATACAATGTGTTGTTAAAAGAATAGTTCTAAAACAGATTTATACAATATTTCAAAAGTAAATATGTCTAAATTTGAGAAGCTGAGTAAATTATCAAATGTTAATGCAAATAAGCACATATATGCGCACTGCTCATATAGGACGTTGATAAAACCTAGTTTCAGCAATTACAAGTAATTCAGCTGTAAGAAATAAGATAAATCCTAAAATGACGTGAAATTACCTATCACGTTTGCAATGTTGAAGAAGTTGGAAGATGGCTTGTCTAGAAGCTGGATCCATACCAGCTGTAGGTTCATCTAACAGTATAACGCGTCGTCCACCAACCAAAGATATTCCGACACACAATTTTCTTTTCATTCCGCCACTTAGTTTCTCAGCAATCTTAAACATTAGAATAACTTTTTTTTTTTTTTTTTTTTTTTTAACTTTTTTAATCAGACTTTGGCCTTAACACTTTTGACTTTGCTAACAATTTAGATTAAATGAAATGTCTCGAAATTCATCCCACCATATCACTTTCCTTATATATATATACGGCGATTCATTCCCAACAATTTAATTATCATGACAGCTGATAAGATGAAGAATATAAGATATATACCACGTCAGCTACATTGTCCAATTGGATATCCTTCATCAGCTTCATAGCACAATTAGCTCTACTGCTGCTGAGTTTCCGAAACATCTCCAAATGTTCGCGTACTGTCAGCAAATTAAATAGTGCATTATACTGTGGGCAGAAACCGATCTCTCGTTGGCAGTAGTCAATGGAACTTGATTCCATCCTGCTGCCACAAATGTAAATAGAGCCAGAAGTTGGTGAAATAAGGCCTGTTATCAACGAGAATGTTGTACTTTTCCCGGCACCATTGTGTCCCAGAAGAACGGTTATCTAGAAAAGAATAATGTCGTGGTGCAACTGATTTTGAGCAAGCAGAAATAAAAGCTTAAGTTGTTAGATTCGTTCAGTTAAAAGGAAAGACGAAGAGTCGCTCCAAGATACTAAGTAGCCAGTAAAAAATCTATTTAATAAATAGACCCAAAACAGTAACTACTGACTAATGTCATAACATCTGTCCCTCTAGTTAAGTACATTAAATTTTTACAATATCAAAATTTAACTCATGAACAGCTCAAATAAGTTCTTGTCCATCGCTAGTACAACAAAAAGAACGAATTACCTCTCCTCGATAAGCACGAAAAGACATGCCATCAACAGCCGGTATTACGGCAAAAGTTTTCGTCAAATGCCGTATATCGATGTCTGCTTGGTCGTCTCCATGTTCCTGAATGTTCTCACTCGGAGTATCGGAAGAATCGTAAAAATCGCATTGCTGGCGGTCGCTGTTCGATCGCTATAAAAAAAAAAGAAAACATAGAAGTATGTTTGTATGAAGATGAATAATCTTAGTTTGTTCACTATTTTTGCTGACGTAACAATTTCTCAGTTTTCTGATCAAAAAAGTTCTACCACTATAAAGCACGTGAACCAACTACTGTGTTATATGCTTACTACCAATTGTAATTATCCACTATCCATTCAAATTTTTCTGCTCATTTTAAGAGTCTATGGAAACAAAAATCAAACATAACACGAATCATTTACATTTAAAGAAAAAAATGACTGATCTTGTTAGTAAAAAAAAATCCATTAAAGTTCTGGAAAGAGTAATATGAAGGATGATATAAATGCAGTTTTTGTTTGTCAGATAATACTCATAAAGGCATAAATGTCACTTAATAACTTTATTTATAATTAGACCAACGACTTCGTATTACTGGTTTAAACTTACACGTAAAAAGAAAAACCAATCCTTCCGTGGCAAATCACCAGAGGGATAGACATTGTCCAAATAAATCGCTAAAACTGACATCCAAACTATATCAAATATCATCATTATTAGCGCCATTCCGAGTGGAAATATATACGTCGTATTTTCAAACATATTATAGGTACCCAAGTATTCATCTTAAAAAGAATTGCTTAGATAAAGATCATTTTGCTACTATTAAGCGTCTTTATATTTAATAACACTTCGAAGATATAAGAAAAATATCTACTATTCCAAGAAGAAATTGAAGTTGCGGAAAGTGAAAGAAGAAAGTTTTTAATTAGAATTTAATTCGATCAATTCAAAGGACGGATCGATGAAACGAGCATAACCAAGAACTTCGCGAAAGCATCACAGAGGATACAACATTACCTGGTCAATAAAACAGTTGTGTTACAGATCAGAGTGAATTTTGCATTGTCTTAACAGCAGCGTTCCCAAATAAGATGTGCAAGGAACTCCGAGAAATGTTTAAAATTTTGCTACCATCCATTATGGTTAAAAACCACTTCCTTATTTAGCTGTTGGTGGCTTCAAATCAAACTTCGATTTCACGATAGTGCTCTAACACCACTGTCAATAACACTTGAAAGTCCAAGTTATATTTATTAGGAAATCAAAGATATGCAGTTACCTCGATTCATATAATCCTGCATAGCATGATAAGCACAAATAAAAGAATAGTTTAAATTCAATGAAAGTATAATATTTAGAAGAACTGATCCTTCTGTCACTTTCAATCTTGTCAAGCCTACAAAAATTTGAGAATGAAAATGATGAATAAAACTAGCAATTACGCTAACTCCACTAGCATTTTCATCAATCTGCAAATAATTATGCTCCGCAACGATTAAAATTATTTAAAAAAAAAGCAACTCACCAATAGTTGCAATCCAAATAACAGCAGTTCCTTTCGCCGCTGCACCAGGACTATGGAAAATGCAGGACATTAAAAGAGCAAAAGTAACAGCACCGGTACCATAAATAAAGTTAGTAGAAAAAAATAACCATGGAGATATTGCCTAAATACATACGAATTCCACATATTTTGTTACAGTGGTTCTACTAGCTTTCATAAATGAGGTATTTTATATTCGTGTCAAGAAGCGGAACTCGTGTCAAGAAGCGGAATATACAAAATTACCAAATAAAGCCATCAGACCAAAACATAGTTAGTATAGATCACATTCAATACGCGCCTAATTAAGTTGCCAGATTTAGTCTTTTGAAATAAAATTTGAAAAAAAAAAATGGAACAAAAAACAAACTGCGACCTGAATCTCTGGGAGTAACATAATTGTACATGACAGCAAGACTGCCATAGCTTTGATGAAACCAATTACTGCATGTGCAATATAAAATGTAGAGGACTGCATGCCCATTACTGTTAGAAATGCCTCAAAATAAGGATCAAAATTAATGCATGTTACCAAATTATTTTACAATTCTTTTTTAACACTCATACATAACTACATTTAGTGTATAAAATGACATAAATCACTAAAAACTATATCAAACAAATTTTAATTCCCAGAACTTCCTGAGTCTAACTTCGTCAGTATCTATCTATTCTATATGCACATGAAATTAAAGTCAAGTCAAACGTATAGAAAACCATAACAAGTGTTTCAATTCTTTGTCTTCGATATAAGACTGTTAACAATTCTCAAACTGATTCGGTATACCTGACGATTTATACAGAAATTCTTAAAAGCTGCAATTAAAAACAATGATAAAATTCAAGAAGATAAAAAGAAATCTAACCTTCATACCACTATGTTTTTCAGAAGCAATATTTGTAACGGTATGCAAAATACAGGGCAAAGTAAACAACTGCCAGAAAATTATCAGAAAAGAAAGGAATTCTACGATTGATTTTTCAAAATATGGCGGCTCAGGGATACGTTCCAAACTGAGTTGAAAATTGCTGTCGTTGTTTTTCTCACCATCAATTCCCTATGAAAGATAACGTTTTGTAGACTCGTTTCATAACGTTTATCATTCAGCAGTGTAAATGAAACTGAGATATTTAAATCAGAACGTTCCCTTAAGTTCGGTAGGTTATAAGTCAACGCAATATTGGCTTTGACGTATAAACTGTTAAACTAAACCAATACACTATTTTCAAAAAATGCCTGTAAGATACTATTTGGTTAACAGTAGGAAAACAGATACTTTAAGAAATACAGTATCAATTGCATACTGTAGTGACAAGATACCAAGAGACCAATAATTGGGCATCATATTCATTATAAACGGATCATTTGAAATTTCATATGGTCCCCCATTCTCCCAGACGTCATCACCAATATACCATCGTGTTTGAGGATCTTCTGTCTGGCGTATTCGTATCGTATAAGAGAGGCGCGATATGCTACTGTTGTATTCGTCAAATATAATACCAGCTATAAAATATGCAATGATTTAGAAAGCGCCAGAACTATTCACATGTGTTTCACTAAGTATTCAAGATTGAAAATTTTCAATGAAAGGCGATCATTAACCAAAGCAAAGCCTCCTCAATCACTTAACAATTTACCAGAAAACGGTAACGAGGTTGAACAGCTACGGATGACTTTTTCTTATCTGTTGTAATTTATTCAATAAATGTTGTATGCATGTTAATATCGAAATTTAAACACACCAATATATTTAGTACACATGAAAGAACGGTGGTAATCCTCCAACAGCACTTCCATCATAGCTGCCTCAGTTGGAAATATTTTCACATTCAACTTATAAATGTGTGAATGCAAAGCTGAATTATTCATCAAATAACGAAATTCTATCTCGCGAGATATCCACAAAATCTGTTCCTTATCCATATTGCTTCTGGAAAATATATATTCATATTTCATTTTCATAATGACACAAAAAAAGTTGAATTAAAAACCATAAATACGAAGCATAAGACAGAAACCTTAAAATATCAAGAGGAAAAAAGAATGAATGAACTTACGGGAATACAAGTCCTAAACTTCTCTGACTAAGCATTCCACAGTAACTGTAAATTGACTGCATATTACCGAGACGTCGATCTATATCTCTCCAGTCTCCTGTCACTTGAAATGATTCCCAGAACTGCGCTTCATGTTTGATAGATGATGAGTTCTAAAACAATCCTATTCAGTAGTACTTCTACAAAAGTCCTAATATAAAGCAAACGTATATGTGTCACTATGATATATGTTCAAGGAAAACATGAAATCTTGCAGATCTATTCTTTTCGATTCATCCGTTTGTCTATTTAAATTCACTTGATCTTTCCACTGCACTTTTAAAATCCTTTTGAGCGACTTTCCATCATCAGTATTTAAAGAATTTTTCCACAACATTACTAATGAAAATTAAGAGCAACTATAGAAGATGAATAACCTGCAGGACAAGAGTGATGAGAGGGACGGAGATGACCAGAGGAATGGCTATTTCAACAATGCTCCATATCTTACTTCGCCAAAGAATAGTAAATTCTTTGATAAGCAGTAAACGTAGATGAACCAACGATAACATCTTTGTTCACTGATGCTTCTTGTTTTCTGCATTTGCTTTCAGCTAATCACATCAAGCTTTTTTCCTGTATGAAGGAAGTTTAATGTCACCTGCTAATGAATCAGTTAATCTGAAACATAAAATGAATGAATAGAATGAGACAACAAAAAGAAGGAAAGAAATGAAAAACCAGCGCGTCAAATCCGTGACACCCATCATCAGTGCTGACTTAAGCGGGCGCCGTCATTTGCAATGGTGTGAGGAATGAAAACAGAAATCCCACGGAGGGGATACTGTCAACTCAGAAGTTGCAACACTGCAGAGTGCACAACGGGTACATGTGTCAGAGGTGTATGTGACAAGTCCCGACATGTCTTATGACAAATGTCTTTTGATTCAATGGGATGATCCTAGGTAGGTGATGGGAAGCTCCATAAATTGCGTGTTTTTTTTTTTTTTTGAAAATCTGATTTATAATCTATATATTGAAAGAGATTGTTGTCTTCAAGATGATAGAATTTGTCAACAAAGTTGATTTGGTTAAAGTCAAATGATCTTTTTCGAACTTAAAACTTCCTTAATTTTCTTCCGTTTTTGAAATCCATTCCATATCACCAAATTATATTATCATTTCTATTATTTGATTAGTTTTTGAGGATTTCGGAGGAAAAATTCCTCATTTTAGTTAGGTTATTGCTTTTGAGAAAAAATAACCTTAAGATGACAAAAGCAATTTGCAAAACTGGATAATACTGAAATATTTTATTTTTTATTTTGATATTTCCCTACTTTCTAAAATCATTTCCAGACTTTTCTGTATAAAGCAGCCAAAGGGAATCTCTGTCAATTAATCCTTGCAGTGTGCAATATCTCGCTGCTACACCAATAAAATAATGATAACCGTAATAGGAATCTTTAGCATTAATTTCATGATGTTCAAAAATCATAAAAACAACGATTTCCTTTACTAAAACACAATAGTTCATGGAAGTTTGATTCGTGTCAGAACTAAATGACTGAATTAAATCGCAAGTTTAGGATTGGATGAATAGATTCTCATTGCCTGAAAAAAAAGAAACAAAACGTAAGTCTTGGGGCTTCGGAGCATTTTAATGGCTGCTTTTGCAAAGGCTGTTACTTTAAGGTGAAGGGGACAAATGGTTCATGTCCAGACTGACTGAGATATTCGTTCCGTGGTCAAAGAGTGAGCCAAGGAACGAAAGCTATTATTCATTCTCTTGTTCCCACTTCATTCAAATTATATTCATTATATTTAGACTATATTTCATCTTTTAAATTAGATTATATTCAGTTTTCTCTCCACTTGTAATTATTGCTTCCGGTATTCACAAATTATCAGTTAATCAATTAATTGCTATCTTGTCATTATTCTTTCAAGATAACTCCATTCATCTAAACCTGTTAATAGGTTGGGCAATTCAATGAACTCATTTTTGCTGCTTCATTTAATATTTAATCGACTGCAACAATTTTCACCGGACAGATTCAACTGCGAGCAATATGACAACACATTTGCATTCTATCCGTATAAAAGTGCGAATAAAAAAGCATGGAAGGACGCTACACATCTACCTATTGATGAAACATTGTTCCCTTTTCCATATAGCGTATAAATCAAGAAGCAACTCCGTGTGTAGCATTCGGTATGAGAGTGTATACCGAATGCTACACACAGAGTTGCTTCTATTAGCCATGAATAAAAGGAATGTGCCTGAAAAACCTATATTATTCTAAAAGTAGTACTCTGTAATACTTCATGCCCAAGCTGATTTGTGAAAGAGTTAAGTGCCAGATGAATATGAAAGGAATGGATGCATACTTAATTCGGTTATTTGCCAACTAGAAAATCTAAATTATTTCCTTGGAATTTTCCATGCACTTACTTATTTACTTCCTTAGTTTATTTAAGTGTTTCTCTGCTGACTAATTAATTTACTATATTCGTTTACTTTGATTAGCATAGTTTACCATATTTCTTTTGTTTGTTTCTTTATATAATGTATGTCCAAGAAAAAGTATAACATTGTAGTCGAAATAAATTGCAAAAAGTAGCGATTTCAATCTTAATAAATGAATAGATATGTTGCATCCATTCCACATTTTGGTCACTTGTGGTAGTGTTCCTCGCAATGTGAAAGGTTAAATTCTCTCTTTTCGACCTTAATGTCTTTGTGTGCTTTGTAAAAAAAAAAAAAAAAAAAAAAAGTCAATGAAATTAATTTGCTTGTTATTTCTTTTGTCGCTTTTTTCCACTTGTTCAAGTAAGTTTGTCACTTTCTATGTGAGCATTGGCTCTGCTCATTGTGTTTCGTAAATTATCTTGGGGATCGACACTAGTGACTTCTTCCAACATGGTTTGTTCCATAATGAAAATGCAGTAAAGCTTTTAGCTACGACTGCATAAGATTCATTCAATTTGTCAGTAATCGTAATTGATATTAAAACACTTGAGAGAATGCAACATTCTAACAAACACCTCAGATTAATCTAACCTTAACGATTGTTTCCAGTCTCTTTAATTTCGTTATTTTCCATATTTTTCAGTGATTAGAATAATTTCGCCAGTTGATTTTGGAGGAAAAAATATATGCCTGCGGAGCTATGTTTTCCAATATTCCCTGACCTTTCCTTACTTTTTTCACATCTGGATCCTGATAGTTTGTCCTATCATTGATCTTTAGCTTTGTCGTTAATTGAAAAAGCATCTAAAACAACTCTTTTCCGATCTAAAACAACTGCACTATTTCTTATATGTCATCGTTTTGTCGCGCTTAGGATTCTTATGACAATTTCAGATATTACACTACCGCTGTTAGTAAAGAATAGAAGCAGAAAAAAGCTCTTATTAAGTTTCATGGAAGGTTGTCCACTTCAAATTGTCATTGGAAAGATTCTGAGCTACAGTAAGTAAAAGTGTGTGGGCTGTTATGAAAAAATTATAATAGATACGAGAGTTTGAAATGTGTAATTCTCATTTATAGGGAAATCTTTTATTTTCTGGTTGTTGGATATTATGCACAATTCCAGTTTTTAGACAAGGCTAGAATTTTTTGTGTTGTGATGAATGAGTACTTTTGGAGCAGCTTTATACATGTTTATTTGATGGATTGATCTCAACATCTCTGAAACGCTTTATGTTATACATTTCATGAATTTTTAATATATTGCTACTTTATTGCCAAGAAATTGCTAAACCAGTGCAATACAAAATTCATTTTGTCCAAATGGATTGAGGAATTCTTAAATATTTCTATTTTTAAAATTTTCTTTCTTAGGCAACGGAATTATACGTGTGAAGTCAACATGGTATTTACCGCGAAAACTGTATGACAGAATCATGAAATCTAAACGTTGCTACTGGAGATTTGAAGGGCCTCGTACATCATCTTTGCAGATGGTGTCACTCAGTGGTGATCTACAAATTTCAATTTCTTTGATTTCATCAAAAATTCCATTTCTATTTGTGGCACATTCCCTTCTTCCATTCCACTCATTCATTTCATGGACCGTCACCTATAAACATATTATGGAATGCTTATAATGCATGCACTGGTTTCTTTTGTACTCCAAATTTTCCGTTCCTCAGTAGACATTTATCTCATCTTCCTGCATTTATTAGACATCTCGAAATGAGTATTGAGACTGCAGGACATCAATTATCATCACAAAACTGTAACTTGTTTTAAATGGAAGGATTTGGAGCCAGAAGTTGTATTTGAAAAGTAGTTTTAGCGTAATTTTCAGTTGCTGCATAGCTGTTAAGTTCGTATCGTTTTTCTAAGAGTGAAACAGTGGGGAATAAACGAGTTTAGTGATGATTTCATGTACGCGGAAAATGGCAGCAATTTTATTCGTGTTTGGGCTTGGAATTTCATCATGAACTTATCTTTGTCCTACTTACTGTTGTTATTAGCTCCATTATTTGTGATCAAATGTCGTGAAATTGTAAAAAATAAGATTATTTTTCTGTCTCGTCAAATAATTAATTTCAAAATTATGTTCTCGAATCATGCAGTTGAAAATTGGACCGATATAATGTTTGGTTTTTTTAATACTAGTTATACATCAAGTTTATCAAGTTTAAATCATAAATTTACATCAAGTTTAAATCGACTAGTCCCAAAGCGCAAGAAAGAAATGAAATTTGAGTCACGAGACTGCTTCGTTTGGTGTAAAGAGAAGGCACAAATAACAAAGGGAGTTATCGAAACTCATCTAAAATTATTCGTTTCAGTCGTGCATTCGTGTAACATGCAAATCTTGCACTTCTTTATATCTCGTATCATTCTTAGGCGGTTGAGTTTGCTGATTTAAAAGATGAAAATTGAGTTTAAAAAACTTTTTCGTTTAAGCAGCGCTATCGCACATTGAGTGAGCGAGCACTCCATTCTGTTTCTCTGCAAACATGGAAAGTAGTATGATTGCATGTTTGAATTGAGTATTCAGTTTAGTAACATCAGTTGACACTGGTGCGTCTCTATCTTCTGACGAATGTCTCAGGACGGAAATAGGCTAGGGATTTTTTTTGACATCTTAGACGCACTGAATGTTATTCATTTTTGAAAGGATAATTTCGTCCATTTTCAATTTTTATCTTATACAGGACACACGGCTCGTATGGTATTGAATGGCATCAGAGAGGGAAAAATTCCACTTCATTAGATGGAGCTTTTCATTGTACCGATAGAACAACATTCTTGTAATATCTCTAAATGCACTTTTTTCTCTTGGCTTTAGTTTTTCGAACCCTAACGAAGGTGAAGTACCCCGAAGTTAAAAGATGGATGCGATCACCGAAGGAAAATATTTGCTAGCAAAAGAGTGATTGATCTCATTGCAAATTGTAGATTGTTATGATGCCCAAGCATTATTAAGAAGCAATCCTGGGAACCTTTATTACGTTTAAACGCAATAATATAGGTCGGTTTTACTCCTTAAAAGAGATTGTCATAAATATTTCTTTAATGTCTTGATCATTCAATCGGAATGGTTTTAATGTAGATAATTGAATTCTCATTGGTATTTGGAAGTATGTGTATATCCGTCTTTGAAACAATCGAGATGAAGAATTGCTTTCAATTTGCTTTTCTTCTAGTTTGCGTATTCATCAGGATAACGTTCTATCTCTTCGTATGGTCAGTCATGGGAAGAAGGTCGAGAGAACGGAAGTGGAAGGTTAAACATATTCTGATTGCTTTGGCGTATCTAGACTCTTTTTTTCATAATGTTACATCAAAATTCAAATCTCCATCTTGGTCTTTAATTTTTTAAATTCGAGAGGAGTCTCAGTTTTCCATTACTTAACATTATCAAACAAAATTTCGAAAAGCGAAGAACAAAGAATCCAATTCTAAATAAACGCATGGCTTCCGTTTGGTTTTAAAAGATCTGTCCTATAGTTTTTAATCCTTTGATAATTTCTTTTCTTATAATTTAGAGATGTACGCATATTTTTGGTTGCTTAATAACTCACTTCATCTCGAAAGTCGTGGAAATTTTTTGAAATCTAAGATTATCCAAGAAACAGGTGAGCATGTGGCATCTGATTGAATCATCAGATAGGCCTAATGTCAGCTCTTGCTTACTGATTTGGTGGTCAGGGATGTTGATTGAGTACTTTTACAATCTGCTTTGGATTACCGCAAATCCAAACGGATGTCATTTTTATTAGCAGTACAAATCATCGATCCCATAATATGTCAAATTCTAATTCGTCTTTCCCACCCTCTTTTCTTATTATTGTTCTTCACATGGTTTCCTTAATTTCTCAGATTTTGTGCAACCGGTAAGCATCTCATTCTCATATTATGGAAAAAGAAAATCACATTTCAAATTTCAAGGAATATTTTCTGAGATTTAATCGATTTACCATTTTAGTGAAAACATGTTTCATATTTTCCTTTATTAAGACGCACTGAGAATACATCTTTCAATTCCTCTAACAAAGGAATGAGAACACTTTCCTATTTGTTAAGATGTAATTGAGTCGAAATATTTAAATATATTGTTATAAGGAATGTTATATTTTTGATATAATTAATATGAATTCAGTCAATTTTCATTTAATATTTCAATTGATGAAGATAAAATATACATTAAAAAATAACTGAATAAGGAATGTTGTTCAATGAATTTGCACCTTCGACCCTCCATTTTCCACTTTTTCTTCTCTAACTTTTCTGATGTCCGTGAATTCAACACATTACCACCTCCTTGGTAGAAAAAAGGCTGATTATTTCTGCTTTCCGCGTTCTACTATTAACCCCCTCGTTAAGGTTTTCATTGCTTTATTCAAAATAAAACTATTAAGTTTTGATTAATTAAGCATAAACGTGATTTTTCCGTACAGAATATATCTTGTTAATTAATATAAATAACTAATCGAAAATGAAAATTCGCGCCGACTAACTTATAACAATAATATTATTATTAATAATAACAATGATAATAATAATAATAAAGTGATAAAGCAGTAGCAAGGGTGGTATAAGTGACTGCTAATGATAACAGCAATAGTAATAAAAACAATGAAAGTAATTTGTTTTTAATTTGTTCGCAGCAGCTTAAAATATAGAATTTTAAGAATTTGAGTAATATGTCATGTGCATTTATTTCTTTGAATGGTGATATCATGTTTTTCTAAAATTTTAGCCTGATAAACATGTGATAAACACGTTGTGATACTGTTTTAGCACTAATTATAACTTTTCAAATGGAAATAGCCTAATTGCTTGCTTCTTATTTTATAGTTTAGTAGTGAAACATATAAAACGAAAATCTCTTTCTTCGTTTTCATTCTTTCTATTACCGACATTATTAGCTTCTTAATGAAAACATTCATTTTTCCGAACAACAACTTTTTTCTTTCTGAACTTAATCGATTTTGTTGCTTGGCTGTAAGTTTCCAAGATGATGCTGAAATGTTTCAACTACAGAAAGATTTCAGTATTTCCTGGCGCGACTGAGGATTTAACTTGCACTAGTGTTCATCCATTTTGGAAGGTACCGATGATCACAGCGTTTTATTAGTTCTCAATTAACAAATCCAAACGAAACTGAAACTAATTAAAAGGAATAGATTTTGATTCTGCTCATTTTAGTCGCAGATTTTTGTTGTTTTCCAGAAGAATCCATCTAACTACTATGAATGAACGAAGCACTGATGCAGAGGTTCAGAAAATTGACAAAGGAATACTTTTTTGGACAGTATCGAAATGAATCTGACAACTAGAAGACAAAATGTGCGCAGCATTCTGAAGATCTAATAAGAGATAGTATATCTCCAGCTATATAGAGAGGAGGTCAATGTTCAAGTTGCCAGTTAATTGAATATTGCTAGCTGACTTAGGAGGGTTTGTTGGGGTCATGGGTCGTCCAATTTCGTTGTACTTTAAGAATTTCATAGATAAAAGTGAGTTGAAAAATATGTTTACATAATTTCTTGTTTTTTTCCCATTCTTCTTTTAGATTAACTGTTTAAGGAAGATAAATTGTTGAAACTGCACTTTTTCACTTCTTTAAGTCCACCTATACTGATCGATAGAAGTGAACATTCGTCCAGTTAAATCTTACTGATAATAATGATTGAACAAATATTCGAGTTGTTTGTTTTATGGCACACTGAAGAAGTGGGAGGTGTCCACTTTATTTTGAAATCACGTTCAACGATTAATGTACTAACTTCTGATGGAATAATTTGCTGAAGTAGTTTATTGTACTTTAAGGATTTCGTAGATTTTAGAACTTATCGGTTCGATTCCTGAAGCTGAATTGCTTTGCGATGACTGATTACTTTCACTGTTTATTGTTTGACGTTGGTCTGTACATTTGGATGAATCATTTTTTTTTTTTTAATATATTGAATCTATTATAGCATTGAAAATTCAAGATCCGTTCAATTTATTTGGTTTTGAATTCTGAATCGTTTACTCTGTTGTCGAAATGGACGAAAGAAGGGCTGGAACAAGGTTAATTTCCGCAGACTTCTGACATCGTTTTTCGGATATCGCCCTTAGTGATTTATTTGGGCTAGTTGTGTAATACTGAAAATAGTCATTTGGTGAAGCCAGAGTTCAATTTATATTAGATTGTTTAGACAAAGTAAACGACTTATTTTCAGGGTTTTCAAAAAGACAAGCCCAAATGGCAAGGTTTGTTCTGTTTTAAAAGTTTTTCAGTAAGATTAACTTAGCAGTTATTTTATATCGTTACTTGTTGCTAAACCTTAAATTTGTTACAGTTTTTACTTTTAGCATTGGCCTATTTATTTTCATGGCTTTGCTTCTTCAGTCCCCGCTCCCATGTCTTACGTGTTGTAGTAGACAGAAAAGTTCACTCTAGTATCTCTTGGCTATCTTGTCTGTCCTTGCTCATGTTTTATTTTGACTGTAGCTTTCGGTGACTAATTTATCAGTAAAAACTTCCGCTGGAATAATGAAATGAACTGTACAATATCGAAATAAGAGTACTGATTAGTATGATTTCATTATTTCTCCAAAATGCCTATATATTATATGTTGAAGTAGAAAAATAGCAAACTTCATGTTCTTAGACTATTTTTTTACTAAATGGTAGTTTAAATTATTGATAATTCAAAAATTGGTCTCTTAGAATGCTTCAGATTACAACTTATTTGGGCAAAAGGGATTTCATCGATCATGGGAATTTTGTTGATTTGATAGGTTTGTTTTTTTTTAATGTATGCTGTTCTCAGTCATATAAAATGTCTATTAAACCATTATTTTAAGACATAGAGCACTGAAGAATCTTCAGCCTCTATGTTATTCATTATTTACAGCGCTGTTAAGTTTCATTTTTTATTAATTTTATAGATGGTATGGTTTTAATCGATGAAAATTATATCAAAGAAAATAGGAAGATTACTGCCTACCTTCTGGCAGCATTTCGTTATGGTCGCGAAGATTTGGATGTGTTAGGTTTAACATTCAGAAAGGATTTGATTTCACAAACTTTTCAGGTTGCACTCGTTTTTTCATGGATACCGCTTTCAGAAGCTCATTTGGTTTCTTTATTTTGGCTTTTCTTCCATTTTTTTTTTGATTCTAAACTTTAATATCATTATATGGTATATTGTGACAATTTGAATTTATTCCTTCAACTGTTATAACATAAAAAGTTAAAGCGGTGATTGAAGTATGAATTTTGATTCCTGCTATATTTTGAAGGTATATCCAGTGGACATCTTACATCTTCGACCACTTACACGACTGCAAGAGAGGTTGAAGAAGAAGTTAGGGACTAATGCATATCCATTTTGGTTTCAGATTCCGACGCATTCAGCATCAAGTGTTACTTTGCAGGTTCCTTAATGATTTACTCCTTTCTTAATCTCTTAATTTATCAGAGTTTTAAGAAATGTTGTATATTCATTGGTCTGTCAAATTTCATAGAGTAAGAAAATCAAGTTATATTTGCATCTTTATAATGTAGGTACTTCTACGTTTGTAAAATTTTCATATTTTCAACATATATTTTCAAAAATTTTTCATATTTTCAATTTTTCATATAAATTTTATAATTGCAATATATAAATAATGTTTTTAGCCTGCTCAGGGTGATACAGGGAAGCCATGCGGAGTTGATTTCGAGCTGAAAACAACTGTAGAATCTCTTGAGGGTAGCAGTATCGATAAGCCAAAGAAGCAGTAAGGTTTTAAAATAGCTGTTTTCCAAAATAATTGGGCAGCAAGAATAACACGTGCGACTAGTTGTGACCGGGATTTCTTTCCTTTTCAAGTTTTATTTTAGATTCAAAAAAAGCAATTTCATGATATTGCCAGTGTTAGTTAACGTATATTAGAAAAAAAAAGATCCTATTTTTTTCAGTAATAGTGTGCGTCTAGCTATACGAAAATTAACTTATGCACCGTACGAGAATCGTCCCCAGCCAACTATCGAAGTTACCAAAGAGTTCATGATGAGCTCAGGCTCATTGCATTTGGAAGCATCACTGGATAAAGAGGTAGTTTATATTTTTAATAAAATATTCGCCATATAATCCGAGTTTTTGGATTACAGATATTTAGATTAATGGAGACTAGTGAGATGTTTATTAAATGACTATCGGACAGTGCTGGTTTACATGTATATAAAATACATCGAGCATTAATCTTAGAAAAAAATGGTGAAAATCTTGATTCCGCCTTTGCAAAAAGATTATGCTTGTCCTTTTCCAATTTTTCTGGCTTATTTTAATTACGCAGTCATTTTTCGGAAGGTTATCTTATAGATGTATTACCACGGTGAGTCAATAGCAGTAAATGTTCACATCCAGAACAACAGTAATAAAACGGTGAAAAAAATTAAAGCCTGCATCGCTCAGATTGCCGATATTTGTCTTTTTACTACTGCATCATATACATGTGAAGTTGCGAAGGTTGAATCAACGTTAGTTATCCATCTTTTGCTGTTATCGAACTTGCTTCTTTTGTTGTGAGTGTTGTTTTTGATACGAATTGGCATTACCTTAAACAAAAAACATGTCATATCATCATCAAATAGAGCTACTGATCATCTTTACAAAAACATGAAAAATTTAACTAAACATCGATTTTGCTTTTTTACTAAAGCAAATATAACGTTTAGTGCTTGCAGTTTTATTCATTCTTCACTACTCATAAAACCTTTTTTCAGTGAGGGCTTTCCTGTAGGACCAGGGGCAACATTATCCAAAGTTTATAGTCTATGTCCATTACTTTCGAACAACAAAGACAAGCGTGGTCTTGCCCTGGATGGACAGTTAAAACATGAAGATACCAATTTGGCTTCATCGACAACGTAAGTGATGTTTCATCTCTCACTGTTTCTAAGGAATGCCTTCTCAAAATTCACTTTTGCAGCAGTAAAAAATATCATTTTCAAATTTAGGTATGTTTTTTATATGCACTCACTTGTTTAAAATTTTATTGTCATCTTCGGAGCAATTTTTGCAGTTTATCATCAGAGGCAACAAAAGAAAACCTTGGAATTGTTGTACAGTATAAAGTAAAAGTACGTTTAAATATTAGTGGTCCTCTTGGAGGTGAATTAACTGCTGAATTGCCATTCACATTAACACATCCGAAACCTGTGGAGAGCATTGAAGAACGACATGTAAGTTATTATTTCTATTGAAATCTATTTTCTGATTCTTTGGAAAGTGGTTTGGTTTTGTGTCAGTACTTTCAGATATTAAATTTCACTAATTTGAAAAATTATGGTATTTTAGGAACAGCAAAGGACAAAAAGTTCGTTGAACAATGAAGGACTTAATGTGGATCTTATACAACTTGATACGTTAGTTCAATTTAATGTAGCGATAGTGTCAACTTTCGACTTTTTGGGAATAAATTTTTCTTCTTGAGATTTTTTATAAATTTTTCTAAAACATTACTAATCTATCGACCACATAAACAATCTATATATTATTTAATACCAGTATTGCATCCGTTATCCATTACATGCGGCTTTTTTCTCCACTTTGTATTACTGTGATTTGGATATTAATTTCAGCTTTGATTTGCCAAGGGTCGAAGATGAAGATATCATTTTTGAAGATTTCGCTCGATTACGAGTCCAAGCAGCTATTCAGAGTGACTATCCTTTCGACTCAACGTAAAACTTGGAACTTCTTCATTTTAAGCGTTTTTTTGTTTATTTGGTTTATGGTATAATTTAACACTTACTGAAATTGTATTCATATATTTAAGTTGAGTGATGTTTTATGGTCCTGTTCTGTTATGTAGGTTCGCTTTTCTTATTAGTGAATAAATACTTTGCTTGCATGAATGCGAAATAGCAAATGTATTAAGCAATTTTTATGGTTTAGTGAAGATCATTTTTCGAATTTTTGGTTTTACTCCTATAGTCGAGTCCTCCATATCTTCTCGGTAATTTTATCAGAACTTTCTAAACACAAATATTCCACGGAATGGTTAAGTGAAGTATTTTCTCACAATATGTATAGTATATGATTGCGAATGATCTGTTTCATTAGTTATTTCTTTATCTCGCGTTCATCCTCGAGATAATTTATGAGATTAGGCATTCCTATAAATTACACCTCAGTTCATCATTATGATGTTTTCATAATCTAATTACCGCATGGCTCTGTGAGAATGAACGGGTTTCTTTCTTAGTTATTGGAAAACTATTTGTTTGTTTTTTTTGTTATTAACTTCTCTGGTTTTCTTATATTCCATCCTGTTTTTCTTTCCTTATAGTCTGAAATCACTATTAGAACTCACATGAGAGAAATGGCTTGCTCTCAATAAGATGTGTAGAGAGTTTATTGCATGTTATATGTTTTTAATCTACAAATTCCAAAACATAGAACATGCCTATTATCTTGATAGGGTGAATGAATTTAACATTTTCTACGTCTTTTTATGAATATCCTACTTGTTGTTTGTAAAAGTGATGCTTAAACAACTAGTCAAGTGATTACTTTTCTTTCACTCACTGAATTTAATTTGCTCACTTGTAATTTACACAATTTTTAATGCCGAATACTTACGACGTTTTGAACCATATTATGGTTCGAGTTCTATTGGTTGTTAGTTTGAATTTACCAAAAAACAATGGTACAGGTGAGGATTCCGCAAAGAAGGTAAAGGAATGTAGGAATGAAGTTCTTAAATTCTAGTTTATCAAAATAAACTCTTTTTTAGCTGAAATGAAAAGCTGTTTCTCTCAGATGTGTTCGTTCTATCTTTCTGGAGAGGAATTTCACTTAAATCGTTAGCTTTTCCAATGATTTATTTGCTTACAAAGGAAAATGCTTTTTTCTAACGAGGAGGAAAGATATTAATCCTTTAATGTTTAACGGATTTTACAACATTTATCTATGAATCTTTATGAATGCAATCTGCAGCTGAATAATTCCCAACTCTATTAGCTGGTAGTATTCAAATCTGGCCACGTATTAGCTGTTTTTTCCTCCCAAAACAGTTTCTTTTCTTCCCAAATTCTGTTACCATCTGTTCACATTCGAATTATTTATTTTAGTCATCCTAACACAGAAAGCTATTCAAAATACTTCTTACGATGGCATTTAATATAACAGTTCACTTCCTCCCAGATAGTCTTATTATGTGTTTTTGTCCTTATATTTTGTATTTTAATATTGTTTGGAATTCTGCTAATTGAATAAAAGCGTCATACATGCATGTTTGAAATGAAGGCAGGCAGTAAAAAGCAGCAATTTTAGTCGTGATAGAGTAAAGAACGTAGAACTGTTTGCAAGCTCGAAAAGATATTCAATCAGACCTGAAGTTCGGTCAGTAAAGTTATTGAGCTGGATATCTTTTTTGGTTTTCTACGCAATATTTCTGAAGGTGATGTAACGCATGAGGAGATAAGTTCTGGTTTGCAGTGTCACTCAAAAAGCGCAATACTAAAGAAAAGTGGAGTAGTTTTGTCATTTTAAAGAGTTCATTATTCCTATTTCATCGTCTGTAGGATAACTTTTTTGTTTTTTTTTTTTTTTTTGTTTTTTTATTCTCACTACTACAATCTTAATCCAGATCTGATCTCGAATTCTAGAGATCGACTATTTATTTACAGACATATCAAGAACAGACCTTAACACAATGCCTCAAAATGTTCCTAGCGAAGATATGCTGCTTTCTTATAGAATTGAATTGATAAGCTAAGAACGAAGATTTTTTGACGAATATGAGAACTATTAAATAACGGGCGTTTCCATCAAAAACGTTTAATTTCAAGGCTGATACTTTTATCATCAATTGCATTTCCATCAAATCCACGTGCCCGCACGTAGTTCCTTAATATTGACAGGAAATTGAAAACATCGATATTCAAGTCAGACCGTATCTTCAGGATAAATGTTACGTCGAGAGCTGGTACTGTTGGTACGAATCTGCAATTCAAAATTGTTTGAATGGGATTTTATTTTACAGTTTGAGCAAATCTGCAAATTAATTAAGCTGCCAGAAAAAAATTTGTTTCAGACTTCCGAGAGATGCTTTGAAGCCAGAATTAAAAGCCGGTTGATAAGAACATGTCTAATCAGTCACATTATTCTTAATGCAATTTTTTTATATCAGCTCGAAATCAATTTTATATTGTAGGTAAAACGTTTTCATGAATTGTTTGTTCTCAAAATAGCTTTCAACAGTTTTTGAAATGCAATGCTTTAAATATGGAGAAAATTGCTAAAAATATTCATCTTTACCTGAACTTTGTCACTTCAGCACCAACATATATTAGTCTACAACCACTTTGTCGATAGATATGATTTAACTAAAAATCCCCTTTAGTAAGCTTTCCTTTATATATTTCAGTCCATTGTATAATGTGGAAAGAAAAAGTATGGGAAACGAGAAAGAGCGATAGTAGCAATTCACAGAAACATGAAGCGCCTCACGCATTTTCCAAATCAGTTCGTAAAAAAGTGGAAATGAAGTAAGAATGAACTTCATTTAGTCGTTTAATTTAAGAGAAAGGTGAAGAAATTGAGCAATAAATGAAATTACACATAACCGACCTGTCGTTGTATTTTGCTGGCATGTATTATAAACTGGTCAGTATTCTTTTGTAATAACTTTCCATCAAATTTTAGAAGCGGTCCTTCTGTCACAAGGAAATGACCCTCCAAGCGACGCAATGTGTGGAACGATGTTGAAGAGACCGCTTGCACTACAAATCACCGTACTGTTTCATATTACCGACCTACTATTTTCATCATAGAGATCGACAGAATCTCAAACGTTGCTTCATATAGTGTAACGACCGATTATCAAGCACCGCTAATCGAGGTTAATCCTTAATCCAATGCCCATTTCATAGTTTACAGTCAATAAATCTGATCAAACGTAGTTAAACATATGACTTTATTATGAAAAATTGCATAATATCAAGATCTAAATGAGTCTTTTTCACACTTTTTTACAAAATCTTGAGCATTACTGTTCTCAAAAATGTTTGACCTATCAGTCGACTTATCAAAATATTCTGTGAATGAAATCTAAGTAAAGCTAACTTTTTGACATTGTAAGTATAAATACAATAAGAACCATGCCAACCAGAATAAATAATAACATAAGCCATATAATTAACTTGATTTTGTACCGTGGTGATATTTTATCGGACTGAAAATTAAAAAAAAAAAAAACTGCAATAAAGTGCTGAAAATCCTCTCATCAGCGTTCAAATCATGTATTACTGAAAATCCTCTCATTAGTGCTCAAATCATGTATTACTGAACTTCGAAATTTGCATTTTATATTATTTATAGTTTCGCATTTCTAAATCAACACTTCTTTCTTATTAAAATAGTTATTCCTCAGGAAAATAATTCATAAATTCATAGTAAGAGCCTAATTAAAAGATTATCAGTTTAATCTAATACAACTAATCATCCTTCGTTTATCGCATTTGTCAAAGCAATTATATTCATTTTTCGTTCACAGCAACGAGAAAGGCATAATACCACTATTTTTAAGGTAATTTGTTAGTTTAAAAGCTTCGAGAATGACTGACAAATGAGATCACGAAGGAATATTAGTTGATTGAAGACATTTCAGCTGAAAATAATATTTGATGTCGTGAACATAGGAAAGAGCGGAAGTAATACTGGAGTTAGGAAGTAACCAAAGAGAATAAAGGATAAAAAAGAGGTCAGCTCGAGAACTGAGATTTAAAATATTCTACTGAACAATAATGTACTTCTACTTGTGAATAAAAGGCATGGAAAATTACTTAACTAATTAGAAGAGAAAAAGGAAATTTATTATACAGGAAGAATTTTGCTATCGTTTGCAGAAAACTAGTTGGTTAAGAGACTAACATATGTAACGATGAATAAATATACAGCAACATTGATATGAGCTTTGAAGAAATGTCAAAGGGATGGAAAAGATTAATTCGAACAAGGGTTAAAGCTGATTGTCGAAGGCAATATTAAGGAATTAACTGATAAACATTGGAAATATAAAATGGGAAAAGAAAGGTTGAAGAATGGACACAACGAGCTCAGGATTTATCAATGAGTCGATGACGACTACTAACTGTAAGTAAAGGCTGCTGCAAAATGAGAGAAATAAAGATGGTAGTTCAAATTAAGAAAGATAATGGAAATAATTAGTGCTATTGAAATAATTAGGTTGTTTCAGATCAAAACTTTGACGATTAATCTGAGTTGAGAACTTTTAACCCTTTCATGCATGGTTTCTGAGTCCAGGAAAAAAATTGAATTCTGTAAATCAGAGTGAACGTCTGGAAAATGCTGTTGTTGTAACTGTGATTATCGTTGTCGTCGTTGAACCACTATCCTTTGAAGGACGTTCGTAGGTGATCGTAAAACATTGATGATTTGACACGAGCTGAGCCAAATAATTTGTAGATTCCTAAAATTTTCCATAATAATAATTAATAATAATAATGAATAAGAACAATAATAATGATTAATAATAATAACAATAATAATAATAATAAAGAATTGGAAATATCAGAAATTTTCACATCTTCCAGCAGGTGCTTGCACAATATCTTATCACGGAGTGATAGTGGTAGTGATGGTTAGATAAGATCATGAAGCAGAGAAACGTAGAAGATTAAACATATAAATTATTTTACTAGCTTATAGAATGAATGATCACAAGGAGGTTTGGATTTGTCCGTGTCTAGCAAGTAATCAGCACATATTATCATCTAAAGTCGTAATTTTCAAAATTCTTTGAGCGTCGTCATAGCTTCGGGAATACTTCTGCTAAAAAATCCATCGCTAAGCATTCGCTAGCTATTTTTTTACTTTTTATCTTATTAGTAACCTGTCGTCGTCTGAGTACATCACTAATGCTTTAACAATTTAATAAGTTGGGAAAATTAGTTTAAATTTTCCAAAATTTTGGAGAATAAAGTGCTGAGCAAATCGATAGGTGATCAGGTTTATGAGTTGTATTATTCCATACCTATAGTGAAGTAAATTGATGGAAAACTAAAATAAATTGATGCGAATTGTTAAGACTTTAGAAAACAAAGTCATTAAGACACTCACTTTAGCTATGACTTCTTTCCCGAATATGAAATTTCCGCTGTTGGTGATGCAGAAAAACTTTGCAAGCACTTTAACAAGGTAATGTTTTAATCCTCAAAGAACTCGTTTTTTTTTTTTTTTTTCTTTTTGTTTTTTTTTTCGAGTAATCAGCTAATAACGGACAAGAAATAAAAGCCGTTTCTGGAATTAATGAAGCAAAAATCCTTCCTACCCGTTAAGTTAAATTATCAAAAACAGAAAGCAGATGGTATCAAAATTCACTTCTCTATTAAGTTTTTTGAAAAATAAACTGAACGCTTCTGAAAGTTTCACTAAGGAAAATTTAGAGAACTTTACCAATTATTAAAAAGAGTTCCGTTCAAGTTTATTCATAACAAAAGTCAATTTTTCCTTTCCCAAATTTTCCGAAATCTTATTTTTTCTTGAAAAATAAATAGATTTTAGGAAATTAAGGTACTTTTAAGATAAAATTTTTTCTAGGCTTTTGAGCTTTTAAATGACTAATTGATTACAGAATGACTCTAAATACTCTGGTTAGAATCTTTAATAGTGATGAACTTCCCTTTGACTTTTCATGGCATAACTTTTTTTTTCTTTTTCTTCTCTCCGAATATTTTATTTTCATTCTTTGGAGAACTGAAGAGTTAGTCTTATAATTTAAGACTTTTATAATTTAATAATTTAACTTAATTTATAATTTAAGCGAACAAGTTGTAACAATCACGAGTAAGATCATCTTATTTTAATTAATGATAATTCGACTTCCATGAATTAATTAATCGACGTTGAATTTTGCTATAACAAAAATGAGAATCATGAAAAGAACTAACCGGGAAAGGTATTAGCGCAGTAATTCTCGGCAACAAAAATGTCGACAAGAAAGAGGATAGAAATTGGTGTTGACAGGGAATGGCACTGATGTGTTGCTATATTTTTCTCACTAACCTAAAAGCTATTTCTTTAAAAAAGTTTATAATAAAAATGGTCTGAAATAAAAAGGAAGGAGAAAGAAGAGCGAATAGCTAGCAGTACAGTGGCAGAAAAACCAAAAAAGGAACAAGAAGGAATATGTATCACTTGGTACTAGGGAAAATTAGGCCATGTTGTTGTTGCTCCATCAATTTATAATTTTTCTTTTCTGATACAAGAACCTACTCTGTATCTCCTTTTCAGATTCACTGACAGCAGCAACATGATATCATATTTTTAATTAGAGAAGTCTCGATTGAAACTTTAGAATTAAACATCACCATGCAATGTTGGTAAATGTGAAACTATGTTAATAACTAATTAAGATGATTGACAAATAACATGAAACTTGCAGAATGCACAAAACCTTTCTTGCTAAGAGACATCTTAATTAGAAATGTAATGCAGGAAACGTAGTTGAAATATTACATATTGTAATGATAAATAATGTGTTAGAATCGGATAATATAAAATATAATTCTTTTTGTCCACTGAAACAATTCAGTTATTAAAATGAATGCACTTGCTGATTTATCGATGTCTTTTATATTAAACTGCACAATTTCAATTTCTATTTGTCCAAAAAAACACAATTTATGATTAAGCTTAATGTGGACAGTTTGGAAAGAAACGTTAAGAGAAGATGAAGCAATCAAATTTTCAGTGTCGAATAAGGTGTATCATAAAAAAGCCAATGATTAAGCATTTGCTATTACGATAAATGATAAATTTTAATGAATTTCATGATATGAAGGAAAAAAAAAAAAGTGCATGAAGCTAAACAGTAGAATACGAACGTTCTTTCACCAAATCATTTTTAGAACAGAAATGTCATATTAATTAAACAGCTAAGAAATGCACACTATATTAGTTTGAAGAATAGCAATATACTATTTATATTAACTTTTGCTTTCGGAAATATTTTCTGAATCAAGTTTTGTAAGTCCTCGTTCTTAAATAAGATACAAAAAGATTTAGCAAAGCTGTTGGCTTTCACCAAATAATGGATAGTTCGTTTCTGCAAAAATTGCAGAATATATATGTATATAAATGATATGCGTTAAAGTTTTGAGACTTTCAGAATATATATGCATTCTAATATAACGAGAAGAAAAATATGACATAGTAAGAATTTTTGAATTTGAATGCGAAGGAAATGAGAGTGAAAAAGAATTAAATAAATATGTCGGTCATATTTTATGAAATCAACAGAAATAATTAATGATACTGATATAAAGTAATGAGGAAAAAAAGTTAGCACTCTCACTAGGTGATGATGTGCATCTGCAGTGTAAAATGCAACATTGACCTCGATGCTATCTGCATGATTTCAAGGTTGTAGACTCAGTCACTATATATTCGTCTTTGAAAGCAATGTCTCCGGTCATATTTAGTTCGTTCACTTCGAAAATGGCAACCGAAACTATAAAAACTTTTCACTCTGTGCTTTTGCTATTTAGCTTCTTACTTGTTAACTGAAAAACTTGGTCGAAACCTTAACTTATTACTATTTTGTGGGAAACTACTGCTAACGAAGACCTTTTGGCAATTATACTGATGCAGTATAGGCAAGTAAATAAAACATCAATAAAAAAAAATGAACTTTCAGAAGAGCAATTTTGTGATCTGAGGAAGAGAGAAGATTTTTGATTAATAAATTGTTTTTTTATGGGTATTACGAAGATATTTGAAAACGGACAAATATCTTTTTTCAAAGATAACTATAACTGCCTTATCACTTTTGATCAGGCATGGAAAACAATAATTGTGATAGAGTTTCCTCGATATGAAAGAACAAACGCTTCTGAAGTCTAATGTTAACGTGATAAGTAATAGTATCGTTATATAACAACAGCATGATTATTTTTAATTCGAAATAGAACTAAAGTAATACAAAGGGAATTAAGCAACTGCAAGTCTTTGTGTTTACTAATAGTTCACAACAGTGATAAGAGAAGAAGAGATTAGATTGATAAAAAACAAGAATCTTAGGTAATGTAGGACATCAATGCAGCAGGAATAATAGTACTAGTAAAGTGGTAGTAAATTTTAGAACTGATAAAGTGAAGAAAATTAAACTTGTAGAATATGTATCACAGATAGGTATATTAAAATCTTAAATTGTCAATTCTCTTTACCACGATTGCAATATTAAAGATTTGGATAATGAAATCATTATAATCAGTACAAATTATAACATTAATGAAGATTTTAAAAAAACTTTAATTTACGATAATTATGGTTATTTCAGTTACGTTAACAATTTCAGATTAGATATCATTACGTTTACTTCTTTGTTTACTTCTACTTGTTTACTTCACTGTTCAATTTACTATTATTTTGCTATCTATCTACCTCATTACCTTCTCAAACTGTATACAGTTAGCTGTATTACATCTTACAAAAATAACTGATTGAAATTTGCTTCATAACTGCAATGTTATTGTATTTCATCCTTACATTATTAATATGTCAATTATCACAGGTGATTATTCTAATTGCTACTTCGCCCACCTTTATATAGAAAATACGCCTTACTTCCAGTGTTATAAGCACCTAATAATGCAAATAACAAAACAATAGATATTCAAGAAGACAAAGCTCTATTTGATATTTTTAGAACATTTGCATTACCTTCCGAAAACCTGTTTTTATCAGCAAAAGTCGATAAAATAAAACAGTAATCAGCCTTAGAGGTAAATATTTTGAATTTGATGTCCGAACTACGGAATTTCTAAATGTACTTTTTTCGTCATAAGATTTCAAAATTCAAAATGTGGACCATAAGTAGGTAGTTCAATGACCTAATTTCATATGAATGATCAGTTAATCACTCCGATTGTTGCCAGTATTTTCCAGCAACGTTTCTTTTCTGCAGTATAGTGCTGCCTTTGGAGAAACGTTCTGGACTGTGGAAAACCGAGAAATACATTGCGTCTTTGACTATAAGATACTTTATTACTGATACTCTGTACTCACAAGTCCCGCAGTTAAAAGGAAGCATATGAGAATTACCATTTAAAATACATGACAATTTCAAATAAAAGTGCCTTTTGTGGCTTTTTAAGAATTCATTTTTCGAATCCTTTTCATACTGACTTCATAATTTTTTTCAATGAAAAACGTGAAAAAATTATATGAAAGAAAAAAACTAAAATTTTTGATGAGACCTGTTTTGAGGGAATCTGAAAAGTAGTTTTTTTTTAAAAAAATGAAATTGTGTGTGTTAGTGCAGAAAAATAAAACTTTCAAATAAAATGATCTCGTAGAGAAAAGTGAAATAAAAACAGATTATTAATATTATCAGTGATGAATTAAACATTATTTTCGGCATTAAAATAGAATCATAAATCTTTGTAAGAATTCTTTCATAAATATCGTACTGCCTAGTACTTGCTTTAAAAAGAAAAAACATCAATTGACTCACCGATAAAGACACAAATTGAATTAAAAAAAATGACATATCACAGACAACTGGCAGAACCACCACAAGCAGAAAATGCTTCCTTATCCATGAACCAAGATATGTTACCTGACTTCGGCTTCACCATTGCTGCTGGAAAATTAGAATTTTGACCACTAACTATTTCCTGCAACATATTCGAAAATTATTATTTACGAAAATTAGTTATATTAAAATGCTGAGACCTTACTGCACTTTTGAAGAACTTTCTAATAAGTTGGCTGTTCATTTATAGACATGAAATAAGGTTTTCCATCTTAACACAACAACTTCATTAATCAATAACTGAGTTAAAAAAATAATTATTGTGAGACTACAATATATTACTGATAAATCTTTTTCACTTCTTTACTATAACTTACCCGTATTAATTCACCTTTTCTTCTACCAGTACAAATAAATGCCACATATCGGCCATGATTAATAACCGGTAGTGTTAAAGTTATACGTCTTGGTGGTGGTTTTGGGGAATCCTCGACTTCTGCAACCCATTTGACATTTTCCTGAATTTATATCATTGTTAAATCACTTATATTTACAACAAATGGTAAAGCGCTCGAGGCAGTGAAGGCGATTTATTCGATGCTCTTGCTTGACCTTTATACAATAAAGCTAACTATATAAGCAGGATACAGATTAACAATTCCCTTTGAATAGTTAACAGTTCATTTACCTATTTTATCCGTGAGTTTTTTAGACTTAATACAATAATCGACAGTCAATAACTTGCTCAGCTAATCTGTCTGTTACTAATGATATCTACTAAGCCAGAAATGAGCGAAGAATTCGAAACAAAATTTTGTATTTTTACCCTTAGTGCTGGATGTCCAGGAAACAAGGAGCATGTATGACCATCTGGTCCAATACCTAATAACAGCAAATCGAACACAGGCCAGCCTTCTTCCGTCTCTGTTGTACAATGATGTATCTGTTCTTCATAGTTTTTCGCACACTCTGTTGCTGTAAGGGTTTTCTTAATAAGGTAAAATTCGCAAATGAATAGAGAAAACTTTAAATACTGAAAGAAAAAAAAAATGAAATAATGTTTCGCTGATGACAGTTCTTACCAATAGTAGTCTCCGTGGCTTATGGCTTCAAACCACGGCCTAAATAAAAGCAAATTATAGATATATAGAAAAAAGCAATACTGTTGTCGACAGGTCCATAATACACAAATGATTGGCTGATATTAGATGGCAGAATTTTCATGTAAGTTCCTGTATTCGACTCGGCATCACTTAGTGGAACCATTCGTTCGTCTGCAGCAAATATCCGAACTTTTGACCAATCGATATCCTCCAATCTCGCCAGCAGCGGTGCTATTAGGGCAGGCATCGAACCACCTAGAAAAGTTCTCGAAACTGGAAATGCCTAACTGAAGTTGACATTATCGTATAAATGCTTTTCGATGCCTCAAGGTCAAATCTCTATCTATGCTAACAATTGTCTTATTGGCGGGCATTCTTAAAAACACTTATAGATGAAGCCCAAAACGCCTTAAAGTATTTGAAATTAATTTCCGAATAAATCTTAAGTTTAAACAGAGAAGACAAAACATCGCTTCTACGAAAATTAGAAAGAAACACTGTTGTATGGCATAAAATGCAATGTTACTGAAAATTACGGGAATTGCAAATTGCTGAAGCTCACCAGAAAGAGCAATTTTAGCAATATTTCGTGCAGTTATTGCTTCCCTAAGAATCTTCCCCATGTAGAACCCTAATTTTCCATTTAAATCAGTGAAGTTTTCGACGAGCACCATCTTTCCTCCACTGATCTCAAAATCACTTGCCTGCATTTCTTCTCAATGCTGGACAAATTCAAATCTGAATTTTATCAAAGCAATCAATTCCCCGCATATCATAATATTTATCAGAACTACAAAATGCTTGTTATAAAAAAAAAAAAAAAAAAAAGAATACGCAGAGAAAAGTTGCTAAAAATGGAACTTCGCTTTGTAGCAATGAATCGTATATAAAATGCAATCTTTTGGGACGAATCAGTTAGGACTAGACCATTGTCCATTAATGATATATGGAGGTTAACATCTTACTTATATTTGTTCAAAACAATTCAATTTCGTACGTCAGATCATTTATTTGTTGACATTTCCAGAAAAAAGTGAGTAACAAGAAACATATTCATCAAAAATCTCAAAATAACGATCGCAAAATTGAGTGAGAGTAATGAATTGACAGAATGAAAATGCATAAAGTTAATAGATCGTTTATATTGATTCAAAACAATTATTTGCTATATTTGCAGCCGATTTCCAACTTCAGTAATTCTATTGAAAATGGAAACCCCACAGGAATAGTCCAATGTTAGGTAAAAAGAGGCTCATTCAGTAGCATCCCACTTCTTCAACAATTCTTTTCCAGCTGCAGCGCAACTTCTGTCGCTATGTTTGTGGATGGTTCCAGCTTCAACAGGTCCTTTATCTGAATAGAAAAAATTAGTTACTTTCAATAACGGAATATATGAATAATTTTAATTGAGATGATTGGCCATTTAAACAATAAAAAAATGTATTCTTTCAGTTTAATCCTCAAGAAATTTTGCCGCGGTAAAATTATACTGAAAATGTATAAAAATGGGATGAGAACAAAAGAGCATATCTCTAAAGATATACTCTTTTGTGGTTTTCTAAACATATACAGAAAAGGATGCTACAATGCTACAGTTTGTTCATTGAAAATACAATTTAAATTATTTCCATTTAAGAAACGGACCTCAGAATTGAGAGATGCGTCATAAGCAAGCACCACTGTTGTATCATAGAGTGGAATATGGTGCATGGCAAGAATATTTACACAATTTGCCACACGTGCAATAACTGTTCGGATTTTCATTGGTATTACCTTAAAATATTTCCAAAAACGCATGAAAATACGGTTATGTTACGGCCATCAATTAGAGATATATAATAAACGACTACAACCTGACGTTACCTCTTCCAAATTCTGAGAATAACCTCCGGTCATGTTCTGCTCTTCACTTGCTACAGGTGCTATCCAGATATAACCGTTACGTCCAAAAATTACAGAAACACCATATGGCAACGTATGGAAATGTGATTTTCTTCGTTTGACAAGATATGGAGAAATTTTTACCAAAGTCCCTTGCGAAAGCTAAAAATTATTACGCGCAGCATGAATAATAAAAATACTTCGTAAATAAAATTCTTTGCGATATTATACTGCGTGAAATATGAAAATGGGGTAAGACATCAGTGCATTACTATAACATCATTTCAAAACTTACGCATTTGTTTCAATTAACTGCTTCCGAAGTGTTTTAATTTTTAGCATTGCTACAATTATGCATATTAAAAAAATACTTTAAAAACCAAAAAGTAGCCTTGTTTGAAAAAACAAAACGCAACCGTCAACAGCCAGCACTACGGGTCTTCGAAATACATATGCAATCCGTTCGAAACGCAGTTGCACCATCTCTATGTTACCAAACGTCTTCATTAGAGGAATCAACTCACAGAAAACCCCAACATGAGAATAAGACCTCACTTTTGAAAAACTTTGGAAAAATAAAAAAAGACGAACCTTTCCATATCTCAAATTTCTCGTGTGTAATGACAACTGTCCGTCTGAGTGCACCTTTTGTACTTCAGCCTGGCAATGAAAATCATACCAACAAAAATAAGTTAGTTGATAAAAAATTAGTAATTTCAAATTAATGCACGAAAAACTAAAGAGTTTTTGATACGGAAAAACACTAAGTCCAGATTATTCTATTAAAGAAGCAAGAAGAAAATAAATTACACTTATAAGGTCACCCTCTTTGAGGTATTCACGCATCATCCGTTCATCTTCCACCGATTTTCTCCTCTACAATCGGATTTGAAAAGAAGCTACTAACAACACATTATCTTCAGTAATTCATAAATGCAGAAATTGTGAATGAGAAAACAATACACGAACTCAATAGAAGCATTACTGCATTTTAAACCAGTACTTTAATATATAATTCTAATTAGAAAAACCGTAAAAACCGTACCAGCTCACCACCTGGCAAGTTTACGCTGGAAAGAAGTAACGTTGAATTCAGTCTGGAATTCGTTTCAACTTTCCATCTTTTCTGTTGTACTTCCGTAATTCGCCCAATCACTACATCTCCGATTTCTCCGTTATATCTAGAAATGAAGGAAAACACAAAAAACTATATAACTAGACAATACCTAAAGTATATCTGAAAACTTAAGCTGCCTAGATAGAAACACAGTGAGAAGCAATCTTAGCAAACTATAAGCAACAGCTTACCTGCTTTTCAGGGGTCGTACTGAAACAAGTTTATTAACTTGCTCAACAGTACCAGCTACTGATGCTATTAAGTTATCATCGCGCGTGTATGTCCCATGTCCCCTGAAATATTTCTGCATAGAAGCAAAAAAAAAGTCTTAAAAACGAGGATCAGCAAACCTTTTATAAATTCAACCAGATGAATCTGGTAACAAAGAAACATTCGTCAAAGAAACCTGGTTCATTACAAATTACCGAAAAATATCTCCCCTCCCTCTCCTTCCACACTAATACTCTTTTCATACCATTTACACAATGTTAATTAATCAAAAACTAAGGAAGAAATGCACTTTACTTTATTATTTTACCATTTAAAAAAAAAAAACATTTTTGTATAATTTTTATTAATCCTAGTAGAACCTCATGAAATCGGGATTGGAAGTAACTTTAGCACCAGGTACAATGAGTTTGTTCTCGGGAACTCGTCTCTCCGTTGCGACTATATCCAGTTCCTTGAAATTAGAAGGCCCAGCAATTTCCAGCGACATCTGCAAAATCCTACTTATTACCATGCTAAATAAGCTAAAGAGAATCATTTTCTAAAAATATGAATTAAATGAAATACAACAATATCGATACTCTAGTCTGCCATAAAAATGATCCATATCTTTCTTGCTGAACCTTACCACTTACTAAAATCTTCAAGATATTTCCAAATCTAATGAAATAAGAAAAAATTATTACTCACTCCAACTATGGATAATTAGCGTAAATGGAAATAAAGTATTATCGTTGAATGAAAATGAGGACTAAAGCATTGCTAAGCATTGAAGTAATATATGCAGACATATGCACGTAACACCGCAGGTCACTTTTTTCTTATCACCAGCGCAGACACGATAAGGTCCTAGCTATAGTATGTATATAGAACTCTGCCCACATAGCAAAATTTATGATTTAAAACATTTCTATCATGCAACTTACTATTTATGAAAGTCCAATGAAAAGAAACCTAAATCTTATTTGAAGTTCTATAAATTTAGCTATTTAAATGGACACTCCATATTTCGTTGGAAAGGGTTTCCATACGTATCGATCTTCAATATTTCACATAAAGCGACATGAAGAACAAAGTTTCATGAATTTAATATATTTCCGGAAGAAGTCAGTAATAGAAATAAAGATGCGCAAATAAAAATCCTTTTTCACTTAAGGAAATTTTAAACCAATAAAATCGAATAAAAGGCATAAACAAATGGTCCATTGATAAATAACCAACAAAAAACACATTTAATATCGATAAGTTGAAAAAATCTGTCCAAACAAAACAAAATCATTCCATTAAAGTATTCCATATTTCTTTGAAATTCATACTAATTCTCTGAAAACAATAAAACGAAGTGTCTTTAAAACGAGATATTTTTGCTATTTAGTCAGCACATCAAATGCTAGCTATCACGTTCCACATCACTATCGGAAGGTAAACCAATGGCAGCTTTAATATGAGTCAATACGGCAGCTTCGAGACATGAGTGTACATGAGCTGTTGCTTTTCGGGCATTTCCCAGTATCACCATTAGATGATTCTTGTGCAGCCTATTTTGTAACTCCGCCATCACAACTGCATCTTGCCCCGATATTGTAGCCACTGTTAGTCGAGGAACAATACCCATTTCTTCACGCGAATTGACATCTACACATGCTAATCCACCAGGTGCACAAGCACATGATGCTGCCGCAACCAGACCACGCATTGGCACACCTGCATCAGCAAGTGCTAACGTTCCCACATTGACACATGCAGCAAGATGACTTCCATCCGCCTGAAAAAGAAAAAAAGTCGCAAAAGAAATATCGTAAAGCAAATGTTTTAGATAGCACATATGATTCTGAAGAAAAATATACAGAATTTCCTGAAAAAAAAAACTTATATAAAGAAAATTTTTCTCTAAAAAAAAAAAATCCCTTCCAGACACTCAATACAAAATAGGAATGGCAATATGAAGGTATTATCATACATGTATGATACATGTGTCAAAATCTTTGCTCATACTAAAACAACAAATACAGTCGGTTAAGACCTAAAATCAACAACTGGTTGAGCTAGGTATAAGTGATAGTGTTGATAACGATGGAAACACAAGTGTAAACACTATAAGATCAGTACCTGCAACAATTCGCAAAAAACATCAATTTGAGATCGTGGATAATTTTCTGTCAGAATTGCTTCTTCGAACGCTTTTTCCATTAACCGAGCAAATTCTAGCGACCGACGATCTCCTCGTGGTCGTTCCTAAAGCAATAAATTTCACGTAACTGTAACCGAGAAGTCACATATATTTACTGACTCTCTTACAATATGTAATAGATAAATGATAAATTATTTTCAACTTCGATATACATTTTAGAATAAAATAAACCTTCCGCTCATTAGTTGAGAATGTGGCCATGCTATATTGACAGTTGATGATGCAACGATCCTCTAACAAACGGCTTCGTTGTTTAGGTTCGTAAGGACCATATACTGCGCAAAGAACCTAAACCACATCTGCTCAAACACATATGAAAAATATACAGAAGTTTAGCATTCTATTTTGGTGAGTGCGATAGAGTGTACTTGCAGAAATAAATAGGGAAAATTCTTATCTTAAAATAACTAATCAGAGTAGTCCCACTTTCACTTCCTCAAATATCATTGCATTGCACGGTTTGGGATAGCAACTTAAACAACCAGCATTAAAAGAAACAATGAAAAAACCTTAGTGTTGCCTTGTTCAAGGTACGCTGAACCATCAGCTTGTGAATAGACTCCCAGTTTATAATTTAGATTCCGAATTTGATGTGGCTTTCGACCATCTTGACGGAAACCGTGCTCTGATATGATACTCATAACTTCTGCAAAATTGAATGCATGCAAAATGAAAAAAACAAAACAGCTCGAAGAAGCAAGAACTGTTATTTCGATGATTCTTCCTTTTTAAATAACTTATTTGGAGCTTGTTCGGCAAATATCAGCATCAGACGTTGACTTGTCCGCATGTGCTTATCAATGCCTGCAAAAATATAATGCTTTATATTAACACTCAAATATGGCGTTTTAAAAGTCCCAAAAATTCCTTTAACAACAAGTACTTTGATCTTTGAAAAACTTAATAGGAACGGATGTTTAGTGTCCTTGAAGTTTTTCAATTAAAAGTAGTGGTGGTATTTTCAATGGCATGCAGGAATACGACAAATAACAACGAAAATACAAAATTTAATACTTATTATCTGATTTTCTATGAAACTCCACTTAAACAATATTATGGCACGGTTTTGGAAGAAAAAGAAATTACACGCAATACACGTCCAAGAAGTTCTGAGAAAAAAAAAAGATAATGAAACAAAGATATGCGGTGTTAATGTAATATTTAATACTTAATACCTAATACTTATATTAAAACTCAAATACGGCATCTTGGAAGTCTTAGAAAATTCTGTCAGCGAGAAATACTTTAATCGTAACCAACGCTTCTGATAAACTCTGCAGTGCATAGAATTTAAACATTTAGATAAGTGGATGCATGACCAGACAAATGTGTGGATTCTACAGGACCGTTTTCTAATTTAGATGTGCAGCCCATTCAATTCGCATGTGCTTCAAATAATCAAGCATATTCCTAAGTTGGAGATATGAATAAAAAAAACTACATTTGTTGATACATTCCGCTTCGGATTCAATTAGCTGATGATGGTTGAATTCTCGGATGCACGCCCGAAAACACGAATCTGTCAGAGTATTGTAAATCGTAAGGAATTCTTTGAGCTAGAAAGTACGAATTAAACTTTAATAACCCAACTAAAATGACCATATAGCATAAACTCCTGTGTTATCAATACAGGAATGTATAGCGAAAGAGCATGGAACTTCATACTGTTCGATGCATGTCGCATATACGATGAAATACTATAGCCAACATACAAGCACTACTGCATCGCGCAGTTCGTCCGTGCCGCATGCTGAGAAGTGATTATAGACAAACTATTGAAGGACTGCTCAAAGACAACGCCGTACCTACAACACTACTTTTAATCAGACTTAAGTAAAGAGATAAAAACTTACTTGCGTGATACCAGCATTCATTGACCAAGCAGTTTTGCAGTTGCCTTATGGTATTTCACGGTTGGTTTCTTCCCGTTGTAGATGCTTTGGTAGTTATGTGGAATGTTTCTGGAGGAGAGTTAAGTGGGGCTGGATTTTTCGGGAAGCTTTATTAGACGTATTCTGGACAAGTCTTCTGTTGGGAAGTTCAATTTAACTATACTGTACGAAACAATACAGTGCGATTTTTTGACAACAATAAATGCATTGTTTCAGAAGGAAAAAAGAATGACATCAAATGGTTCAGAAATTCCTGTATCGAAACTGCTCCGGCAAGAAATTGGGATAGGCGATGTGCAGGAAGGACGGAAAAGTAAGGATGAATACAGGAAGCAGAAGGTACTGGATCCTTATCATTTAAAAAAATTTTTTTTTGAAAATTATGAAAAAGCGGTATAAACAAGTGATCGTGAAGTTTTTAATCTTAAACTGAAATGAAAAGTCTTTCGAAGGATTTGGAAGAAGAGCAAAAGTTGGGTATAGCTCCAGCAACAGTGGATGTTGTAACAGGGCGTGATATCAACCCGCATATTCCAGAATTCATTGCAAAGCATCCATGGTATGTGCCTGCTGATGGACCTACTCTACAGGTTAATTTAAAGATCCAATTTTACCATCATGGCGCATGCTTGAAACGCAAGGACAAAATGTTACTAGTCATGTTTTTGCGAAAGGTCAAGGAGTAAACTGCGAGTAACAAAAGATGACGTTCGTTTTTCCGACTGCATGTTGCAGCTTTACTTAATTCTCTAGAAAATACCCAATTTAAGCATCAAAGACCACATGAAGAAAGACAGATTAAGTGGTCATCGATCGATGATTGGTATAAAAGAGGTACAACAAATGAAAGAGCTACGAAGTTCCGAAAGGTCTGTCTAAATTTGTACTAAGTCCAAAACTTGTTTTTTATCTTTGATTTTTCATAGTACTTACATGTTCTTGAAAAATTAGAAATTTAGGGTGCCTGTGAAAACTGCGGTGCTATGACGCATCGAAAGAAAGATTGTTTAGAGAGACCTCGTAAAATAGGTGCCATATGGACAAATCAGGATATTGCTCCAGACGAATACGTCCAGGTTTGCCTTCCAACTGTTTTAATTATGCAAAATAAATCGCGTGCAAATCGCTTGAGTTTGAAAGATTCTTCAATATATCGAAACAGTGATTTAAGAGATTTAGATTATGGGAGAGTTGTAGATCATGCTATACAGTGAAAACAGATATAGTCGAAATTTGATAAGCCAATTTTTTTTGACAAATTAAATTTTTTTCCTTTTTCTCACAATTATTCGTTTTTCTCAGCATTTAGTACAATTATTTTATATAAAACTATAATTAAAGCCGAAATTAACACTTGGCTGGGATGCGAAACGAGATCGATGGAATGGATATGACCCGCAGACATACAAGCAAGTTGTTGAAGAACATGAGAAATTGGAGCAAACAAGGAAGCTTCTGAGGGAGGAGAAGGTAATTTCGGTTTTCTTCAAGTGTTTAAACTTTGAACTTAAAATCTTATACCATCGTTAGCCTGTATTTCTGATTGGTTTTGTTTGTTTTAGATGAAAGGAGAACTTTTGAAAGAAGAATTGGAAACTGGAGAAGGTAACCATCATATAGCAGAAGAGCCTGCAGATGAAGATATGTATGCCGATGATGCTGATATGGCAGGTGTAACAGTTGATATGGATTCGCGTACGCGAATTACTGTGAGGAATCTTCGTATCAGGTATAGAAGTAAAGATTTCAGGTAATGTTATGTGATCTTTTTTTTTTTAAGAGGTTATTAGAGTAGTAATTTCAGAGAAGATACTGCAAAATACCTCTATAATTTGGATCCAAATGGGCCTTATTATGATCCGAAGTCGCGTTCGATGAGGGAGAACCCATTTGCAGTAAGAAGTCTTGTTCAAAACATCGTTTTTTTTTTTTTTTTTTCTTTGTCTTATGATTGTTTTGGCTACTCTATAACACAGTTTCAAGTAGAATATGATTTTTTTTTTTTTTAGGATTACACTTTTCGGTTTTATTAAAATTATTTTTGCAGAATGTACCTGGAAAAGAGAAAGAAGCAGCTAAATTTGCTGGTGAGAATTTCATACGTTATACAGGAGAAGTAGTACAGGCTAATGAAGCACAGGTGTTCGCATGGCAGGCTCGTTGTAAAGGTTAATGCTTCTATTTTATTCTTATAATTAGGAAAAGTAATTTTAAGTCAAAACCTATAGTAGGATATATCTAGTTCTTATATGAAAATAGTTTAGAGTAGAATTGAACTTACGCTTATTTTTCTTTCCCATATTTAGTATTCCATGAAACGGAACTGTTATTTCAAAAAGACGTGAGGACTGAGATCTTGTGTGATAGGTAAGGAAGCATACAGCACTGAGTATTATAATGTTCGGATTTCATTTAGGCTCTATGTTTCTTTCTGGTCATGATTAATTACAACATTAATCATCGATTATAATTAATGCAGCATGCACAAGAAATCCATGACAGAAAAGTTTAAATTAATTTAAGTCACTTTTGTTAATAAGTAAGTACAAGTGTTAATGTTTGCTGTTGATCAGAATTTAAAAATGACTTATTACTTTTTATTAATTCTATTAGGCACTTTTCAGCTGCTTTCATTAATGTTTCTATGCTGCGTGCTTCTCTATTGCAGGAATTGATGTTCATGCATTAGCTGAGCCTACAAAGCTGGAAGCAATGAAAAAAGAGTTTGAACAACAAAAATTAAGTGCGAAAGAGGAGCACAAAAGCAAATTATTGGAAAAATATGGTGGAGAAGTAAGTCAGCACTAGTTTTTTAGCGTTTATACTGTGCCAAAGTTATTTGTAGCTTGAGCTTATTTTTCATTTTTTTCAGTTTTAGTTCTCTTCAGACATTATCTCTATTAGTAATCAAATCTTTAGTGACATTCTACATCTTTTATTTGCCCTTGAAATTCACTTCGTAATTTACGGACAAAAGAGTGGAAATGAGCGAAGAACGGTGGCCAAAATATTGAAAATATTTTTAGAAGTATTTACATGCACCACCGAAGGAATTGTTGTTAGCGCAAACGGAGAATTATGTGGAGTATAACAGAAAAGGAAAAGTAGTAAAAGGTGAGGAACGACGAGGGATATTAAGCCGTTATGAGGAGGACAGGTAAGATTATTTTTTTCTTATTCTGTTAAGAAATTATATGATTAAAAAAACATGAGGTATATATTTGTATAATGTATAATATTCTAACCGTTATCTTTGATAAACATATAAGGAACAAGAGTAAATTTATCAGTCGGCCAGTGGTGATAATGTGCTTTTATGTTTAGATACTTGAATAACCACAAATCTGTTTGGGGATCTTACTGGAAATCTGGACAGTGGGGTTTTGCTTGCTGTCATTCTTTCATAAAGAATTCATACTGCCTTGGCGAAGTTGGTAAAGATAGAAATGCAACAACTCTGGAAGGAGTCATTTTGCCGCAAAACGTGATCCCAAATACCGATCCAAGTGTCAAACAAGAAACTACCAGTACTATTTTGATTAGTTATTAAAGCCAATTTTCAAATTTGACCGACCCAAGTGTCAAACAAGAAACTACTAGTACTATTTTGATTAGTTATTAAAGCCAATAAGTTTGGCCAATTTTCAAATTTGTGAAGTATCTTATAAACGGTTTAATTTTGCAGGTGTAACATCGGGAAAGAAGCTAGAAGAGAAAGAAAATTCCTCTGCTGATGGTGAATCATCGTCGGATACATTTGACTCCAAGAAGAACGCTGAAGACGAAAAAAAATGGGAAGAAGAACGACAATATGAACTTGAGAAAGGTACTTTAGCATCTTGTATATTTTTTTACTGCTAAACATCAACACAAACACTGATCTCAGTGTTTAATTTCGGTCTTTTATCATTAATGATCCTTGAAGGTTTTATAAAGAAAAAAAAATTATGTTTGGCGTTTAGTTAAGCGTGACGATAGGAGACGTGAAAAAAAGAGGGAAAAGAGAAGACGACAAAAAGAGCGGAGGGAGAAGAATAAAAAAGCTTCGAAAATAAAGAAAAAAAGTTTGGATGAATTTCCATCAGATGATGAGAAGAAAAGGATGAAAGAACTTGAACATGCAATTAAAAAGATCAATAAGGAATGGGAAGATGCCGAAGAAAGTTTACAGCTGGTATTTTTCCACTTCTGTTAAAAAAGTTATTTTAAGTGATTTTCCTCACTATCTTCTCTTACATGAGAAAATGTTTAACATTTTCCTCACAGAGTAAATCGGGTGAATACTGATTAGGAGATGCTTCAATGGGGCTGTTAAAGTTGGTAGTCAAGAGAACATAACATCAGGAAAATTAGACAGGAAAATATAAATTTTTAGGGTGATCGAAAACGGCGCTATCATTCCATTTATGACATAAGTACTCCAACACCTGTTGAAATGGAAGCTTATAAATTGACGAAAATTCACGCTGATGATCCAATGGCTGCATTTATAAAAGAAAAACATCTGAAGAAGCATTCTAAAAAAGACTGAATCCCTTTGTCGAATTGATCTTGTAAAATATCAACTACATCTCGAGAATGCTCTTTGGTTGTTGATAGATTTTTTTTTCAATAAATCATTAGTCGTGGAGGAGGTGACTTTAAGTCTTTGATGAGTTTTTGTGATTGTTTAAGGCGTTTTGATTTCAGAACATTTGTTATCAATCCCAATGGAGAATTGGTTACGTATGTGTGTGTACATAGTACTGTTTAAACGAAAATAAATGAAATTTGGTGCAACGCTTGTCAGTTGCTAGTTTCTTATACATACGTATAGCTCTGCTGTTTATCTTTTTAAAAAAGTCAGTTTCACACCTAGTCAAGGCTACTTTTTTTAGAGAAACAAATCATCATGAAGTTAAATCTGAAGCGAAGTTTTCTCTTTTTGTTTTCATTGGTGTGACTGTTTGTTCCTTCATCTTGTACATGACAGCATTCGTAAGTATAGAGACATAAAGGACATTAACTAATTATTGGAATTGTGCTCCTAATACATTTTGTGATACTCTTTAATACAATAATACAAATTTGGTATAACAGTCATATTCAAACATCTTATATGAGTCAACAGGGAGGCAACGGATGTCAAGCGATGATTGGTGTTCTTGATTAATATCGGAGCATTCAAGGGCAGTTGTGGGAGATGGTTTGATCAGATGGTGAACATGGCGGACGGTGAGTTTTTACATTTCATAGCATGCTAGAAGTACAGTATTATATTCAAGATACTATTGATGTCAGTATGGTATTATGGTACTTATGACATCAGAAATAAATTGTTTAATTAATGGAAAGTTGGTAGTAAGGAATTTATGGTAAAACTGAATAAAGTGTAGAGAGTGGATGGGATCGAATAAAAGTGACAGGGGAAAGGAGGAAGGAATTCAAGTTTTTTAGTAAATATCGAAGGAAACAATTATTGTGCTGCAGCAGCTTAAGGTACTTCATTGTAAACATTTTGTTTGATCAGAGTATTCTGTTTTGAATATGACTTCCAATTAGTTCTAGTTCAAACACAGTTGTGGATTTGGGATCACGAAATCACCTCGTTCATGGTATTAAATAGTGGTATTGATTCGCAAAGTAATCTGCGCTTCATCTTTTTATGTATGGAGTGGTCAATGCATGGTGCTTTGTGGCTAATTTTTAGGTATTTCATCTTCATATTTTTGCTTCAATTTTCAAAACTATTATTTATTAAGTTAACTATTAAATGAAAATTGTTTCTATTAATTAATAAGTTGTTCCGAACAACCTAGAAGAATTCATGCTCCATAGTTTTCGTAAATTTCATAAAATAATTTTTTAATTTAATTTGCAACACTTTCGGATGCTTCAGCATTTTTAAATTATTTTCAATGAGTCGGTCATTACAATGATATTGTTTTCAGTTCATTTATATTCCTGATATCTATGAGATATAACTTTTTGTTGAATATGAGATATGAATTAGCTGTATTAATATTTGGTAAGTACTTTAATTTTTCAGGCAATATTTTTCCGAGATACCTGAACACTTCCTTCATTCCCTTTTTTCGAAAAGTGGGAATCTGAAACACTTAGTAATTTTTTTTAAGGTCTGTTTGCTGATTTGATAATTGTTGGGATTATCAAAGGAATAGCAAGGAGATCTCGACCACCTTTCAATATTAAAGATCAGGTATACGACGGTTTCGAATCTTATTATACATCTTATTATTATACGAGAATGTTAACACCAACTCCCTCAAATCAGTGTAAGAAGAAATTTTAGTTTTCTACGTCACTGAGAATTTTCACTTTCGAATTTTTTGCTATTTAGTTAAACAGTAACTGTTCTGACACTCTCCGAAGTAGAATTTGAAGCCTTCAAATTTTTTGGATTCATGAAACGCTTTGTCGCGAATCAGATGTGCTAGAATACTCCGTCAATTAATCGTTGACTTTCTTTCCTTGTTTATTAATAAAGCATTCTAGCTCTATGAGGCACCTTTGGTCGACAAGTTTTCATTCCCTTCTGGTCATTCCTCTCGTGGTGCGATGCTATCGGTTTTATGGTAACAGATTTGAATTTTGAATATATTGAATAGTAGGCAAAATCTTTGCATTGCCACTTCGGTAATTTTTGCACTAGACTAGCCAACGAAGCGTTTGTTTTCTCGTTTTAGTTTGACCTTTTTTTGTTCGCTTCCACAGTTTATTACTCTCTTTGTGAAGTTATTTCCACTTGTATTGGGAGCTTCACGAATTTTTATTGGTCGACACTATGTTAGCGATGTTATGATTGGTTCGTGTTATTTCTTTCTTTTTTTTTTTACAATATCTTCATGTTACTCCAAATAATGCAAAAATAAAACATTCTCTTTTGAATTTTGTTTTGCTAACTCATATAGTATTTCACAGTCTTGATTTAATCTTGACAAACTTTAAAGTCAAAAGTATTTCTTTCGACGGAAGCTGCTTGCCTTTGTTTTCCACTTGTTCTTCAACTTTTTTTTACAGGCTTATTACTTGGTTATGCAGAAGGAAATTTCGTACAGTGTTTGCCATTACACACAATAGATGCTTTGAAACAAATGTTTCCCGTGATATTTGGTAGTTATGAACAACGAAACGCATAATTGGATGTAGACTTCACATTAGTAATATATCTAACTATCATACATTTGACAACTATCGTTTTGCATAAAGCACTTTGCAGTATCGCGTTCTTCACTACCCTTCACATGTAGAAAACATTTCCAAACATTGCTATGTTAAGTTAACGCAATGTTACACAATGCACCCATATTACTTTCGCGAAATTCGAAATCGCGAACCTCCAAATAATTTATAATTAATATTCTTGAATAATAAAATTTGTGTTGCAAATACTTCGTACTCCATGTTTCATTACACAAATTATCAAATAGATGTTACGTGTACAATATGATAAGTCACTTAGCTAAATTCTCCTCCCCTTTAATTACAATGCAAATATTCACAATTCGATTTCAATCGTTGTGCTGTAGACAATTTTCCGTTACAGTCCCCCTTTGTTTCAATATCAAGTTTTATACTTCATGGGAAATTGTCAGTTGGTTTATGATTATTGTCACTCCTGTTTTAGACAGGTAAATATCATATATATATATATATATATATATATATATGATAGGCTTACCCCAGGACCAAGGAAATGGAAATTTCTCCCAAGGCTATTACTAAGCTTTCGACTTCACCAGTTGTTGACAGGTTTCACATCCCCGCAACATTAATCGAGCCTAGTTTTTAACCTCGTATTTTCTTAAGCTGAAGTACTCATTTCCCAATTTCTGGGTTTAGTTGTTGAGAACTCGAGGACTTCTGGGACCTCCAAATCTTCAACAAGCAGTCCAAATAAAATCAGTGAAATCTCTTAATCATCTTTGCTTGCAATCATTGGAAGAATTGAATAAAACATCAAGATAACAACCATTTCGTTCCTGGATAAAGAAATATTAAGCGTGTAGTTTTTTTTCTTCAAGAATCAAAGGAAAACTTGTAAACTTACCTTCACTATTCCGATCTTATTATGGTAGAATAAAAGTCTCATGCGGATAACCGATTCTGCGAGTGGAAAAGAGCATGAGAGTATACAATTGTCTTCTGCTTGCAGAAGTAATTGAAGTGCAGTTTAGTAGACGAATCTCTATGATATTCGAAATGAAGCAGAAAAAAATTTTTTTTGTGAAACTGATCTTCAGTCATTTTTTTAAGTTTCCTTTTTTCATCCTGTGAAGACAAGTACTTATTACCATTTAAATATCAAAAATTGGAAGAGCGACTTGTGGAAAAAATCCTAGATTCTTCTTTACTTGCATCCCATCAATGACAAATCAAGAACCAATGGATGAAAGCAATAATGAAATTTTTGGCAAAAATATTGGTATCAAGTTCTTAACAAAATGGCATACTATTTCAACAGCTATAAAAATTATGATGTTTAAGCAATCACACACTTCACATGAAGTACGGAACTTTTCATGAAACAGTAAATTTTCTGACCTTTATTTCCAAGAAAGAGATGAGTTGGTTTATAACCACTAAATTCAAAGTGAAGATATGTCCCCAACATTTAAAATTAGCGAAACTATATGGTAAAAAAACTTAAGTTGGCTATTCTAAATCAACTCATCATGGTATTAACATTTATAGGTTGATGCTATTAATAAGCAATGCATTTTACTCACTATTACGGATATAATCCCTTCTAATAAATGTTATAACTTCACCATATTAGATATGGTGCTAATATGTTCCTAACATCACTCATCAAATAATTTAAAATAACAAAACCGGAATAAACACTTCAAATAACTATTTCCTTCAAACTAAAATTTCATCGCAACCATCAGGAACAGCATAGCTCCTTACCCGGCTGAAAAACAATGGCGGACATGCCTGATGATCAGTTGTATCTAGACAACTGTAAGACACTTTACCATCCAAATAGGTTACTGTACAATTATATTCAAAAGTAGCACACAGTGAGCTCGTCGCTTTATTCCATCTCCAAAATGTAATTCCATTTCGAATTTCTGATCCAATATCTGCAAGAATAACATAGGCAGTTACTGAAATACAAGAAAAATGCATCTTTTAAAATAAAAATTGGACTTACTTCATAGGGCAAGAACGGGTGAAGCGATTTGTGGATACGTCGCGTCCGCTGAAGCGATTTTTCATTGTGACGATGAAACTAAATTTTTTCTGTTACAGAAAAAATATAAACGCTGTCTCCTACAACAAACTGACACCGACCACCAGTCCAAAAATTTAAATGAATAAAAACAGAAAATTTATCCATAAAGCTCAGGAAATGATACCTGTGCTGCTATACGATCTTGACTCACCATCCAGTAATGACCAAAAAAAACTCCAGCTAAACGAGGGGTTTTTGATTTCAAAAGTCCCACAACTTGTGCTGGCACTTCAGATGTGATAACCATAATAACTGTACCTAAATATAGGAAAGAAGTATTTTATCCTTAACTACGTATTTCAGTTTCATATGAGCAACGATCCTAACAATAAATACTTGAAAAAAGTATATTACATTGATAGGTTTGCAATTTCACTGTAAAAGCAAAAAGAAAACATAACGAACCATCTGCAAAAAATCTCAGCATCCGATAATAGATGACTATATGCCAAGGTCTGTAAAACTGGTCCTAAAAAGGTACCAAGAGAATTCTTGCTAAAGGATTTCAACAAATTCAACCATAAAAATAATATGGGCAAGAACAAAAAATGAAAAACGAGCGATGAAAAAAATGAACAGGAATTTATTAGGATGTACAGAGCAGAAATACTTGAAAAGATGCTTCTCCATTGCGAAGATATGTCATTTTCCCAATATAAACTCCGTGCAATTAAGGATGTGGATATGTTATATACATCTGACGCCAACTCAATGACGTGGTGAATGAAACCGAGTTAAAATACTTCGCGCCAAAAGTTAGACGACATATTGCATGCCACAGTTCTCCGTCACTAAAAAACATTATTCGTAAAGGAGACAGAATTTGAAAAAGATAAGTTTACAAGAAGAGGAAATGGATAACTACTAACTTTATTTAAAAGTAGGCATATAACAACAACTTTATATCAGGTTTTACACAATAATTTCTTATAGTGGTTCCGAACAAAGTAAATTAATTTCATAGAACCCGCATATCACTAAACACAGCGGGTTTTTTTTACAACAATAAATGCCATAACAGTAACTTATTCATCAGATCATCTGTCAAGCAGTGGTACCTATGTCCGCGAGCTAACAAATTTGGGATAGCCTAAATTTAAATTAATCATTTATATAACACAAAATACCGCGCAAGAAGATAAAATCCAGCTGAAGTCATCGACAGCAATTCTAGACAATACACGTCAAGCTCGCTCCCGACAACGTACCGTATCAGTATGGAAAGTAATTCCACAGGTAAAAGCGCAATTGGACAAGGTTCATCTGCAGTGTCATTTACTTTCATCGACTTCTAATAAGATTATGTATATTCTATAAAACCGCATTTGTAAAATTTTAAATGACAAATCACGCTAAAATTTTGTGCAATCAGGGAAGTCTTACTAATCTAAATAATGTCATACAACACTATCAAGAGAAATTTCGACAAATTATGAAAAGATTGAATAAATTTTCCATTATTTTATAGAGCAAAATTTTAAACTATCTTCCTGAACAGAATATTTGTGGAATTCGTCCAGATGTCACTAACGACTATCCTTCGTTCCTATCGAACTTTTTTCAGACCAGATAATGAAAATTCAAAACATAAAAAGAAGTATTCACTAAAACCATTACCCGGAAATTCCGGTTCAAAAAATCTCCCCCCGTCAACCAGTCGTTTATGCAGAATCTTTTCTAAATCATGAAAACCATAATGAGATCTTGAACGAGAACGCTGGCAATCACTGGACCCTATTGAGTTCTGAAATCATTCACAATAGTAACGAGAAGATTACATTCATAAAAACAAAACAAGAAAAAAAAAAACGATAGAAAAAGAAACTGGTAACATTCAGCGCTAGAAAAAATTTATAATACCGATAAAATACGATCTTTGTACAATTTCGATTCAATATCGGGAACCATACGTACAGCGCCCATGTATCTTTGGACTGCTTCCCACATATCGCCTCGTCTCTCGCAGTCTACACCTTCCAAGAACAACTTTGTTGCCTCAAACCGTTTATTACTTTGTTATTTGTCTAAATACTTTCTGATGAATCATTAATTTCAAAGAAAATATGAGATCCAGTTGATTTTAAAAGAAGGAAATAATTTACAGCATACATTGCCCTGTCCACACTTGACTGAATATTAATATCGTTAGTCACTAAATGAATATAAAAAACACTTAGCAATCGCACCTGCCAAGGTATTTCTGAAGCTATGCAGTCTATATCATACTTATAATATCTTTACATATCAAATAAACAAAGTTACAGCATCGTGCAACGATTGTTCTTTCCTGCTTCTAGTTTCCATTGACACCGAACTCGATTCCTTCAATCGAGAATCTAATTCTGACTTCCATTCCTTCCTAAACATTAAGAGAAAAAGAATCTCATCAAACCACATTGAATTTAAAATTATACCACTCACAGCGAATTCATTCTACATCAACAGAATAATATTAAGTGATCAATTTATAACTAAAAACAGTTTGATCATTGAAGACAAATCGATATCATATTAACCTGAAATTATACAGTGTTGCTTCAGCAGAATTCTGAAAATGTAGAACGTTAACCGATCCAGCACGACAAACATTACTTTCATTTTTTTCATCTTCTGTGAACAATGGAACAAAATTACTCTAAAACAATAAATCATTGAGAAAGCAGGACAACATGCGAAATTTACCTAGCTTAAGATAGACAATAACAATAAAGCATATTCCAGAACAATTAAAATTATGAAAAAAAAAAAAATAACCTCGGAATCGGAATCATCCACATTCTTTTCTTCGTTCAAAACTTTCAAGTCTTCTATCCCTCTTTCCAGCGACATTGTTCATCTAGAACTCACCGCAATTTAAAAATACTAAGCCAACGGATCCAACCGGCTCTTATTTCATTTTCCAAATTCACGGAAACTATTTGTATCACTGTAACAATTATGAGACTTAACAGCTGCAAAGGACAATAAAAATGATGGACAGATTTGTTCGGCTGTGCAGAACATTAAAAAAGGAAAAGACGGCTTAATCTGCAAGTTCCCTCTATAGTCGTTACAAATGAGATTTAACTGCCGAAAGTGCTCTTCGCACCGATTACTAACACAATCATAAAACCAACAAGTTAAATTACTAATAAATTTAATGAGAACCCTTCTCAACACACTATCGAAAACATAGTTGCATAATGTCTCTGCCACCATAACACACTGTTTTCAGCGCTACGAATCGTAGCTGAAAGAGGAATGTTGAGGGAGGACTGTAACAGGTGTGGAGAAGCCGATGTAGTCATTTTAAGGTACTGGAAGACAATCTGGCATCGAGTTAACTTTCTGGAGTGAATTTCTTGATATATTGTGTTTATTGGTGTGAATATTAAAACTATAAATGGATTATTAGCAGTCATCTTGAGCACTCTATTTCTCTCACTCCTTATCATTTCCTTTCCTTTTCAACCCAAATCTCTGTCCAATATCATTTCTTTCTTCCATTTATTGTTTTTCCGTTTATTAGCTGCGTCATTTAATAAAGTGTCTGGTACTATTCTTTTCACTTATGTTTATAGTTTCTTTTAGGTTCATTGTTTCACTTATTTTCATTCCGGAAGCATTATAGAATCACGTGGAAATGGTTCACTGGACTATAAATGATTCGCAGCTAAAGTTATAAAAGTTATTTAAAGTTATATATAAGTTATTTAAATTAGTAACATTCACTTAAGCATAAGAAAGCTCTTGAACTTATGTTCTCAGTAGCCAACTCCTACACTATTTTTTTCCTTTGAATCTTTAAATAAAAGGAATATACCATTCTATACACCTTAATACATCAATGTATTTACACATTTCATTCGCTATAAATTTATGACCATTATCTAGTAATGAAAATTTCTGAAGAGTTTAGTCTTCTGGTGAATATTAACAGGGAAATAAATGCAGCAAAATTGCTCAGCTCCGGCATTATATATATTCGGATTTTATTTTAATAGATAAAAGTTTGTTTATCTGTTATCAGGTGAATTTATTTATTCATTGGTGCAAATATTTTATCAGCGAATTATGTAGAGAGCATTTTACAATTCTTGCTAACGAAAATTGCGAAGGAATGTTCATCAGCCATTCGTTTACATTAGACGCAATGCGTTCTCTCCAGCTTGCAGTTCTTATCAGTTTGTTGAGATCATACGGAATCATGTTTTTACTGCTTTATCAGTTAGCCGATCTATCTCACTTTTATACCGTATAAGCATTGCCGTCAACTTTTCCATTACTTCTCATTTTATGACTTTATTATTCAAAATTATACAATTTGTTTAGCAGTTGACTTCTTTTACTTTGATCAAACACTCTGTCCAACTTCCCATTACGTTAATTGCTGAATCAAATCTGTTTTTTGAAGAAAAGAAAACATACTAGTCTATGGGTAAATAATGAAGTTGTTTATCAGAAAATGTAGTTACCGTTCCTTTACCAGCGAGATTAGAGGCGCGTAATTTAGAACGTTTTATAAGAACATTCTTAACAAGCTTAATAAAATGTAGCTGATTTGACGGCATCAAAGTAAAGATATTTATTAATCAAAACTTATCTGAAATTATAATTTGCTGTCGTGAAAATATGGTGTACAAGGATCAAGTAAAGTGTTTGTGGGACCGTTCAGAATTTAATGCAAATATACTTCAACATTTTTTCTTTTTTGATAATAATTCCAACGCTTAGGTTAATGAAAACATTAAAACTGTACAAACTGTTGTTGATATACCTACCTTAATACTTATTTCATTAGGCACTTTTAAGACGGCCTAATCTGTTGCAAAATCAGTATACACAATTAAGTGCTAACAAGCAAAAGATATTCGAAATAAATGAACCAGTAGCAACCTCGACTTATTTAAAGAGCTTTATGCAGATAGCTGCTGATAGACATAATGAATTTGTTGACGTTATCATTTACTACTAATACCAAAAAGCACGAGACTATCACCACACAGTGCAGGATCCATTTATCTCCAGTTTAAAGTACACAAAAGTAAATACAAAGTTGACGTTTCAGCCGAACTGCAAAATTCAGTCAGCACAATAAAGCTGGAAGTTGCCACAATAAACGTAGTTATCGATTAATACCTATATTATGTATGAGTGAAAGTGCGCAGCTGCATAATTTGCAAAGGACATGTCCATGTCTTCAAGCATGTTAGCTATGAGGCATGAGACATTGGTTGCTGTGTGCATTTTTCCGCAAAAGACTACACCATCCTTCTTTTATGCCTCTTGTTTTATAACCGCAATCCCAAGTGAAAATATCGAATTGCTCCGAGCAGTTGCCCATCTCCTTTTTAACAGCTTATACGTTCCGCTTATAACTGCTATCCCTATTTTCTTTTCCCAAGCAACACTTTTTAAATGGATTGCTAGACAGATACCATTTGCTATCCTCAGAAGGAAGAAGGAGGATTCGGAAGACCTGATATTGAGCTCTGTTGCTTAACATACTACTCAGCTTGTTAATGTGTTCAGGAGAGTTTGTCAAAATATTTGATTAACAGCAGTAAGCGATATCTATGTGCGAATTATGAATTTTTCGGTGCTTATATTTGCTTCAGATCAGTTATTTTGGTGAGAATAACAACTTAAAGTCATTACCTTTTCATTGTTGTCGAAATATTTTAGGTTTTAAGACTTTTATACCTCTGAACTAATGACTAATCCTATAACGTGAAATCTGCCAATAATAATGAGATTGGCGGGCAGTATACGACTTATCGTATCATTCGTCGCTTAATAGTCCAAGAATATTTTGACGGCATTATAATCTAAATAACCTTGTCATTTTTGCTGCAGTCGCACATTCGAATTCAGCTTCTTTTATTGCGATAACTTATGAACAAGACTGTAGCACTGTGACAATATTACAGTTCTAGGTGATGCTTACGATGTATATTGTTTCTTGTTTTATGCTATTCTTAGTCTGTGCATTAGTTAGACTTTTGGTATTTTGGACTCCCTAACTTGACACGAAATTTGTTTGCTGTTAATTACTGCTTAATAGAGAAAGTGGTTTTAAATGTGGTAAGCATCATTTTATCCAGTAAGCTCTGTAGAGTCATAGATAGGCATTAGAAAATGCTGTTCTTGCAAGTCAGTGAGTGAGTATTTTTTACTTAGCAAAACTTTTTGTGAACGTTTCAAGATATCTTCCTCCAATTAGAAGTTATCGCAGATTTTAATATCGCGAAACTCTAAAATATTATATGATAATTGAGAATATGAGTAAGAAATATGTCCCATGAAATCTTGCAAATGATGCTTATACTCTCTGTAAATTTTTTATATATTGTTTACACGGTATCACTCCTCATCTAGTTGACCTCATGTTTGTGTCGCCACTAATTATAAATTATCTTTGAATCTATGAAGTTAACAACTTTTGCTTAACTGATATCCTTTGCGGTTTGTCAACTGGTAAATAGATTTGCTTGTAAACCAGGTCAACAGCTCTTTGTTAGACCGATTACTCTTTCGGCAGATCAACCTCTTATTGTAAATCATATATTTTGTTTACGCGTATTGCTTGCTATATGAGGAGGACAGCCCTGTTCAGGGAAAGGAAGTATTGTGTGTTTTTACCAAGAGCCAGGAGAGTTCAACTTCAATTCTTCTCTATTAAGTTATTGTACTGTTGCTTCTGCTAATTACTATATTCCTCTGTTACCACATATTTACATTTACATGCAACAGTCTCCTCGAAATCAACAACATCTCCCAAAATAATAATTAAATTTTGAAATCTTCCACGACAGAAGTGTCTTTCAGAAATTTCACCTTGACTGATTACATATTGTACATGCATTATCATGTATCATAATAACAAATTTCATGTATCACAGAAAAACGGAAGGACAGTGTTGGTGTCGTCATGATGTCTTCCATCATTGCTGTTAAATTATTTCGAGAGAACCTGTAGCATGCTGATTTGACGTAAAGAACAAATGGTCATTTTGGGAGACAGGATTGGCCAGAGACATTATTATGCTTCCTTTCAGTCCTTTTTCATAAGGAATGGAAGCAAGTCAAAGATTGGTTGTACACCAACCATCTCGTGTTGTTCATCTTCCTAATGAGCCGTTTACGTCACTTTCCATTGTGTCATATGCAGAAAGAAGGGGGAAGTAAACTGTCTTTTTTGGTTTTTTGATTCCTGGTTGCTATTCTTCTGAGTAAGGCAAGAGTTTCTTTTCATTAGAACGGCCTTACATAATTCTTAATGCTCTTCAGTTATCTAAGTTTTGAACCAACTTGTAACTTGGGAACATTTTAGATCTTTTCTCTTTTAAATGTGATGTTAAATTCTATAAATTCAACAACTAATCTTGTATCTTCCTCATTATTCACTGTTTATACCTCTTAAGAGTAAGAATGTTTTATCCATACATTTGCTTGAAGAAACTGTCTAAATCTTTCGTCTCTACGACATTATTTTCATATCTCCAACACATCTCTTATATTAAGATCTTAATCCTTTGTATTGTGTGCAGGTAACTAGAAACTAAGTCCGAGGTATGAACCATTTCTTCCATCTGAGTAACCTCATTTATTATTGCAACACGAGTATATAAAGATCAAAACTTCTTCAAGTGCCTCTGAGAAATCAAGCTTAAACATTTTTGTCAGCACTCTATTCTTGTGTAATGTAGACCCCTAATTTATTGGGAAAAGGATGATAAGAACTGTGAAAATTCCTAACAGACGTGGGTGGCATTCCTTTGGCTAGAAAGGCAGATAAAAGTATATAAAAAGTTTATGACTGAAAATCAATTACTTTTTCAAATACTCCA